CCATGACAAATGAATATCTCTGAAAATCTTTTTTTTTTCCCAAGGCATGAAGTCATATTGTGCAGTGGCATTTGCACAAATCCCAGAGAAGCGAGTAAAATAATCAAACTATATATTTGGATACTATCAAAGACAAGAACCCGTAAGGCAGAACTCAACTTACCTCAACCAATTCTTCTTTTCTTGTTTTCTCTCATTCTGTTCTTCTTTTCTATTTCATTAAAAATACATAAGGCAAAATAGCGACTACTTTGCATTATGTATTTTTATTAGACTTGACAAAACTTTTGCCATTTCCTCCAACAGCTACTAGTGACAGCTGTGGGGAAAACAGACATTGCCTATAGAGGTTCTTGTGGGATTTTCATAGCCCTCAGTGCTGTAGTGTTGATCACTGATGTGGGTTCCTGGCAGATGAAAAGGAAAACAAGGAAGAAGATGGCCATGGTAATGAGTGGCAGCTTCAGGTACTTATCACACTGAGTGCCATATAATAGTTTGTTTTTCTTCTATGAAAGTGGCACTGCTGACCAAGGTAGGCTCCCATTATAATGAAGTATTTGGATAATGCAAAAACCAAGTGAAATAAAATTATTGAAAAATAAAAATAATAATTACTTTTCAAATATCTTTCCCAGAGGCTACCTGATTCACTCTGTTTGAGTGAGCTTTCAAGCAGAAGTGAGAGCCGTGTGGAATAAGTTGGTGCTGTATAAATGCAAAATAATAATAATATTGAGCGATCTTCACGCTTTATTGGTGCATTCACAGCAATGGCCACACATGTGCGAATTCCATCCGAACAGGAAGGAGAAACTGTCATCACTGACAGTCTCCATGTTGCAGAGCAGTGGTTTAAGGGGACTTGCCGCTGAATTAGTTATTTAATCTTGTTTTGTTGTGTGTGTTGGAGGGCACCTGGCATCTACATGGTTAAAAAAAAACCTGTCCAAATGTTAAAACAAACTATCATGTCATAACATGGGAGTGTTTTTACGCTTTTAGCTGCCACACTTTGCAGACCGAAAAAGATTCTATGCAAGGTCAATGCACTGTTATAGTGCATCAAGCATCCTTTTAAAGAAAATATTTTTAAAGTTTAAATACATTTGATAACTAAGGAATTAAAATACATTTTATTTCTGTGCGCAGGAGTTAAGTTTGCATCAGTGACACAACGCTGCCAAATATAGGACTGAGGGGTAATAAGTCCCCTATTGTGCAAATGTTTGCATGCGCCCTGTTCGTTTAATTGCTTTTTTATGTGCGGAGTGGTGGAGTCCCTTGCTGAGAGATATAATGCCACATGAAAATATAGAAAATGCAGGTGCAGTTGAAGACTTCATAAATTATAGGGCTTGACATCTAGTTGGCACAATGTATGCAAAGTGTCTTTTTATAGCTGCCCTTTTGTAAAACATATAATTACACTGCAATGTCCCATTCAGTTTGCCTGTTAGAGGTGGTTCATACGAGTAAGTTTCTTCTTTGAATTAGTCCAGGGCAACAAGTTCTTAATGAACAATGAGTAAACCTTAAGACTGGCATTAAATAAATACAGGGCAGCAAATAAAGATCTAATATTTACTTTACCCAGTAAATAGTGGCAACAAAAATATTGCACTGATGAAAACAGAGTTACATGTAGAAATAATTCTTCTACGACGTGGATATGTCTATATTTCCCCTGGATTACTGGAAGAAGGCCAATGCAGTAGTTAATTACTATCGGAGAGGAATCGCTAGGTAACCAAAGTGTACTCAAGCTTACATTTTACCAACCTTTAAGTTTACCATAGAAACCACCACCAGCAGTGAATTAATTGCTTTGTTGATGGAGCATAAGGAAAGGGTTTTTGCCCATTTAACATTGTGGGTAAGAAAGCTCCAACCGATCAGATTAAAGTAGTTCTGACTTTTATTGCCTAATAATATTCCTTTCCTAATGCTGCCTATATGTCATTTTTATTTCTATGTTTATGTGTCTTTTTATATGTTCTCATACTTATTATTCAAATCCTCCTTCTATGCTTCATTTACTGGTTTCACAGTTAGTAGTGTTCTTGACTGCACATATTGTAAACTTGATAGAGAGATGAGGTCAGACCGTGAATACTGCGAATGTTGGTCCTGCAAAGATTGCAAAGACAACCTCTAGAGGTGACTTTGGGAGGCAATGTAAACACTGCCAATTCTCAGAAAAGGCAGTATTTGTATTGCTGAGTCTGCACGAACAGTCTCTACATGAGAACCTATACATTAAAGTGACACTATAGTTCCATATAGTGCCCCCCTACTTCGTGTGCCCCCCAATGGGGCAGAAGGGGTTAAACCCCCTGATGTTCTTCGGCACTAGTTTGGGCTCTGCCTCTGCTTCTCCACCACCAACATCAACTGGCGGGGGAGACCTATGGCACATGTGCAGCAATATATAATGCTTTCCTATGGGGTTTTACATGATGCTGGATGTCCTCAAGTATAGTGACCAAAAGTCACCTAACGACCTGGAAGTCCCTCTAGTGGGTTTGTTGTAGACAGTCACTAGAGGTGGAGTTAATCCTCAAAGGTAATTATTGCAGGTTATTAAAAACTGCAATAAATACCTTTGCATGGTTAAGGGACATGGGACATTGCACCCAGACCACTTCATTGAGTTGAAGTGGTCTGGGTGCCTATAGAGTCCCTTTAAGCACTAATGGTCTTGGTGCTTAGAGTGTGGATAAAAAATATTATGCATTGTTGTGATGTATATTGTATAATTAACTTTTCTAAAACCTCTGTTGGCAAGAACAATTTATTGAGAAATGTTAAAATGTAATGCATGTTTGTGTGTGTGATTTGTGATGTATGTGGTGCTTTTGATGTGTATGTGTGCGTTTATCTTCTTATATGTGTATCTGTAAGTTTCAACTTATTTCATTAACATTCTTTTAAATATAATTCTTGAGATAAAAACTTTGCAAAATTTTTGGTCTAGGCATGATGTGAAATATTGCCATCCTGGGTTAATAAATCAATTTTTAACATGTGGTATCTATCTATCTATCTATCTATCTATCTATCAGAATCTTTGGTTGTCCACTTGTCTCTCTGCCTGTCTCGCTGTCTATTTATCTCTATTATCATTAGGAAATCTTACTTAAAGGACCACTATAGGCACCCAGACCACTTCAGCTTAATGAAGTGGTCTGGGTGCCAGGTCCAGCTAGGGTTAACCCTTTTTTTTTATAAACATAGCAGTTTCAGAGAAAGTCCTCTTCCACTCCTCCATGACAACATCACAGAGCTGGTGGATGTTAGAGACCTTGTGCTCCCCCACCTTCCGTTTGAGGATGCCCCACAGATGCTCAGTAGGGCTTAGGTCTGGAGACTTGCTTGGCCAGTCCATCACCTGTACGTTCAGCTTCTTTAGCAAGGCAGTGGTCGTCTTGGAGGTGTGTTTGGGGTCATTATCATGTTGGAATACTGCCTTGCAGCCCAGTCTCCGAAGGGAGGGGATCATGCTCTGCTTCAGTATGTCACAGTACATGTTGACATTCATGGTTCCCTTAATGAACTGTAGCTCCCTAGTGCCAGCAGCACTCATGCAGGCCCAGACCATGACACTCCCACCAACATGCTTGACTGTAGGCAAGACAGAATTGTCTTTGTACTCCTCACCTGGTTGCCGCCACACACGCTTGACACCATCTGAACCAAATAAGTTTATCTTGGTCTCATCGGACCACAGGACATGATTTTTTATTTTTTACAGATCCTCAGAGAGTTCTTTCCCATGAGGTGCCATGTTGAACTTCCAGTGATCAGTATGAGAGAGTGTGAGAGCGATAACACCAAATTTAACACACCTGCTCCCCATTCACATCTGAAACCTTGTAACACTAACGAGTCACATGATACCGGGAATGGAAAATGGCTAATTGAGCCCAATTTGGACATTTCCACTTAGTGGTGTACTCACTTTTGTTGCCAACGGTTTAGATATTAATGGCTGTGTGTTATTTTGAGGGGACAGCACATTTACACTGTTATACAGACTGTACACTCACTACTTTACATTGTAGCAGAGTGCCATTTCTTCATAATATACTTTTCTGAAACCTCTGCTGGTAAGAGTAATACACTGAAAGACATTAACACAAACAAATCTATAGCATAATAATGACATACCTGTATTCATTATCCCTCCCAGCATGCTCATGACTTCCTAATCCAAAGGATTAAATGAAACCTGCTAATTGAAACTTTTGAATATTGGTATAGTGGCAACCAGTCCAGGACTGACCACCAGGGAAACCAGACAAAAGCCTAGCGTGTTGTAATGGTTACAGGCCAAGGCCAGCAGGGATCTCCACTGCTGACCCAGTTGACCCATTAAACTCAAACTATTACATTTAAACCTTAACTACCTTCTAAACCAAACATTAAAACAATTGTGTTATTGTGCTGCAGTGAAGATGAACTTTTAAGAACACGCAGCTGTTGCAGTAACACTCAAATGGTCCAAGGCAATTCACAGTCTCTGTTTTAATTGAGATTTTATTAACACTAATTACTGCAATGTAATTACACCCAACTTGTCTTGTTGCAACTACTTGTTTTTTTAGTCTACCTATTATAAAGCTCTTTAGAATATGTCAATGTTTTATTTATAATAATATATACACTTATACACATAAGAAAAGTCCCAATAATATAGCATCACTTTTATCTACAATTGCTTTATTAATATAGGTACTTTGAGCCTTTTTCCATTGCTAACTTATGAATCCTCTTGGAATTGAAACCAACTGTCCATCTTGACACTCTTTCATTATATTCTTTTCAATGACATGATTCTCTCTGTTTTCAGCTGTTGTAGCAATTTTTTGTCGTAATGAATTTTGTATTTGGTTTTTGAACACTTTTTTTTAACACTATCATGGTAATCGATTGGAGGAAACCAAAGTGCCAATACCATTTAATTTTATCTGAGTTAGAGGCAAAAATAAGCAGTAGACTTTGATGTATTTTGCAAAAACATGTTTATTCTTCCACAACAATACAAACACGACTGCAACATATACATGCAATTTATCATTATTGTAATAAAGTGATTTGCCAACTCATCAATAACAAGTCATTATTTCTATCTTCCATAAATTTTAATTAAGAAAAAACAGATATCTATGCTACAAATGCCCTTTTGTTTACTAGAAAAGAAACAATTTCATATGAAATATCTAGGTATCGAAACATATTTTAATTTGTCAAATGCCTTTCATGCATTTCAGTGTTTTTCCTGCATTGTTCATGCACATTATTATATTGGTAGATGCCAATTACAACCTCCACAACCATCACTGGACACGATTGTAACAAGAACGTAGTGTTAAACCAGCTGGTTAGGACAACTTTTAAGAAAAAATAAGGATAGAAAGGCAAACCTAGTAGCACATCATGGGTGTACTTTTAGACCAAGGCATAATGCCAGTTCAGATTTCTGGATCTTGCCATCTCTGTTGACATCACAGTGGTTCAGGAGAATCTTACGGAACTTATCGAGGTCCACACCACTGATGCTTGGCTGAAGGAAGAGAAACAAACATATATATTTACATGACCTAGTCTGTATTTAGAATAAATGTAAAAATACACCGTTTTCATTGATTCATTCATTTTATTCTAGCAACTGTAAAGCAATTTTATTTAAAAAAAGTATACAAAAAGCAGAAAAACATTTGGAGTTACTTTTTTCTCCTTGCGGTCTGTTTAACAGAGTGCAGCTTAATCACTTAGTACAATGCAGTGTGCAGTGGGAAAAGACACATATCCTACTCTACAAATCCCCATCCAGATTTACAATGCTCAACAACAAGCATGGTATAGAAATATGAATTGACTTCATGGATGGAGAGCGAAAAGCAATAAAAAATACACGTGGAGATCATTGTAGGATAAGATTGTGAGTTCCTGGTCTAGTCTACCCAATATATGGCCTTGCTACTTCTATTAACTAAATAAAAAATACTCTGAAATGACATCAATTTTAAGAACCACAAAATATACACTAATTGTGGAGTGAAAGACACTAAAGGCAATTTCAAAGTTAAAACATCAAACACATGTAAATCATGACATAGGCGTTGTTGGGGGGTGGTGGGGTGGAGAGGCTTTGGGGGCTGAAGATCACAACATGAGACTCTTTTATGCCAGATATTTACAGATAATGGATCAAGCAAGAGCATATTAGTGTTTTATATATTTTACTTTTAATTTTAAAGTAGGCAACTGCTTCTCCATGTAGTTGTATGATAGAAAAATAAATATCAATAGTATAGTGCTTTTCAAGACTACAAGGGGGTGCTGGGGGAAACCTTTTAGTTATGTAAAATCACAATTACCCTAATACGGTCAATCACTAAAACCTCTGCTGCACACCCCTTTATTAGTTAATGGGACACTAGAGGTACCCAGATCACTTAATCTCATTGACCCTTAACCCTTGATAACTTCACCTCTAGTGGCTGTCTTCTAGATAGCCAATGGAGGCCCTTCCTGGTACTTTACAGAGTTCAACTTGCTCTGTGTTGCTTTGGGCTCATCCCCCGGGTGTTTTTGGAACCAACCAATGCCCCTGATTGTCAATAATTGTCTCAATGTATTTATAATTTTTTTATGTGACAATCTTTATTGTCAATTTTTTTTCCCATTAATGTTGATGACTGTGAACTTTCCGTTTCTAAAGTGTAGACCTATCCCTCCTGAAGTTAAATTTAAAGGTTTAATGGTGTAATCCCACGGAAAGTCCCACTCAATTGCTCCATGTATTGGGTAATTTTTCACCAAGAAAATCTCTTTGAGTAGCATACTGAACAAAAGGATATTAGGTCACAACATACATTAAATTCCATAGAGATGATTTACATATATTCTTACCCAGTGCTAGAGTCACTCAGTTATTTTGGACCCAATTTGCCACATTTTTCCTATCACTGGCATGTTCACCCCCTCTCCTCCCCCCTCACCCCCCACACACAGTTTCCTCTTTTTTCTTTTAGAAATTATACTTTTATTTCAAAGTTATACATAAAGAAAAGTAGTTCCTACTTTTCCTTATGTATAGCCTGAAGGTTGACAAAAGTTGACAAAGGGTAGAGCTTTATTGATGCTCAATGGTCTTTGCCATAGGCTATACTATGCTCCATTCAGCATCATGTCACGTTGGGGAGTCGAGCATCAATCCCACTTTATTTGGTTTTGTGGGTTTGCAAGACTCAACAAAGGTCCATAGGAGGCAATGAGTGTGCACGTCATTTGACATGCACGACCATGAAAGAGCAAAACATGGAATTCCCAGTGCCACCATCATAGAAACACAAAGATTGAGAAGACTCGGCTGGACTGGCACAAAATTGGAAACGGTAAGCTGCATCGGTCATGGGGCCTGAAATGGTTGTGAGCGGGTTGGGGGCTATAGAGAGGCTGGGAGCAGAAACCTGAATAAATGATAGAGCCCACTGGGAAGTTTCCCAAAACAAGAAGTAAATTGGAAAGTTGATGGTCAAGAAAGACCTCCTAACCTCTAAATAAAGTACATGCTGTCCCCTAGCCTTTAATTTACAAGGGGCATGTATGTAAATAAAAAAAAAAATATTTAAATGTAGATATTTGTATGTAAATCAACCAATGTATTTAGTTATTTATATATTTTAATTTTAATTTGCATTTTTGCCATGATGAAACTTTTATATTACATAATATTTTTAGGTTAGGGTTGATGTGTTAGGGTTGAAGTTAACATTAGTGCTAGAATTAGTGTAAGGATTCTTTGTAGGGTTAGTGTAAGGGTTACTGTATTAAGTTAGTGTAGGGTTTTAGGGTGAGGGGTAGTGCAAGTATTAAGGTAATGTAGGGTTTAAGGGATAGGGATAGTGTAAGTAGTTGGGTAGCATAGGGATAAAGTACTAGGTTTAGGACCAACTGAGCAGTAACAAGCTCATTAAGTACTAGCCAGTTAATGAAACTTATTTGTGGTGAAACTGTCATGACTCAACTTGCTTCCCACCTGGTGGACAGCCCTGGCTAGGCTCCACAAAAACAAGTTGCCTACAGGAATACCTGTAGTTAGCTATCACTGAGCCATAGGCGTGCGCACAGGGTGTGCCGGGGCACACCCTAATCCGCGCGGCCCACGCTGTGTGCCTCCATGAGCCGGTGAGGGAGATTTTTGAGCAGGAGAAGACCCGGTGAGCTCTTGCCAGCAGCTCTGCTGGGTTCCTCTCGCGAGGACAGAGTGTTGCCGCGGCAACGTTTAGATCTCACGAGAGTGAACTCTAGCTTTGCAGGCTAGAGTTCACTCACACTAGGACCACCAGGGATCAGGGATGGTAGCAAGGATCCCCCTCCCATGCAAAAGATAAGAAGGGAGAGGGGCTATTTTCTAATCCCTCCAAACAAATTTACACACAGCACCAACCCACAGCACCCTCACACACGTAGCCCCTTACATACACACTCATGGCACCCTCACACACAGCACACTACCAGCACCCTTACACCAGTGTATGTATTTATGTGTGTGTGTGTGAATATATATATATATATATATATAATTATATACATACACACATACATATACACGTGGCATTGTGCTTTGGGGTGCACACCCTTATGCACTGAGCCCTGAAATAGCCAATGGGGCCTCCTGCGTGCTTCTGTTAAGGAAGACGGTAACACAAGGTTTTGCTGGACTACTGATGACTCAATGATAAGACTATGAGTGATACCTATCTCATGCCCCGAGTAGATGAGCTCCTTAACAAGTTAGCTGCAGGACACTATGTCACAACACTATGTAATCTGTGTAAGAAGTACCGGAAAATCTCCCTGGTTCCAGAAGCAGGTTCCAAGTCTGCATTCATCACCCGTTCGGCTTGTACCACTTCAAGATAATGCCGTTTGGGATGAAGTTGTTTACAGGATTTTAACGGTGTATACTTAGATAACATTGCCATATTCAGCAAGACTAGGACAGCATACCTACAGTATGTGGCACAAGTATTAGAACCAGAATCCAAAAATAGGGGAACAGTACCTACCAATCAAGGTGCCAAGGCTCCGACTGGAAGAGAGGTTCATGCACATCCTTTGAAATAGTGTCCTTTTATTTAGGTGGCCAAAGTCAACACAGCAACGTTTCAACCACTACAACAAGCAAGACCATTCTAGTTGACAAAAAGTTGCTGTGTTTACTTTGAACACGTGAATAAAGGGACACAGTTTGGAAGGACGTGCTGCAATTCCTTTTCTTTGTTTGGAAGTATGACACTCAGAACTGACAAATGCGATTTGTGCTTGGCTTAAGTGTAGTACGTAGGGTATCAGGTGGGCTTTAGGAAACAGTGGTCAGAACCAACTAAAATATAACTTATAGTGATCAGATATATCAGTATAAATGTTTAATTACATTTTTATTTTACTTATTCATCAATTTTGTACATGTTTTATTTAAACTTATTTCATTACAGTGATTTAAACTATAACTTACCTTCACAAGTTCCATCATATCCTTGACAAATCCATCCACTTCAGGGCCTTCCAGAGCTCCTGTTTTACTCTGAAAATGCCAAATATTGGTGTTCAGATATAAATCAAAACAATTTTACAAATGTAAAAATCAGATAATTTCATATTAATATTTATGTATGTTATGAAATGTATATATATATATCAATATATTTTTCTCTTTATACAGAAAATACAGGGAAGGCAAGAAAGCGGGAGGGGTGGCCTTGTATGTGAAGGATAGCATAAAATCTAGCCTAATAAAAGTTAGTGAGGCGAACATAGAGTCCGTTTGGGTTACGTTAGAATTTGGTAATCACACAGTAACTCGTGTAGGTGTGATTTATAGGTCCCCAGGACAAATAGAACAGTTAGGTAATCTACTAGTTGAGGAAATAGCTAAACTGACAATGAAGGGGGAAGTTATCATCATGGGTGACTTTAATCTTCCTGGTGTGAACTGGAAAACCAAAATAGCTGCTTTTGCTGGAGCACACATATTCTAAACTCCCTACTGGCATTGTTTCTAAAACAAGTCATTGAGGAGCCAACTCGTAAATAGGCCATACTAGATTTAGTGTTAACAAATGGAGATTTGTTATCAGATATTACTGTAGGTGAAAGTGATATTATTTGAATTTGAATTGTATTTGAATTTATTGTGTATGATGCAGACATGGATGTGATGCAGACAGGCTTCTGGTAGGTCTATTGACTGACCAGTCAGAAGGGCAGTCTAATCTCCCCAAACAGCAAAGGGATCCCTCTATACAGCAGAATAAAACAGAAAGAATTTTCCCCTTTCGAAATGTGTACTCTTATGTCACTCCTGGTATTTACATACTGTGTTGTCACGTGTATATAGTCAATTATGCAAATTAGCCTGGCCGGTATTTTCTTCCAAGAAAAGTGGCAACCCTAGGCTCACCTATTGAATAATCTGGCTCTGAATATGGTGTGATATGTTATATTTATGCAAGCCAAATATATTGCACATTTTTAAAATATAGGCTATATTTCCGAAATCAGCATACTTACAACATCATAGTGTGCAAATATTGTTTCAAAATCTCTCTTTCTTTCATCTTGACTGCTCGCCTAGATAAAAACATTTAAAAAAAACAGAGAGGCGTATAAGAATTTATAGACTGTACAATTGCTTATTATACAGTAGTTGTATGGCCCAAAATACCAGTATTTTAGAACTTCTCCAATACAGCTATTTTAACAGTTAGAGACAGATAGAGTTAGCCAATTCGTTTCACCAATTTTGACAGATGCACATGTAACAAAAACGTATCACCTATGTTAATGTAAGGAACCCTTGGATAACTGTACTGTCTATAAGAAATAGTTTACAATTTGTGATCTACATAAGAGCTGTCCAATTGAATTCTATAAGCCCCTAGTCTGAGCACTCTATAGGTTGCACTATATCATTGATTTACACTGTAACGGTCGACTATTTAACTTATGACCCCTAGTTGGATTGATTGGAAAAGTGAATGCTTGTAATGTGATACAATCACCCCGTTTCCAAAGCTGCCCCTCAAGAGAGTAATCCAGCTAGCAATCTCAACTCCTAGGAAAACATTCTAAATCAAGATTCTGGAAGTTTTCTAATCTGAACAACTTTAGCTTTTATTGCACTTTGCTTAATGGTTTCTTCAAACGTCAAGGGATACGTAATGTCCTGTTGCTTGTAACATAAATGAGTGCATAAAGTGCTCTTTATTAGGTTTTATTAATTAATTTATTAATTAAAATTACTCTAAAGTGACCTAACCAAACCACACAATTCCATTACTTAGATTGGTTAACTCGCTATTTATTCGTTTGGCCTCACTGCTTTGAACTTGCCAATGAGTGATTTTTTTTTTTTTAATTCTTTATTTTTGTAGTGCGTAGGCATATAACAGTTGCATGTGAGGTACCCCAAAGGCATTCCTCTAGCACAATACAAACAGTTGAACATAGGGGTACAAGGAAGATCAAGCACATTTTTTATATATAAGGGTAGAAACAGTATAGCTTTACTTTGTTCAGGCATTTGCGTAACATTTGCATAACATAACTTTCTAGGCATGTGATTATTTTGCAGTGGCAAGAGCTAGTCAAGCTATGAATAGGTTACCACATGCGTTAAAGAAAGGTTGAGTGAGTCAGAAGATTAGTTATTGCTAGTGGCAGCAGCATAAGATATGGTGATAAGATATGCTGTGACATGGCTGACATAAGTTAGTAACGTGTTGGGTTGGACACCACCCTGACAGGCTGGTATGTCTACCTATACGTGGGTGTTAAGCTTATGAGTAACTAGAACCTTCCTCGCCATTAAGGCTATAGATTAGTGGTCCCACAGATAAGTGTGCTGGACCAACTCTGGTGGCAGGGTGTTGAGCTTATACCTAGAGAGGCTTGGTAAGTGATTGTTGCGTCCCGAGTGGCATTGCCCCCGTGGCGTTGACAGAGTCATGTGCCATGCCGGATTGCTATATGCAAGTGCCCAGCGCCAATGGGACAATGGGCTTAGTGTTTAGTTGGCGGCAGTGGCGCTGGCTTTACATGAAGTGTGTAGGTGAAGTTGTGGGGCAGATATGGAGCAAAAGAAAGTTGAATAACACAATAAATGCAACTCGTAAAAAAAAAAATGAAGGTACATATTTACACTCTTGTCATAAATAGAGTCCTCCACTGTCTGCGGTTAGGTATGTCCGCGGTGTCGGTAAAGTCCCCTAGCCAACTCCAGCTCTCAGGGCGTGCAGTCTGGTCGCAGGGATCTTCTTGGTGTCATAGTGTATCCAGCCTCTTCGTTCGATGTATGGGGTCTCTGCGTTGGTATGGGCATAGCCCCATTCCGGTGGGGTGGACCTGCCAACGTGAAAGAGTCTGCGTGAGGTGATGTGTCGCCGGCTGTGGTGTCGCCTCCGAGTTATGCCAGGGCCTGCCTCCGAGTGTTGTCGGTAGAGGTGTTGCGGTGTGGTCTGCCTGGGGCTCTTCGGCCATGTCCGGTCCCTGTTTAGCGCAGTGTGCGCTGCAGCAGGACTGCCTTTTCATGCCTCTTAGGTAGGTTTAGTTTTGCCGGGCCCTTGTATGAGCGGGTCGCCGTCATAGGTAGTGGTAGTCGCTTGGGCTTACGGGCTTTTCTGTTTTGCCATCCGCAGGTTTTGTTGGTGTGAGGCAGTGTGCACGTTTGTTGGGGGATCACCGGCAGGACTGTAACAGGATGGTATGCCTTGGCCTGTTGCTCCCTGGAGGCTATTGTCTTCCAGAACCTGGCGAACAGCTCATCCAGCCTGGTCGCAAGGTCAGGTTTCTTTGTGTCTCGGACACACGTGGCGGCGGCCATTTCGGTCTCCATCTTGTCACTAGCGGTTTGCTGGTTGGGGATACGATTTAGGCCCCTGCTGTCTTCTGCGGTCCGTGTTGAAGCTTGTGGTACTCGATTGTGTGGACCGAGATAACCCCCGCCGGTCCTGGGGGGGGGAAGGGAAGCCCGATGCTTCGGGTGCTGCATGGTTAGGTGAGCCGGGAGAGCGGCCGTCTCTCCCCTGCTCTGCATGTTGTAGGCCCCAAGCCTCCGGTCTGGATTCCCAGCGGGCTTTTGAACGTGTGAGGTGTCCCCCGGTACCCCTGCCTCCATTTAGCAAGGTGGGGTAAGTTGGGGTTCTGATATAGGCTGTATTCCCACTGTTTTCTGCCAAAAATCTGCTTCAGGCCTGGGAGCTCACAGAAAGCGTGTCTGTTCAGCTCCCCGGTCAGGCCCCGCCCCCCCCAATGAGTGATTTTGAAGGAACCAACAATGAAACATTATTTGGGTTAATTCTCTGCAGAATATGTTCCCAATATAAGTTTGAAGAAAAAAACTAGAGATAATTTTCAGTCTTGAAGTGTAGTAAAAAATAAATAGCACTCCAGATGTGTAACTACATCTCCCGTGATGCTTTGGTAGAGCAGCTTCTAAATTAATTTTGACCTAGGTTTGAATTTAGTCTACTTGGTATTTTTCATCATGGGGAACCTCAGAAAACAAGATAGGGAGAGTGAGATGTAGAAATGACTAGACAAATGGTCTCATAATAATAATAACAATAGTAATAATGTGATCTCAGAATGTTACATTTCTATGACAAATCTGTTGAATAATGACTGGTCCACCATTTTGCATTGATGCATTGGGGATTTTCTGGTGGTAATTATCATACTTATAATAGCAGACACTAGTTCTAGTGCAGGGGTAGGCAGCCTTTGGCACTCCAGATGTTATGGACTACATCTCTCATAATGCTCTTAAAGCCATGTTATTAAATCAGGGGAGATGTAATCCACAGAATCTGGAGTGGTGAAAGTTGCCCACCTCTGCTCGAGTTCAATCGTGCTCTTTTTGTCATAAAAAAACATTTCTAACAAACTTGTTGAAAACACATTTTTTTGTTCTCTAATGAAAATTCAACAGAGGACTGGAACAGATAGCACAGTAAAAGGTCATTTTTTTCTATTTTGCTAAACTTTAGATTGGGAGCATGGACTGCTTAAACTTTAGCTGTGGCTGCTTGTAGCCATGCAGGTCTACACTCCAAGGTGTCCTAGATACGTGTCTGTATTCACTAATGAGTAATCTAACCTTGCTTCTAGTGCAAATATCAACACCTCATGCTCTGCTTTTCTGTCTCTGGGAAACATATTTGTTTACAAAGAAAGCCATGCAGATAGGACACTGTGCACTTTAATCAATATCTTTCAGATTTCCACAGCAAACACTGCTGTCTTTAGTAGGGTTATAATAAATGTATAACTGTCACAAGGTATCAACCTTTTCAAGTTCTACTTGAAAGGTTCTGGTCATTTAATAAAATAATACAATGTATGATGTGTATTTACTGTATCGCAAGTCAATTTAGAAATTCAGCTCTGCAAATTACATGTATAGCATTAAATTTACCAATGTGGACTTATTGGAGAGTAAACTCTATTATCGATATAAGTTTAAAAAAAATTAGGTATAAAATGCACATTTTTAGATACTCTTTTCAAGTATATACAGAGATAGTGATTTTTTTCCCCTCAAAACATTATAAGCAAGCCCAAACTCACTCAAAAGTCCCAGGAGACATCTAAGTAGGGGACTGAGATGACAGTTTGGCCCTGAATAAGGGTGGGACGGGGCGCACCAATAGTATTATAATGACAGTGTGAGGACATAATAATGAATAAGTTAAACGTTGGATATTGAACAATTGATAATAGTCTGCTACACGTGGTTTATAGTATAGCTCCAGGAAATATGTGGTCTTTCTATTGTCTTATTCCCTCTGCTCATTTTCTTGCTGTTTTTCTTGTTTGATTTTCTTCCGTTAATAAAGGGCAGAGTAAATCAAGGTATTTAGTATTTTCAAACTGTGTTTCCATCATCATGGAAGGTGCCATTAATTTCAAGTCTCCTTAACCGGCCTATCAGATATGGTTGGATGGCTCCTAAACGTTGGATAAAATAGTATCGATATTGAATACAGTATTGGGCATCTTTGTTAATGTTCAAACACTTTGTGGGTGCATAAACTGTAAGTGGAAGCTAGAATAAAAGAAGAAACATTACTTTATGGATTGCTTTTAAGACATAACTTTTAAAAGAGAGTTTCCTCCAGCATCCATCTCAACTTGTGGAAATCTATTTCACCCACGGGCCACTTCCCTGCTCAGTACATAATCTAACAAAAAGAAATGGGCATCACATGGAAAATGTCTGATAGTGAAATAGCATCTACTAAAGCCACGTATGGCCTGGTACACAAATAAAATACTAAGTATAAAAAGCCCATTTATCGATAAAGTTCAAAAAGAAGACCGAACAAAAGGAATCTAAGCAATGGAAAACCAGGAGGGACCAAAAGTAAGAAAAAGATATCCAAGCGGTCATATGAGGAGGTTGGCAGTATAACTAGCGTTATCCATGATTAATGAATGCATGATTAAGGGCTATATGGCTGAAATGTTGTATTTTATTCATGCACTAGGCCATACGTGGCATTAATAAAAGGTGCTTTGCTACCGGACATTCTTGATGTGATGCGTGTTTTCTTTTGTTGGATCTGATCCTATTTAGAATATTGCTAATAGCATAAGCAGATCTTATTCCATGTTACTTAATCCATGTTATGCCCCATAACCAAAGACATTACAATTAGAGGAAAATATTTAATTAACCTTATATACCGCATTGTATTGTTAGTTCCCTTCTAACAAGACTTAGTTTTACACCACTGATTTTTATATTGTAGCAGTATAACTGCATTAGTCGCTGCAAAACACATCCTGTTTCTTCTCTGTCCCATGCACTTTGAGCACCCAAAGATAAATATGGCAGATGTTTGCAATCACGAACAGAGCATTAAATTAAGCCTTGTTCACAGATAAAGCAGGAAATCTAGAGTGAGAGACAATATGACCTCAGGTAGAATGGGACTAATACATGTTTAGTAATATGAACTCAATTAACAGGGAAGGAACCATTTAGATTTCTCTTTCATTTATCTCAAACAAAATATACTTTAATAAAACCAACTGGTAAACACAGGAATTGGGAGCACAACACTATTTGACATTGAGGTTCTTTGTTGTAGTGGTAGTGTTTTATGCAGTTCAGAAAGATTTGCATGTGTATATTTAATAGTGTATATATATGCACAAAACCCTTCTGTTTTTTGCACTCATTTTATTAACCTCAACCTGAGCTGACCTGGGAATCCAACCTGTAGCTCTGACGGCTTTTACAGGTATTAAAGATACTGCATCTAGTGCATTAACCATCTGATCTATCTCACTGGCCGTAATGATCATGCACTTTTGTGCTTGATGCAATTATATGAAATGAACCATGTCTGGCTACAAGAATCACTTAGATCACTGATCTCTAAATGGGTGCAATTAACATCCAAAAGTTGCTTTTCTGATTTTTCAAATGATGTTGAAAATAAAACGTGACACGTATAAATGAATGCTTTATCTTGATGGGACATTGTCTGTAATTTCCAATGATACTTACATCCATTTTAAACTGAAGAAGGAAATTTTCTTGCAAAGCCAAGATCCTGGTAACAAATAAACGAGTAATAAAACATATAATAATACAATAAAGGCAATAATACAATCACAATACATTAAATGTACATTTTACCAAAGTATTGCAAAACAAGCATACCTCCTAAATCTTCCCCCTTGGACACGTAAGGTATATGTGGATGCCACTTAATACCCAACCACATCAGATACCACCACTCTATATTACAAGGCAATATTACAAGGCAATCCTCCTGTGCTCCCTCAGACTTCTTGCCCATGTTTCCAACAGCAGGCTACTACTACTCCTTGCCTCTGTTGTTCACCTTTGCTGCTTAGGACTGAATACATGTACAGGATGGGCCAAAATTCAGAGTAGGATTTGACAGGCAAATTATTTATTTGTTAGCAATTACATTTTTTTGTAGTAGAAAAAAGTTGTAGAAAAAGTACACATTATAACTATAATGAGTCTTCAGAGCTTCATCATGAGTAATTTCACTGAGGAACGAGTAAATATAGTGATATTTTATTTTCAATACTGATACACATATTCAAGAAATTTCCAGATTAACCACCACCTTTCAGCTCCCAATCACTACCTTTGGGGATATCTGAAGGAGTCGGAGTACGAGAGCAAGAAATTTGACCGCTAACTAATATTACGAACAATGCAATTGAAAGAGCCAATCTTTGTGAGGCGACAATTGACGTTCATTTAAAAGATGTCATCTTCTGTACCTAGTCAAACAAATCTCCATACGGTTAGCATTCTTTGTTTGTAATGTCATTGAAATTGATTTATCAATAAGAAAGTTATTGACTCCTCAAACCCTACTCTGAATTTTGGCTCCATCTGTATAAAACATCAAAGAAGCCTTTCTTGTGTCTTTAGTCCCTCTTTTATCCTTAAGGTGAGTGTGGAGTGTGCAGCTAAGTACAGACTGAGGTTCCTCTTGTCATAACACTCTACTGGGTGTTAAAGTGGTAAGTTGTAGGCGACAGAGCATCTATGACACTTGCAAACAATGATGCCATGGACAAAGGAGAAATCCAGCTCACATACAGAATGAGTTGAGTCCTAAATGTAGGTCAGCTATAGAAGTTAAGCCAAAGGCAATGTTTCACTCAATTAGATTAGATCATATAGCTTAACAGGGCAATGTAGGACTTACTTTGCCAAGTCATTGAGATCCAGACGGCCATCTTTATTCTTGTCAAAAAGTTTCATCTAGAATGGAAAATCATCTACCAATTAGTAAAGTACCCAACATAAAATTAATTAACTACAATTATTTCAAATATTATCACTATTTTTGAACGCATACACTTTAATTCATAATTATTACAAAACCTTTTAAAAAGTAGTGGACAGTGGTTGCAAGTAAGTAAAATCATATAGACGCAGTCATGACAATACCTGCATCAACAACAATAGAAATCATGTCAAGCCATATTTTATTAAAAGATGTACGGTATCTCACAAAAGTGAGTACACCCCTCACATTTTTGTGAAAAAATTTATTATATCTTTTCATGTGACAACACTGAAGAAATGACACTCTGCCACAATGTAAAGTAGTAAGAGTACAGCCTGTATAACAGTGTAAAGTTGCTGTCCCCTCAAAATAACTCAATACACAGCCATTAATGTCTAAACCGTTGGCAACAAAAGTGTGTACACCTCTAAGTGGAAATGGCACTGTCACCGTCTGAAGACTTTGCATGATTTGCAAACAGCCCTGTTGGTGATATGGCCTCTGGGACCTGGTGACAAGTGAATATAACTTACCTAAACCACCTCTGGGACACCACCATCTTCTTCCGGCAGGTCCTCTTCTGTGAAGTACCAGGAGCCAATGTCATTGCTGTACTCTCACGCATGCACAAGAAGTCTATAGAGGGTCCCGTAAGACTGTGGGATCCTTCATAGCAACGGCCATTGTCTAGCATAGGAAATATAGTGGCTACATTGTCTCAGTATATCTTTTGACTGTGTTGAAATTTCAGTGTGGGGTGGGGGGGAAGGGAGGAAGTTTGGTAACAGTGCCACTTTAACACTGTAAGGACAGCATAGAATGTCTTGATACCTGGGGTTCCACTCTGTCAGCTCAGTTCATATTTAATGGCCAAGACTGTATCCTGTGTTGAAAGTTGGTGTGCATACAGCCCTTTAACTCGTGATTGCTCAGCTGCAGTGATTTGAGACTTTCTCCATGTCTGAGGGAGGACCCCAGGGTCTGCATAGCATTTTACAGGACAGCTTGCCGAAACTCCAACATGAGAGGGAGATCTCCCTCACAGTCTGCAGTCATTCAGTAGATGGCATTCGGATAACACTCTCTACTGTTTAAGCTAGGAAATCCCTCTGCTGATGTCAGTACTAACATTAGCAGAGGGAAGGATTATGTGTATGGTTAGGGTAAGTGTTATGGTTAGGACTACGTTTTGTTGTTGAGTTAAGGTAGGGTAATGTAAGAGATAATGATAGGTTAGGGTTAATGCAGTTTTAAGAGTTATGGACAGTGTAAGGTTAAGGTTAGCTGTAAGGTTAGGGTGGGTGACTGTACAGAGTTAATGTAAGCCAAGGGATAGGGTTGCTATAGAGTTGGAAAGTTGGTATAATGTTTTAACTGCCAAAATGTAATCTGGATCCAAGACATATGAAGCATTTAACAGTTAGGACTCACAAGGGAATCTACTTGGAGTTCTTTTTCTTTATTTGCACTTTATGTGTAAAATTAATTAAAAGCAAAAATGTGAAACTTGATTTTTAGCATTTCATTCATCCTTAATGATGTATTAGGCATACAATAAGATATTAAAAGAGACCCCTTTAATGATCACAGTTCTGAAGTTTTCTTTCATGGCACAGATCAACTCACTAATTAATAATGACTGATGGTTTTCTGGAGAAGCTGAAGAAAGCAGATGGGTATGTCAAGACCTTATGCATGCTCAGTCAGGTCCCATATCTTGCTTGTTACATCACCCATTTGGTAAAAGTCTGGAATCCTAAGAGAAAGGCATACACATCTTTTCTACCCCCTAAGCTAGCAGTGAGCCTTTATTTACACATAGCTACACATCTGCCACATACATTTGGTGAACACAGCAAAGTAGCCATGCAGCCTCTTAACCTGTTGTGCATGTTTGCTGGTTTGACACACCACCTTTATGGTCAGACATATCACCAGTGATGCAAATTGAGTCACTGGCACTAACCCAAAGTTGGCAAGTGTTTACCAGTCGGTGTTAGTGATAACGCTGCTATAGTTTGCAAGTTCCTTCAGCACCCATTTCCATTATGAAATAAACAGCAGAAAGCAGGATGAATCCTGTTGTATTCTAATGGATAACAATTCTCTGAATTCCTATTTAAATAAATGGACAGCATAAGTACATGCAATACAGCTGCAAGTACTTTCTTCCAATTCAGGGGAATCACTGATGATTGACTGCATTGTGCCTGGGCTCTGCATTTCTTAAATTTATTTTAAGTAGGATTCATTGCATGTAGACAGTGTCTCTCTGCATCATTTATTTACATGGAAGAGCTCCCACTGGCTGAAATATTTCATCCTCTTGGCTACAGAGAAAGCAACAGTCTGTATTTTTCCTGAGGTTAGCAAGACGTTGATAAGTGAGTATAACTATTTTCAAAATTTTTATAATGCAAATCTAGATAACGCATTGAAAGGTATAATGAAATATAGCCTTTTACTATAGTTGCAGTACAACCTCAATTCATTCAACTTCATAAATCATACAATCTACTGTGTACGTGTAGTGCTGTATAAATTAACTTAGAATAATAAATTCATTTTAGTCAATCACACGGCATCAGTAAGTAAATTGAAAAAAGCGACATTGTTACACAGTAACAGCCATGCATGTAGCCCATGGAGCAGCACAGCTAAGGAGAATGGGCCTTGACATTGCTAGGAGACAGGCATAGGAGGGATATAATGTAAGGGGTTGGCTAGAGTAGCTAGAGATGGGGTTGGGTTAGAGGAGTATATATAGTGGCCATTTTAGATTAGTGGCCATCTTAATTAATCCTCACTTACCTGTTTTGTCCCACCCTCTCTCCCTCCCTTATTTGGTCTCTAGCTCCCGTTTTGTCATGGCAGTGGGGGATGGATAGAGAAGTTGGGGTGTAGGTGGTTTGTCCTGATGTAAAATCGTTTGGTTCACTAAGAACAGTTAGGTTTGGAAGAGTAATAGTAGGTTCGAGCTTGTCGGTAACTCCGAACTCGGTGTGTGTATGGTGTATCTCGGTATGCCCCTACATGAAAGAAAGTTGGAAATCATGCCCTTGGTGGCAATGGTTATGTTTGTATGTTAATTATAAGTTATAATGTAGTTTTACTTATTGTGTTGTGGGTCATTGTCTGGGGTAGTATTGTTAATGAAGTTGGTGGGGGATATGTTATGTTTATATGTGAAAATGACCTTAAATTATTTTAACTTAATTTATATAATTAAAGCTGTGATATTTCTCCCAAAAACTGTGTATTTGTGGGGGGTTATTTGGGTTTGTCAAATAAGGCGACTATGCATATGTCAAGGAATCATTATTTTTTTTACTTATGGTACAACAGTTATCTCTCTTTTTTGTGGTTTGTGTACTGGTGAGGAATAATTTTCACAGAATGAAATAGTCAAATAGTGACATCTCAAATCAAGGAGGGACTAAAATTGACCTATCATTTTTTTTTCTCAAGATTGCTAAGTGTTCTTTGTTGGAACTACTTACCATAGTATCTGTATATTCATCCAATTTATCACCAGTTATTAGTTTTTTGTGTTGTAAGAAGAGGTCTTGTAAAAAGTTCTGTTTTAAGAAAGCATTTAGAAAAAAAAATTGAAAAAATTATAAATGACTCAATTTCACAGTGATTATTAGCCATTATCATACCAATAGAGTGATTGTTTGTTTGTTTGCTATTCCATACCCGCCCCTGTGGTCATTTTTTCAATGATCTCCCTCCTCTTACACTCCACACCAAGCTTATTTGACACAGAGCCAGATATGTCTTTTAGCACACCCCAAATTAAAATGTAAAGAGACACACAGGGTTATTTAGTAAAATGAGGATTTAAACTGAATTTAAAATTTAAGGCCAGAGTAGCCAAAGAAGGAGCAAATAATTTTGATCTTAAATTTGAAATTCTTTTTGAATTCACCTGAAATTCTCACTTTAGTGACTGATTAACATAGTGGTAATGATGCAAGGAGGCTATTAATGTAGCAGTTACAGTTTTTCTGGCATCCGAAGCCCGACTGCTCAGCAATTTCATGTTTTGAAAAACGTAAGTTCATTATATACATTTTACCTTTAAATGACATATATAAAGGATCAACACCAAGTACCAATAGAACTATACATGAATGGCTTTCTATAATATATATATATATATATATATATATATATATATATATATATATATATATTCCACACACTGTAAAATAACATGATTTCAACTTTACCAGCAAAAATATTGCCAACATTTCAATAGGGCCTCTGTTGTTCTTTATTGTGTAGTATTTTCTTAAAACAGTGTTTTCAAATTTTAGCTGCTGTACAACTAGGAAGCATCCATGCATCCATTACTGAGAGGGTAGTGGATGCATGGAATAGCCTTCCAGCTGAAGTTAACACAGTGAAGGAGTTTAGCATGCGTGGGATAGACATAAGGCTATCCTAGACTTAAGATAAGGTCAGGGACTAATTAAAAGTATTTTGAAATAATGGGCAGACTAGATGGGCCGAATGGTTCTTATCTGCTGTCACATTCTATGTTTCTATGTTTGACATCATTGAATGCCCAGACCCAAACAAGTCCTGACAGTGTACTTGCCTCTTCCTTTCATACTGATTAAATGTAAGTCTACTTCACAGCAGCTGTTATTCTTACTCGCCTATCCAACTCAGTAGTCTCATTCAGCGTCTCTAGTTTCTGTTAAGCTAATACACACAATCAAGAAGAACTAATGCATATGTGTGTGTGGGGGGAGGGAGCAGTGAGAGAGTTCTTTATTTCCAATTCTACTCCTTAATCTCTCTAGCAATGGGGGACTGAGAGAAATTAACCAGATATATGGTCAACTGAGCCAATCTCACAATCCTCTGATTAGTAACACCTCTATCAGTTCCATGTGTGTAAAGCAATGGAACCGTTATTTCATTTAAATAACTCGTGCAAGAGAATGGAAGCTGCAGCTTGTTTATGCTTATTTATACGGGTGACACGGTTTGAGTTATTTTGTTGAATGCAAATGATGGATAGTGGGAATTAATGGGCCATACATGACCATGGAGTTGAAGATTAGTAGCCAATTCCTATTTCCAAGAAACAGAATGTGTAAGATTCATGTTTCTTTTCCTTTTCCGCAAGATTTATTTGATATTGGTTTTAAATAGCAGTGTGTAAGTGAACAATAAAGAATTCAAGTCTGATACTAGTAAAAAAAATATATATTTATAATTTTAACTATATACAAGACTGTGTGGGACCAATGACTGAATAATTCTGCCTCGAGAAAGTAGGGTTAGATGATTTTTATATGAAAGCAGAATTTGATGGCACTAGGGTTGTGTAAGTAGGACATATGATAGAGGACTTTAAGGACCAATTTCTAAAGGCTGTATTAAAGATCATTTAATAATAATTTCAGCAGCTGCTAATCCTGTAGCCATTCACCAGCCATATGACACTCTAGGTGGAAGTTGGACAGATATATTTATCAGGATCCTATGAAATTACAATATATAGAATACATTTAAAATACAAAAGTAGGAGAAGTTAAAATATTTATATATTTGCCATAATTTTCATTCCTTGGTGGTAATTCATGGTAGTATTACACCTGGCTGGGTCCTGCACACAGCAGGAAGGACGTGAAAAAGGTTCACACTAGTTCTATAATAACACTTTCATATTGGAATTGATTAGTCTAAGTTTCTATACTTCAATTGGGAGTGATACCATGGCTTGCAGCCAGGAAAAGAAGATTAATAGACTTTCAGTTTTCCATGGCAGCATTACAAGGTAATACCTAAGCTAAAAATAAAGCAAGGGAGGGAGAATAGGTGATAACAATGGAAACAATTTTTGATTATGAACTAAGTGCAAATTACCATAGGCACAGCTGTAAGAGGGAACACGTGATAAGAGCTGCATCCTGGTTATGTGCAATAGTATTAGTTAAAGGTACAAAACTGTAATTGTTTCATAAATATACCTTTAGGACAAAATCACTCAAAGTATAATACACTAACTGACCCAAGTTTTTAATGTTTTTTCTTTAGGTAACAAAATAAAAATAGTGTAATGTGTGAAATAAGAGCAAACATTTGTTTGAACAGTATTTCTTACAATTATAAAAAGGCAATGTTTTAGAGAAGAGAGCTAGGTGCATGACTTGCACTGCACACCTGGTTGATCTTGCTCATGACTTACAAGTGCAAGGACAAAAATATTGTGAAATGATACTTACCTACATGAAAACAGTGAGGATAGTAGTGGAGTTTAGGTATTGGATATTTGTTAGATTACAAAGAAAACATAATTTCAGAGGTAGTGTTTCTGGGAAAGGTTCCTGTAACTATAAACACCACATAAGCTGTAAGAGTAATGTGCTTATAATGTTCTGGGGTAGGGAAGGAGTTCCAACATGCCTCTGTTGATTTACTGAGCAGAGTTACTGCACTTAAAGGGACACTGTGGGCACTATAACTACCGGTATATCATATAATGGAAATGGTTATAGTACCAGGAGACCTGTGACACAGCCCCTCCAGTATTGCTAAACCATTTTCAAACAGTGCAACACTAAATAAGGATAACTGACCACCCACAGCCTGCCCCCTACTGGAGGTATGGGAAAGGTTATACATTTATACCTTCTAGCGATACAAATTCATACCAGCAACTAACACTGTGATAGGCTAAAAGCACTCAGTTGACACTCTCAGACTATCCCATCCACCCATTGTTGCTTAGGATAATGCTTTCTTATTAGCCCAAGTACCATAGAGGGGAGGGCTGCTGAGGACTCTTGTTTAGCATTAAAACATTAAAAACTGTTTAACACTGAACGGAAGGACTGTGCCAGGGGACTCCAGACACTATAACCACTTAAATTAGATGAAGCATTTACAGTGTCTACATTGTCCCATTAACATATGTCATACAATCAAGCAATTTTTGTACGCACAATTAGGATGTTTTATTAGTTATACAGTATATATTTCTGTACAAAAACATTCTAAAATAGCATGGTTTTATTCTGTAAATGTAATTCTAATATATATTCATCCATTATATGCAACTTTATATTTACTGTTATATATTTTACAGAACCAAAACCTAAAAAAACAACACATAAATATTTTATGCAATGATAACTAATATATAGGAAATATTCATAAATACATGTACATGCATCAATATAATTGCAAACAACTTACATAAATCAAGAGATATGTGAGCCAGAACATTTGGCGCAGGTGACATGATATCAACTATATGTTACTATACTACTCGACTTGAAAATGGGTTTTTAAACATTGTCTACATAATGTTGCATTTTCTTGATATCACAAGATGTGTCTCACATTCCAGAAGTACAAAAGTCTACTATCAGTATTCAATTTCCCCCAATTTGGATATATTTTACCATTATATTAGACGATAAAGAAGTAAGATAAATGTTTAAAGGTTTATATGAAAAGTGGAGCTGAATAAACTAAAATATAAAATGTTTTTATTAGTGGGAGGTACAAAACATAAGACAATTTTTCAGGGGTGTTGATAGCTTTCAGAAACTAATTGGGCTTGAGCCCAAAGTAAAATCTTATAACTTCAACATATGACCTTACGAGCCACATCCACACCTCTCTTTGCAAACCTTGCCAACTATGTAAGCTGGGATGGCAATGAAAAATATTAACCAGAAACTAGAGGTTACTGTGTTGCCAGCTATGTTATGCAATTCCACCAAGCCACACTACATAAGTAACTAACAAGGCAAGCACTTTCTCGTAAACTTTAACATTTTAATTTAAAGAACAGACAGATATATTGGTTAAAGTTGTTGATATTTATGCTTACAGTCAATAATTTATGATTACAGTTTTATTTTGTAACTGGATTTTTGCAGTGCCCCTGCTAAATACCCAAAAGTGTCAAGAACATAACAAGGAGTGCCATGAACATGCTCCATTTCTTTCCTCATTTCTGTCCATCTTTGTTTTTCTTATTTTTTTTTCTCCACCAGTGGAAATCTTGTGAATAGTATATGTACCTACTTACTGTTTTTTCCCTTCAGTCTAAACCGTAGTCTATAAACATTAAGGTAGCGATTTTACTGTATCTTAGTAGGAGACTTTTTCCAACTCGGCTTTTTTTGCCTATGTTGTGCCGTTTCATTGTATACTTTAATAAGTAGATTGAATGGTTTACTTTGCATTGGAGTCTGTGGGCCTTCGATACAATATCTAAGAAGGATATTATAGATAGATAGATAGATAGATAGATAGATAGATTTGTATCCCCTTAACGACACATGATGGAAATTCTCCATATTGGCCTTTTACTCCCGTAGCTGTGTCCTTAAGGGGTTAATACTTGAAATAAATAACAAACATTGAATATAAATTTCACACCTGGTATCTACTTGAATACACTATAAAATAGAGAGCACAAAAGAAAAAAAAAGATGAAACAAAAGAAAATCATAAGAATTGTGGCGTGGGATATGGGAATGTTCCACTCCTGCTCTCTGATGATTCCCAATGCAATTTATTTTGTTAATGGCCTTGTACAACCTGCAGGGTAAATGGCCCATAATGGCTCCTCTGGGAAATGTGATTTTTCAAACATGTTTTTAAATTGCAATCATTAGGCATCTGATTATGTTTTATGGACTAATAGAGTGCAAATATATGATCATTAATATAGTAACAGAATTAAACATTATGAGAAGGAAGCATATTCTGTTTATTACGAATAAAAGTTACATAATTACATAGAACAATAGCCATGAAATTTAATTTCCTTTGGTCCTTAATTCAACTGTAATGATCATCTTTGTATTCGCCTGGGATATCCTAGTAACTGTATCCAACAGGTGGGGATACAGGGAAAATAAGTTCCAGGGCAATTTTACTACCAGGACTCTCACTCCCATGCTACTTGGCTACATTACCTAAAAAGGCATGGGGAGTAAAATTGGATTATGGAGAAAGATAGGAGAAATAATTAGAGAGAGAGAAAAACGCAAATTGTCAGAAGGTCAAAAATGGGCACACAAAGATAAACACATGAAATTTCACACAAAAAAAAAAGTGTAATGAATTTAAGTCTGAATTTCAAAATTAAGACTAAAATATCCCAAATATTTCTTCAAATGTTATATTTGCCCAGGTTTTACTATTCAGATGTTAGCAAAAACACCTAATAGTAATGTGCATTCTAGCTTTGTGACTTTTTTTATTTTTATGTGAATCACTGCAATTGAGTCCATTGCTCTTCTCGAGATTGGACTCTAGATCTGTACCTGTAGCCAGATAAACAATAAGGTGAATTAAATGTGGGTCAATGGGTTACACAGGAGCACAGACACCAGGAAGATAAAATGCATGCCCCATTTATTGTCAATTTACTAAAAGTTAAGGGGGCCAAACTGGTAACACCTCTAGGACCCTGTTGATTTGAATTCTTCCCTGCTCACAATCAAATCGTCTGTACTCTTGGTTCATGTAGTTGCCTTTGAATGATTACTTCCAGGTTTATGTCTTTATGAACTGATGCCAAGAACTATTCTCTGTAGTAAAGCTTATCGCATACGATCAAGGTCACAATAAAACACAAAAAACTGTGTAGACATAAGAGAATGACTTGCTCTTTCCTTAAAGTGGACTAATAAGTCAAAGTCTCAAGAGTCATGCCCAGCAGCTACATACATTTCAAAGCATAATGGATCACATATAATCAGACAGATCTCTCATATACAATCAAATAACAGTAAGTCGTACCCTGAGCTCAACGGCAGAAATGAACCCACTGCTGTCCTCATCGTACTTTCGCCATATCTAGGAATAAAAACATTTTTAAAAAAGAAACAGATTTTTCTTCATTAAAACATTTCAAAATATATGAACTGACATCAAATTACATTAACACATTACCACATTACCCAATCCTATTCATATTAACAAATTATTTATAAAGCATAAATCTGTGATGGATACGTGGAAATAGAGAGGAGATGTAAACTCACATGGATTAGAGCCTCTAGAGAGGCTTAAATCACATCAGCGTATGTGCCGTCTGGTGGCACCTGAACCTTGAGTGGTCCCAGTTAATATCCTCAGAAGATAAAAGAATAAACAAACTGCTTATGGTGCAATATATTGTAATATATGAGCAATAACTTAATTTCAAATGCAAATAAGTGCTCACCTTTTCCAGAGCCAACAGAACCTGGCTCTGGGTAATACTGCTTGGGTGCCTGTAAAGAGGGCACCAACCCTTCTTTGGTAGCAGAAGTGGAGGAAGCCAGAGTAGGACTAAATTAATTTATTATGCATAAAAATAAACATGCAAGAAAAAACAAAGTTAAAACAGAAAAATATACAATAAAATCTAAAAAATGTCCCAAAGAGGCTCCTCTTGCCGAGACGCATTTCTCCCGGATCACTGGGCTTTCTCAATCGGTATGTGAGTCACAACTGCTTCCTCTTGCCTTAAATATCCAGCGCACGATTCACAGCCTTTATATATACCCGGAAATTACAGAGGGTTTCTCATTCCACTACCTATGAAAATGCATTGTAATGTACAGAAATTGTATTACAATGACTCTTTAACAAAGTTCTTTCTCTTGAAACTTTCCAAAGATAATATTAAAACAAGACTAAAACAAAACTGTTATTGTAGCTAATGACAGCTATAGTGAACTAAGTATTTGAATCATTTGGATTTAAATGATTTTGAGAGGTGGGGTCACCACTAATCATTTATAAACCTCCTGAGACAATTACTCATAAAATGCATTAACGTCCAAAATACGGGAATGCTAATAGCTTTTGCGCCTGTTCCATATCACTAACAAATAACTAACGTGGTTCTTATCAGTACTTGCCATGAGCATCAATGGCTCTGCAACAGTATGAACAGCCCCTGTAATCAGTATGAACCATGCCTTTGATTCCTCTTAATTCTTCTGACTTAAATAACATTTAGCAAGCACATTATGCCATCCAATTTTGAAGACATGTTATAGTTTGTTGTTTTTAAAAAAAATGAAAACTGCAAATCTAGAGTAATTAATCGGAGCTGTCTTCAATCTTTGAGTAATGAATAGAAGTGTGCACCAGTCGCTAGATCTACAAGACCTACGCTGAACCTTGAGAATAGGTCACCACTGTGTGATGAATGCATCCACAATTGTGGTGGGTGATACACAAATTCTAGAATGCATACATATGAATCATCCTAATGTGTGAGTGATGGTGGTTGGTGGATATGCTTCTCACATATTACTTGCATGCACTCATGCATCAAACATGTATGCTACTTAAAAGACATAGAGCTAGTGATGTCCCGAACGGTTCGCTGGCGAATAGTTCCTGGCGAACATAGTGTGTTCGCGTTCGCCACGGACGGCGAACATATGCGATGTTCGGTCCGCCCCCTATTAATTTACTAATACTAAGTAAATACCGTGAGTAGGGGCATGTCTATTAAACAGTGAGCAACCTATTGTCCCCCCCCCGGCCCCCACCCCTGAGCGGTGGGTGGGGGCCCTAAAATGAACAATAAGGGGGGGACCTATTGTCCTCCCCCCGACCCCCACCCCTGAGCGGTGGGTGGGGGCCCTAAAATGAACAATAAGGGGGGGACCTATTGTCCCCCCCCGCCCCACCCCTGCGCGGCGGGTGGGGGCCATATTGATAATGAGGGTGGGGACCTACTGCCCCCCTCAGCCCCCACCCCTGAGCGGCGGGTGGGGGCCATATTGATAATGAGGGAGGGACCTCAAGCCATCCAATCACAGTGCTCTGTGTCATTTTACACAGCGTGGGAAAGTTCTTTTTAATTTTCCCACGCTGTGTAAAATGACAAAGAGCACTCTGATTGGCTTAAACCCACCAATCAGAGTGTTCTTAGCCTAATTGCAGGGAGGGGCAAGGCTTTATAAGCCTTCCCCCGCCCTGCGGAGCTCAGTCTGCGCGGAGCCCTCCATGGGTGAAGATGGATTATTTTTTTGCGCTCGGGTTTTTTCTTTTTCGTCAGGTTTTTTTTTTTGCGCTCGGGATTTTTATTTTATTTTCAATTCGACGGTTATGATGGTTTTTTATTTGGCCTTTTTTGGGGCTGAAAAATTAAGATTTGAGAAAAAAGAAGACGTTGAATGGTAAGTTTAATTTTATTTTATAGGTAATTTTTTTTATTCCCCCCTCACAATTTTTTAGGGTGAGGGGGGTAGGTAGGGACTTTTTATTTGGGGGGTGGGTGACTAGGGGCTTGGGGACCCCTAGTCACCTTGGGGGGGAGAATTTACTTAGGGCCCCCACCCGCAGCCCAGGCAGTAGGTCCCCCTCTCATTATCAATATGGCCCCCACCCGCCGCGCAGGGGTGGGGGCCGGGGGGGACAATAGGTCCCCCCCTTATTGTTCATTTTAGGGCCCCCACCCACCGCTCAGGGGTGGGGGCCGGGGGGGGACAATAGATCCCCCCTTATTGTTCATTTTAGGGCCCCCACCCACCGCACAGGGGTGGGGGCCGGGGGGGGACAATAGGTCCCCCCCTTATTGTTATTAGGGCCCCCACCCACCGCTCAGGGGTGGGGGCCGGGGGAGACAGTAGATCCCCCCCTTATTGTTATTTTTAGGGCCCCCACCCGCCGCACAGGGGTGGGGGCCGGAGAGGGGGAGGACTGTAGGTCCCCCCTCATTATCTTTATGGCCCCCACCCGCCAGAAAGAGTCCCTGTGGGTTTTAAAATTCGCCTGCCTATTGAAGTCTATGGCGGTTTGCCGGGTTCGCCCGGTTCGCGAACATTTGCGGAAGTTCGCGTTCGCGAACCGAAAATTTCATGTTCGCGACATCACTACATAGAGCTAATGATACTAGTTACATGATGGACTATATTCCATCTTCACTGTCCCATTTATATTAAGCAGAAATGTGAATCTTCTCTGCTATGTGCACTATGATAATAGATACTGAGGTATTGCAGAGCTTTTTCTGATTTTCTAAGTATCATTTCTAAAGTCCATTTTCCTTAGTTTCATGCAATTAATGTGTAGACTTTGCATTTTGGTTTGTTGAGGATTCCAGAGATAAATATTGTTTGTAATAGTCCTTATTTATCCTAAGAGGTAATTGTAGGATGTGTTTTTCACATATAATAGGGCCTTTGTGTTGACTGTCTTGTTATACAAAGCAAACGGATGCAACATGTATCACATATATCAGTGGGCACTGCATCACATAGAGATCATATCATAATAGTGGTCATGCAAATGATATTCTGAATAGGGAAACTGCAGTGGCTTTAAAGAGATAGAAAAATATGTGTTGGGATGACAACAGTAAAAATCATGTTATGGTGTACTGTAATGGGTTTGACCAAGATCTAAAGAGTGGGAATTAAGTTGACTGGGAAACCATTTGTCTTTGGACCAAGGAAGCACAATATCCTGGGTCTGTCTTGTTATCAAACATAAATCATCCTAGCCAGATACTCTACCAGAAGATAGAAGCTAAGGAATTGTGACTTGTATGACAGAGTGGTAGAATGATTAACAAGTACTGGACATGTAAAAATAATTGGAAGGTATATCTAATCAAGTATTTTTGAACGGATATTAAAAATAGGAAAGCTGATGATTGGCTTTGAACGAAAATGACGTTGGAGTTGTTCACGTTATTATAGTATAAAGTTTGACAGACCAGACAGACAAGAAAAGGTGTCAGTGAATTGAAGCACTCCTAAGAAACAGAGAGCCACTGCCAGTTGTTACAAGTCCTTACCCGCATGAACTCCACGCTATTATCTAATGGGGTTTCCCTTCGAAAAAGCAGCAGAAAGTTCTCATCTTCTGGTAGGATCATGTTTGCAAGCTAGAAAAAATAATGGTTAACATGAAAGATTTAGCAAGGAAGAAGAGCAATGTATTTCACTACAAGGTAGGATATATTAATTGCATGAATCCACGGTCTAGCTATCTTGAGGTTTATATTTTTACGATGTCTACTGCTGCACCTAGTTACAAAGGCCTGTAGACATAGTAGACATCTATACGATCATTCATAGACTTTTATAATATCGACTGTAGAAACTTATAGAAAGCATACAGTATTGAAATGTGTTTTCCTATGAGGAAACCATGTTTTCTCCATAGCAACCATATATAATATAATATATTACAATATAATATAATATAATACAATATACTATATCTTCAGCCAATGACAGATCGGCATGAAAATACACACTGGACATGCTTGGCAAGCAACATTCCAGCCAACGATATGCAACTGCACATGAAAAATTAGTTGCTATGACAACAGTAAACATCTACCTATTTATCTATGATTTTTTCTAGTGTATAAACAGAGGAAGCCCTGCTACATTATGGTACAGGAGTGCTGATGTGATACTTTATACTACTCTGAGCACAGTCATCTGAGTATAATAGACAGATTTAAAATAGATAGATAAGCCTGAAGTGGTTCTGTAAGATCTCAAATGTCCAGAATGGTCTGAACTAGGCAGATTAATTTAAACTGATTATATAAGATTAAGCTAGCAATGGAAGAATACATGGGATGGATCTCCTCAGTGGCAGTGGGGGGGTGGGGGGAATTACAGCAGGGCAGAACCTCTAGTACTCTATGAAAATCACACAATTTGGCAATGACAACCACATGTCATAGATATTCATAATATCAAATGTGGGACCATAAGGCTTGCTTCCATTGTTGTCACTTCTTTTTTTATGGTCAACTGCTACTTAAAAAACTTCCACTGATTTACAGGCTGAGGTATTCTCCTGGTATTCTCTATGGGAGCTGCTAACACTACCTAGTTGCTGCTTTCTCACCGGTTTTGGGGGGGGTGAAGTAACACTTTAACAAAAGTTATATCAACGTACATCTTATTGGAAAATACATGTTAACTTTATGACTTCTCATCATCTCCCAAGATGATACTGAACTGCAACTTATATGATTACCTGTCCATCTTTTAAATTGAAATAATTCTGGGAGTTGTAGGCCATTAACATCTAATGGGCTAAAGTTTGAGATCCCTGATTTAAAAGAAAGAATGCTCCAGGATCATACTCCAGAGATCAGATAATTTCTTTGTAATAAATAAGGGTAAAATGTTTACACTTCTTTTTCAGGGACAATGTGTCAGTGACAGTCAGGGATGGTGTGGCTACAGTATAAACAAAGTGATTTAACTCCTAAATGGCAGAGAACTCAGCAGTGAGACTGCAGGTGCATGGTCTTTACACTAAAACCACTCCATTAAACTAACTTTTTTTGGTAGTGTCCCTTTAGATATATAATATACAAATACGCAATTTTTTTTCCTTCATTAAACTAACTTTTTTTGGTAATGTCCCTTTAGATATATAATATACAAATACGCAATTTTTTTCCCTTCATTAAACTAACTTTTTTTGGTAGTGTCCCTTTAGATATATAATATACAAATACGCAATTTGTTTTTCCTGCTCCTTCTTTTTTCCCTCTGTTCACTTATTTCTGTGAATAAAATCAATATTTAGTGGCTGTCCTCTATCAATCATTTTTTCTCCAATTAATCATCTGCCATGCGGGGAACTCGGAATCACAAAACAAATGTTCATCCAATGTCCATTTAATTTGCTTTGTTATATATCCATATGCCACTGTAGAGTTACAGCATTCGGACGACCCAACTGACCACCCTCCCAAAATTTGGATGAATCTCAATTAATTTGAAAACAAATGCAAAAGTCTAAAAACACATATAAAGCATAATTCCTTATATATACATACTTCAGTATATATTAGACTTGTGGATTTGGTTTTGAACATACGGGCCATCTGAATTCTATAACTCCAAAGCGCCATAGTGGTATATCAGAAAACAAACAAAATAGACAGTAGAAGTTTATGGAAAAAGATGATTGACAAGTTTGACAGGACAGGCTCTAAATGTAAATTTCATTCACATATGTTGGTATTGCTAGGGGGCTTTGTGGGCTCAAGCCCTGGATGTGGGACTCTTCAGCACCAGTTGAGTTGTTTTGAGAAGAACATTGCTATGTGTGTAGTAAAAAGGGCACAGCATACCAACATTAAAACCTTTTTCCAATGGTTAAGTACGAGTGTAAGATGCATCATGGCCTGAAGCAATTGCAATCATCAAAGGAATAATAAATTTCCAAGTTATTATCAAGATAGACTACAGAATAAAAAACAAGTAGAAGTTGGGTAATGCAGCAGGACAATAATATTACACACTGAAGTGAATCCACTACAGTATTACTTAAAAAATAAGAAAACCATTTGGAGTGGCCTAGTCAGAGTCCAAACTTTAGCCCCGTAGAGTTGCTGTGGTATGACCTCAAGAAAGCTGAAACATTTGGTTAAGGCTATTGCTGCTCAAGGAGGATACAATAGCTATTAAACTCAATTGTTTACTTACTTTTCCCACAGCCCTGTGAATGTTTAAGGGCATGTGTTCAATAAAGACATGAAAAATTATAATTGCACGTGTGTTGTTAGCTTCATCTTTGAGATGACATGTTATGATTAATTCATGCAGAGAACTAATTAATTCCAAAAGAGCCACATATTTTTTCTTGCAACTGTTTTTACTATAGTTTATTTTACTGAAAGCAGGTGCTTGACATAAAAATAAAGGTCACCAGTATAGTGCTCTGCAAGGTAACTGTTAGGAGTGGATGCAATGAAGCCAGCACATCAGAATCATCAGGTGGAGCTGTGCCTGGTGTGGCGAAGCCTGAGAGGCAAGATTAAGAAGAGGCTTCATGCCCACAAAGGCGGGCTTATAGTGGAGCTGGAACCATTGCGAAGGAGGTGAATATAACTGGAAACCCGATGGAGATTCAAAGAAGGTAAGTAAAAAGACAGCATTTACAGCAATTATAAGGCAAAGAAGCATATTTCAGGAAAATTTTCTTCAAAAATGTTGGATTTAAAAATGTATTTTTTCTGTTGCTTTTTTGGCAGCCAAATGTCATTTTTTTATTAAGTGCCATTTTTCCCTCATACGCAACAGATTTATAATATTTCCACCACTAATTCCAATAAAAAAGTGTCAGAATTTTTATATCACTATAAATTTGATGGTCTTCTGAACTACAATTTCTGTGAAAACTGACTGGATTTACTATGAAGTAATTTCACTTTTTAAAACACTTTAATATATACTTAGAAACATAGCAGCATAGAATGTGACGGCAGATAAGAACCATTCGGCCCATCTAGTCTGCCCAATTTTCTAAATACTGTCATTAGTCCCTGGCCGCCTCTTATAGCTAGGATAGATAGCCTTATACCTCCCCCATGCATGCTTAAACTCCTTCACTGTGTTAACCTCTACCAATTCAGCTGGAAGGCTATTCCAAGCATCCACTACCCTCTCAGTAAAGTAATATTTCCTGATATTATTTTTAAACCTTTGCCCCTCTAATTTAACAATATGTCCTCTTGTTGTGGTAGTTTTTCTTCTTTTAAATATAGTCGCCTCGTTTTACTATTGATTCCTTTTATGTATTTAAAAATTCCTATCATATGCCCCCTGTCTCATCTTTCCTCCAAGCTATCCATGTTAAGATCCTTTAACCTTTCCTTGAAAGTTGTATCCTGTAATCCATGAACCAGTTTAGTAGCCCTTCTCTAAACTCTTTCCAAAGTATCAATATTCTTCTGAAGATACGGTCTCCAGTACTGCGTACAATACTCCAAGTGAGGTCTCACCACTGTTCTGTGCAATGGCATGAGCACTTCCCTCTCGCTACTGCTATTACCTCTCCCTATACAACCAAGCATTCTGCTAGCATTTTCTGCTCTATAACATTGTCATCTGAAATAATTACCCCTAAATCCCTTTTCTCAGATGTTGAGGTTAGGACTCTATCAAATATTCTATACTCTGCCCATGGATTTTTACATCCAAGATGCATTATCTTGCACTTATCCACATTAAATGTCAGCTGCCACAGCTCTGACTATTTTTCTAGTTTACCTAAATCATTTGTCATTTGGCTTATCCGTCCTGGAACATCAACCCTTTTACATATCTTAGTATCATCAGCAAAAATACATACCTTACCATCAAGACCTTCTGCAATATCACTAATAAAAATATTAAAGACAAGTACAGATCCCTGAGGTACCCCAATGGTGACAAGCCCATGCTTCGAATATACTCCATTGACTACAACCCTCTGTTGTCTGTCACACAGCCAATGCCTTACTCATTCAACAATATTGGAATCCAAACTTAAAGATTGCAGTTTATTGATAAGCCTTCTATGTGCAACAGTGTCAAAAGCCTTACTGAAATCTAGGTAAGCTATGTCTACTGCACCACCCGGATCTATTATTTTAGTTACCCAATCAAAAAAAATCAATACGATTAGTTTGGCATGATCTCCCTGAAGTAAACCCATGTTGTCTCTGATCTTAAAATCCCTGTGATTTTAAATGTTCAACAATCCTATCCTTTAACATGGTTTCCATTACTTTCCCCACTACTGAAGTAAGGCTTACTGGCCTATAGGTTCCTGACTCCTCCTTACTACCTTTCTCGTGAATGGGCACAACATCAGCTAACTTCCAATCTTCTGGGACTACTCCTGTTAATAATGATTAGTTAAAAAAAATCTGTTAATGGTTTTGTTAGTACACCACTCTTTTAATAACCGTGGGTGTATTCCATCAGGTCCCATTGACTTATTTATCTTTACTTTTGACAGTTGAAATAGAACCTCTTCCTCTGTAAACTCACATGTAACAAATGACTTATTTGTCCTTTTTCCTAACTGAGGCCCCTTTCCTTCATTTTCATCTGTAAATATTTAATAAAAATATTAAATGAGGCAATCAGAGAGACCTTTATCCTCTTCTTCATACCTTCCTTTTTTTTTTTTTATCTAACTAATTCTTGTTTTACTTTCCTTTTCTCATTTATGTATCTAAAAATGTTTTGTACCCTTTTTTTTACTGACTGTGCTATCTTCTCCTCTGTGTGTGATTTGGAAGCTCTTATAGCTTGCTTTGCCTCTTTCTGTCTAATCTTATAGAGCTGTCTATCTTCGCACTATGTTTTTTGTTGTTTTTTTATAATTACTAAATGCTAACCTTTAGTTTTTTATATTTTGCCAACTTCTGTGGAGTACCACAGTGGTTTCTTAAATCTTTTGCTTTTACTGACAAGCCTAATACAATTTTTTGCCTTCAGTAGTGCAACTTTTAAATAATCCAATTTCTTTTGGACTCCATTTAAACTGTTCCAGTCTGATAATGACTCCTTTACACATATTCTAATTTTAGAAAAGTCTGTTTTTCTAAAGTCTAAAACTTTTGTTTTTGTGTGGTGTGACTCAGTCACTGTTCTTATATTAAAGTACACTGACTGATGATCATTGGATCCTAAACGTTTACATACAATAATATCTGATACCAAATCTCTATTTGTTAACACTAAATCTAGTATGGCCTCCTTACAAGTTGGCTCCTCAACTACTTGTTTTAGAGACAATCCCAGTAGGGAATTTAGAATATGTGTGCTCCTGGCACAAGCAGCTATTTTGGTTTTCCAGTTCACTACAGGAAGATTAAAGTCACTTATGATGATAACTCCCCCCTTCATTGTCATTTTAGCTATTTCCTCAACAAGTAGATTATTAACTCTTCTATTTGTCCTGGGGGCCTATAAATCACACATACACGAGTTACTGTGTGATTACCGAATTCCAACGTAACCCAAACAGACTCTATTTTCGCCTTACTAACTTTTGTTAGGCTAGATGTTATGCTATTCTTCACATACAGGGCCAACCCTACCCTTTTCTTGCCTCCCCTGTCTTTTCTACATATAGAGTACACTGGTATTGCTATGTCCCAGTCATTTTTCTCATTATACCATGTCTCAGTAACAGCGACTAAATCTACATTATCAGTTGCCATTATTGCCACAAGTTCATGGATCTTATTCCATAAACTGCAAGCATTTGTAGACATGACTCTAAGCTAATGATTTTTTTTAACACACCTGCTACATGCATTTTCCAGGATCCAATTGTCCTTGTTTTGGGCAAAACCATGCAAAACCTCTGAACTGCTCACTAAGAACATTAGTTCCCTTTTGAGAAAGATGCAAACCATCTTTTTCGTACAGTTTATTTCCATTCCAAGCTGAGCTACCGTGAGAAATTAAGCCAAATCCTTGATCCCGACACCTTTTACCAAGCCACAAGTTAAAGTCCCTAATACGCATCCGCGTGTCGTTCTGAGTGTTATGCACAGGCAGAACTTCAGAGAATGACAGTGTGGAAGCAACCTGCCATATATCATTGGCAAAAACACAAACTTCCTTTACCTCTGAAACCTCATTGCAAGACAAGCCATTTGTCCCTAGATGGACAAGTACATCCAATTCCCCTTCCTGCTTTTCTCACTTAACAATATTACAAATACGTCTCCTGTCTCTGTGACCAGTAGCTCCAGGAAGACATCTCACAAGGCCATTATTGTCCAGCTCCACACCTCTTATGATAGAATCCCCCAACAACTACTTTCTATCACCTATCACCTATCGCCTCACCTTATCCTTTTTGTCATTGGCTGCAGCATTGCACAACTTTGATGTAGAAGATGGTGGTTCCACAAACTCGGTATCTGAGCCTGTCTCCATAACACCACTACACTTGGTGTCTGAGCTTGTCTCCATAACACCACTACATTCAGTGCCTGAGCCTGTTGCCACAACACCACTACACTCAGTGCCTGAGCAGGTCTCCACAACACCACTATACTCAGTGCCTTAGCTTGTCTTCATAACACCACTACACTCGGTGCCTGAGCATGTCTTCATAACACCACTACACTCTGTGTCTGAGCTTGTCTCCATAACACCACTACACTTGGTGTCTGAGTTGTCTCCATAACACCACTACATTCAGTGCCTGAGCCTGTCTCCACAACACCACTATACTCAGTGCCTGAGCCTGTCTCCACAACACCACTACACTCAGTGCCTGAGCAGGTCTCCACAACACCACTATACTCAGTGCCCTAGCTTGTCTTCATAACACCACTACACTTGGTGCCTGAGCATGTCTTCATAACACCACTACACTCGGTGTCTGAGCTTGTCTCCAAAACACCACTACACTTGGTGTCTGAGCTTGTCTCCATAACACCACTACACTCAGTGCCTCAGCCGGTCTCCACAACACCACTATACTCAGTACCTGAGCCGGTCTCCACAACACCAGTATACTCAGTGCCTGAGCCTATCTCCATAGCACCACTACACTCAGTGACTGAGCATGTCTTCATAATACCACTGCACTCTGAAACTGCTGAAAATGAATTATGTAGAGCAACAGACTGTGCAATATGCCTTTTATCCACAACTCTAAGTCTACCAGATCCTACAATAATCACAGAATGTAACCATCATTTTTTTAAATACTTTGATAAACGTCGTCCATTTTTATAACCTCTCTTCTTTGTATGTGTTCTCTATGCTGACTGCAAGGTGTAAAGCATAGAGAATATAATAATGATTGAAAGTGATTTAAGATTGTGGCACCCAGTTGCAAGATAAAAAGGTGTGGAATATCTACATTTTTCAAACCTCACAAATATAGATTGTTAAATATAGCGAAGTAGGCACACTATTGAAACTCCTGGGATGATGACAGTTCTTCTTTAAACACAAAATGTTAGCCTTGTTTTTTCTTTGTATATATACACTCTACAAACAATGTTACTTTTAAGAAAACAAGAAGTGACAAAAGGGTTTTTGATGATCACCTTGTAGTATGGCAACACTACTTTAGCTTCCTTCAAGGACAGGTAGGAAGTCCTCAGGGAGTTGGAATGGTTATTCTGTAGCTGATGTTAATGTAACATTATGTCAGTAGATGGACATGTTTGTACCCTGGAGAATTTCCCGTATTAGGTAAATTCACATTTAGTACAGCTGCCTTAAATGGTCTGGTGAGTACGGGACACGGATGCTGTCTGTCTTGTCAAGCATGTGGCTAAACATATTCTGCATTAGTCAGTTTTTGACAAATCCATGTTGAGTTTTGTAAGCATTTCTACAATATGCAATTGAAATCAAATTCAACCGTGAGCACCAGAATTCTAAACTGTACCCTCTGTAATGTTGGTTGTGCTGGTGAGATATATGTTCTTTTCAAGGAAAAATACATTGATATTGAAATGCAAAATGTATTCAAAATGCAAAACTGGCAATGGTTCTTTGCCTTATTGATATGAAGCCCTATTAAAAATGTCATGTTCATATTTTTCTTTAATAATTAAAGGGACACTATAGTCACCAAAACAACTTTGGCTTAATGAAGCAGTTATGGTGTATAGATCATGCCTCTACAGCAGAGGTAGTCAACCTAGTCCCTACCACCCACTACTGGGGATTTTGGGATTTCAGGTGGGCCGTTGTGGGTTCTGCAGAAAATGCGCAGTGGGCTTCGATGGCCGTGGGCTTGGACGGGCAGGGGAGATCCTTTCATCTTCCCTGCTGGCCCATGCAGAGCCAGTCTTGCTGTAAGCCCTCTCAGGCTGGTGAGGAGATCAAAGTTTATTAGCACTTATTTCCTACCAAAGGGAGGGAAGGGCCCAGAAGGCTCTGTGTTCCTCCCACGAGCAGGCTGGTCGGAGCATTGCCACGTGTTACCATGGCAATGCTCCGATACAGTGTTGTGCTCACAGGAGGACAGGAGAATCAACCTGCAGCCAGAGAAGCTGCAGGCTAAAGTGAACATGCCACCACTGGACCACCAGGGCTTGCAGCATTATGTCCTCACTCCCTGGTAAAGGGTAAGAAGAAGGGAGGGGAGAAATTAATATCTCACCTACACACATCTCATCTACACACAGAAACAGACCCTGTGCACCCTTGTCAGGGACATCCTGACTTCTGTATGATTTCTACACAAATATACACTACACCCCTCCCACACTACCTCCCTCGTACTGCCCCCTCACACACATACTGCCCCCTCACACATGCACACTGCCCCCTCACACACACACACTGCCCCCTCACACACACACAGTGCCCCCTCACATACACACTGCAACCCTCACATATACTGCACCTCTAACACACGGTGCACCTCTAACACACACACTGCACCCCTCACACACAGACACTGCCCTCTCACACACACACTGCCCGCTCAGACACTACCACCCTCCCACACACTGCCCCCTCACACATGCAATGCCCACCTCACACATGCATGCAGTGCCCCCTCACACACGCACACAGTGCCCCCTCACACATGCAAGCAGTGCACCCGTCACCCACGCACACATGCAGTGCCGCCAAAAATACGCACACAGTGCCCCCTTACACATGCACACAGTGCACCCCTCACACACGCACACATGCAATGCCCACCTCACACACATAAGCAGTGCCCCCCTCACAAATGCACGCAGAGCTCCCCTCTCACACACACACAGTTCCCCCCTCACACACGCAGAGAGTTCCCCCCTCACCCTGGCACACACACACTGCACCCCTCACACACACACACAATGCACCCTTCACACACACACCCTGCACCCTTCACACACATACAGCATCCCTCACACACATACAGCACCTCACAGACACACATGGAAAAAAAAAATCGCACTTGCTCTACAAAATTAGTTACTGCGGCACTGGTGGGTGGTAAGGAAATTTTACCATCAACAAAGATACAAAAGTGGGCGTTAGGTTTTAAAAGGTTGACTACCCCTGCTCTACAATCTCACTGCTCAATTCCCTCCATTAAGGAGTTAACTCACTTTGTTTACGCAGCCCTAGACACACCTTCCTGCATGTGACTTACACATCCTTTCTAAACACTTCCTGTAAAGAGTCCTCTAATATTTACACTTCCTTTATTGCAAATCTTTTTTTATTTAGAATGTCTTATTTCCTGCTTTGTTAATAGCTTGCCAGCCCCCGCAGAAACCTCCTGTTTGTAGTTAACGTTCAGCAGGAGATAAATACTTTTAAAGTAAGTTACATCTGATTTAAAATGAAAACATTTTGTTTTCATGCAGGCTGTGTCAGTCACAGCCAGGGAGGTGTGGCTAGGTCTGCATAAAAAGAAAAAGTGCTTTAACTCCTAAATGGCAGAGAATTCAGCAGTGAGATTGCAGAGACTTAATCTATACACAAAAACTGCTTCATTAAGCTAAAGTTGTTTTGATGACTATAGTGTCCCTTTAACAGTGGTAATGAGTATGGATTATGATAAAAGCACTAGAAAGAAATTCAAAAAGAATTGGAGAAATATATTTCAAAGTAAATGCAGGCTGTGCAGGTGAAACATCCAGAATGTTCTAGTGTTCTATTAAACATAGAAACATAGAATGTGACGGCAGATAAGAACCATCCGGTCCATCTAGTCTGCCCAATTTTCCAAATACGTTCATTAGTCTCTAGCCTTATCTTTGTCACGGTAGTTTACCCCTACACGCAAGATTTAGTTCAACAATCGACAGATAGAGCAGATATGGCTTACCGGACCTTAGAATGGCTGGACTCGCCGTATAGCAGAGAACAGACAGAGTCAAGAACAAGCCGAGGTCAAGGGAACAAAGAGACTGCGAGAACAAAAACTAGCCAAGGTCTGGTACACAGTAGTCAGTAAGCCAGCAAACAAGACAAAACAGGGATAGAGAGATAAACGGAGTCAGATACAAAGCCAAGGTCAAGCACGAAAATCACAACTGAACACAACAAGCGCTAAAGGTAACTGAAACAGAAACCACGATAGGGCAGGGAGTTAAGGGAGAGGTAAGTATAAATACCCTAAACTTTACTTTGATTGGCCCCTGTCATATCCACGCCCCCAAAATGTGAGTGTCTGGGGAATGTGGGATGACAGGAGCCAATGGGAGCACATTTCATCTTTTGGCTCCCACTGCCCCTTTAAGAGCATGCCCGATACGCGCGGCACACTCCTAGAGCTAGGCGGGACACGTGACCGCATCGCGCGGACCGTGCATGCCTTCAGTCGAGAGCCGCGCGCGGCGGGAAGTGAGGACCTCGGCCGGCCCCCGGGTAAGGTAAGTACTGCTACAGTACCCCCCCTGAAGACAGGCCCACCGGGCGGGGAGGACCAGGCCTGGCAGGAAAACGAGAATGGAAGGAACGCACAAGGCGAGGAGCATGAACAGCGTCAGCGGAAAGCCAACTGCGTTCCTCAGGCCCATAACCCTTCCAATGCACCAGGTACTGGAGTTGACCCCTGAAAAAATGAGAGTCAAGTACAGCAGCTACTTCGAATTCCTCATGACCCTCCACAGAAGCAGGAGTAGGAGGAGGAACATGCTGGGTATAGCGGTTAAACAGGAGGGGCTTCAACAAGGAGGTGTGAAAGACGTTAGGAATACGCAGGTTCTTAGGAAGATCCAAGGCATATGAAACAGGATTAACTCTATGCAAAACATGGAAAGGACCTATAAAACGGGGGGCCAACTTCATAGAAGGCACACAAAGGCGGATATTGCGAGTGGAAAGCCCAACCCTGTCCCCCACGACATAGGACGGAGCCGCTCTGCAATGTTTGTCAGCTTGAACCTTTTGGCGAGCAGCGGAGTCCACCAAAGAACGCTGAACCAGCTCCCAAGTAGTACGTAAACCAGCTAAATGTTCATACAGAGCTGGCATGCCCTGTAAGGAGAATGCAGCTAGAAGAACAACAGGATGCCGGCCATAAACAACGTAGAAAGGGCTTTTACCGGAAAACTCATGAGCAGCGTTATTACGAGCAAATTCAGCCCATGGAAGCAGGTCAGCCCAATTGTTCTGATGGTGGGATACGAAACAACGAAGATACTGCTCTAGGGACTGGTTGGCACGATCAGCAGCTCCATTAGATTGGGGGTGGTAAGCGGAGGAAAACGAGAGAGAAATACCCATCTCTGAACAAAAAACTCTCCAGAATCTGGAAATGAATTGGGTACCCCTATCGGATACAATAGATATAGGAATGTCATGCAACTGAAACACCTCCCTGGCGAAGATAGAAGCAAGTTCCTTGGATGAGGGCAATTTGACAAGAGACACAAAATGAGCCATCTTAGAAAATCGATCCACTATCATCAGGATGACTGTTTTGCCATTCGAAGGAGGCAATTCGACAATGAAATCCATGGATAGATTTGACCAAGGCCTCTCGGGTATGGGCCACAAGGAACTCTATGAGAAGACTTCATACCGGCACAAGTAATACATGCCCGAACGTAATCGGTGATATCCTTGCGTAAGGAAGTCCACCAAAAATATCTAGAAACTGCTGTTAAGGTTTTAGAAACCCCAGGATGTCCAGCAGTTTTGGCGTCATGATATAATGACATAATGTCCCGTCTTTCGGGAACATCAACAAACAGTTTATCAGTAGGTTTCTCACTGGGTGCCATGTATTGTTTAGCCTGTATAATTTGTAAGAGTGAAGAAGAAATAGATAGAACCGTAGTAGCTATTATTCTGTCCGGGGGAATGACAGGGGTATTATCAAACTCTTGTTTGTCGGTAGTTTCAAATTGTCTAGACAGAGCGTCAGCTTTAGTGTTACGATCACCTGGTCTGTAGGTGATGATATAATTGAAATGAGATAAGAACAGTGACCACCTGGCCTGCCTAGAAGACAATCTTTTGGCTTCACTAAGGTAGGAAAGGTTTTTGTGATCTGTAAAAATGAGGATGGGGTTCTTAGTACCTTCTAAAAGATGTCTCCACTCCTTGAGTGCTAAAACAATAGCAAAGAGTTCTCGATTGCCTATGTCATAGTTCTTTTCGGCTTTGGACATCTGTTTGGAAAAGAAGCCACAAGGATGTAATGACTTATCAGGTGATTCTCTTTGAGATAAGACAGCACCTACCCCAATATCCGAAGCATCAGCTTCAAGAATATAAGGCAAAGAAGGGACAGGATGCTGTAAAATAGGAGCAGAGGCAAACGTGGATTTAAGAAATTCAAAAGCCTCAAGCACCTCTGGGGACCAGACACGGGTATTGCCATCCTTTTTAGTCATGCGTGTTATAGGCGCTACAATAGAAGAAAATCCTTTAATAAAGCGTCTATAATAGTTAGAAAACCCAAGAAAACGCTGAATGGCTTTCAGTCCCTGAGGTAAAGGCCATTCCATAACAGCAGAAAGCTTCTGGGGATCCATACGAAAACCTTTAGCAGAAATTACATAACCTAAAAACTGTACTTCGGATTGGTCAAATAAACATTTTTCTAGTTTACAATAAAGACCATTAACAAGAAGGGTTTTCAAGACTGTTTTAACATGCATGTGATGGGTATGTAAATCTGTTGAATATATTAATATGTCGTCCAAGTATATTATGACAAATGAATGAATGAACTCTTGTAAGACGTCATTAATAAATTCTTGAAACACTGCTGGGGCGTTACAAAGACCGAATGGCATCACAGTTTACTCGTAATGACCACTCCTAGTATTGAACGCAGTTTTCCACTCATGGCCCTTTTTTATACATATGAGATTGTATGCACCTCTAAGGTCCAATTTAGTAAACACAGTGGCTTGTTTAAGGCTGTCGAATAATTCAGTGATTAAGGTCTTAAATCGCCCTCCTTCTTCGATACAAAGAAGAACCCTGCCCCTGCCGGAGAAGAGGATCTCCTTATAAATGTAGAGATTCTTTAATATATTCCTCCATGACAAGATTTTCTTGTGGAGACAAAGGATATACCCTGCCTTTGGGAGGTACAGTGCCCGGCAATAAATCAATAGCACAATCGTAGGGTCTATGAGGTGGTAATTTTTCAGCCTCCCTCTTATCAAAGACAGCCTTAAGACACATGTACTGAGGAGGTATAATAGTAGACAAAGGAGGAGTAGTAGGAACATTAATAGAGTTCAAAGGGGTGATTTAAATTATACAAGACTCTTGGCAGGTTTCACTCCAAGATACTATTTGTCCTGACTCCCAGTCAAAAATGGGATTGTGAGAACATAACCATGGGTACCCTAACACAATGTGAGAGGAAGGAGAGGTGATGACCTGAAACCGAATGGTTTCTGAGTGTAACATCCCTGTATACATATGCAATGGTTCAGTTTCATGTCTGATAACTGGGGAGCATAATGGTCTACCATCTATGGCCTCAACGGCCATGGGTGTCTTCTTCTCTCTAATGGGTATTTTGTTTTTCCTAACAAATCTAGAGTTTATGAAATTCTCAGCTGCCCCGGAATCAACCAGGGCTAGTATGTTTCTTGCTATGCAATTATTCTCCAGATGCAGAAAAACAGGGAGAAGTAGTCGATTAAGAGGCAATTTTGGGGACTTAGATATCACACCCAAGGCCAGTCCCCTATATGGCCTTAGGTGCGATAGTTTTCCGGAAGCACAGGACATTCTTTTAGCATATGACCCTTCTTACCACAGTATAGGCAAAGTCCCTCCTTTCTCCTATACAATTTTTCAGCATCAGAGAGTTTGGCAACCCCTTATTGCATGGGTTCTTCCTCTGATACCTTGAAACTCTCAGGATTAGCAACTCTAGGAGTATTTAATGTAACAAAACATCTATTCCTATTCTTAGTATAGAGTCTGTCACGAATCCTATTGTCTATATCAATGAGATAGTCGATAAGGTCCTCTAATGGCATAGGAAGATCTCTAGCTGCTACCTCATCCAATATAGTATCAGATAGTCCTTCCATGAATGCTGTAGTTAGCCCATTGTTGGTCCAATCTACCTGCGAAGCAAGGGTACGAAACTGAATAGCATAATCAGCAACAGACCTAGAACCCTGTTTAATTCTCATTAATGCCCTGGCGGAATTCTTTGACCTTTTAGTTGTGTCAAAGGTTCTACGAAAAGCCGTAAGAAAGCTATCGAAATTATGCACCATAGGTCCATTAGCCTCCCAGATAGGATTTGCCCATTCAAGTGCTTTATCAGTAAATTGGTGCATAAAGAATCCCACTTTAGACCTGTCAGTGGGAAAGGAACGTGGATACATCTCAAAGTGGAATTCCACTTGATTAATGAATCCCCTGCAAGACTTAGCTTCCCCTCCATACCTGGGTGGAGGGGTTAAATGTGCAGAAGCAATAGGCATGGTGGATACATCTGGAACAAGGGGTGCAGGAGGAGTTGGTACTGTTACCGGAGTAGTTCTAGATAAGAGTGTCTGGAGGGCCTGAGCTATCTGATCCATACGGTGAACCTGCTCTGTAAGTCTAGCCTCATGAGAAGCCAATTGCTGACTTAAATCTGCAGGGTCCATGGCCCTATCGTAATGTCACGGTAGTTTACCCCTACACGCAAGATTTAGTTCAACAATTGACAGATAGAGTAGATACGGCTTACCGGACCTTAGAATGGCCGGACTCGCCGTATAGCAGAGAATAGACAGAGTCAAGAACAAGCCGAGGTCAAGGGAACAAAGAGACTGCGAGAACAAAAACTAGCCAAGGTCTGGTACACAGTAGTCAGTAAGCCAGCAAACAAGACAAAACAGGGATAGAGAGATAAACGGAGTCAAATACAAAGCCAAGGTTAAGCACGAAAATCACAACTGAACACAACAAGCGTTAAGGTAACTGAAACAGAAACCCCGATAGGGCAGGGAGTTAAGGGAAAGGTAAGTATAAATACCCTAAACTTTACTTTGATTGGCCCCTGTCATATCCATGCCCCCAAAATGTGAGTGTCTGGGGAACGTGGGATGACAGGGGCCAATGGGAGCACATTTCATCTTTTGGCTCCCACTGCCCCTTTAAGAGCGTGCCCGAAACGTGCGGCAGGCTCTTAGAGCTAGGCGGGACACGTGACTGCATTTCGCGGTCCGTGCCCGCCTTCAGTCGAGAGCCGCGCGCGGCGTGAAGTGCGGACCTCGGCCGGCCCCCTGGGGTAAGGTACCGCTACAATCTTATAGTTAGCAAAACCTCTGAACTGCTCACTGAGAACATTTGTTTCCTTTTGAGAAAGAGGCAAACCATCTTTTTTGTACAGTTTATTTCCATTCCAAACAGAGCTACAATGAGAAATTAAGCCAAATCCTTTCTCCCGACACCATTCACCAAGCCACAAGTTAAAATTCCTAATATGCATCCGCCTGTCGTTCTGAGTGTTATGCACAGGCAGAACTTCAGAGAAGTTAAAGGGAATGTTCTGAAACTAATTGGTTGTGTGGTTTGGATTTAGGTTAGGAAGCTGAGCCTCTGGTAAATACTATATAGTAATATGTATGTAAAAAAAAAATTAAACCTCTTCTTAACTCTCTGCAGATTGTTTTGTATTAGGAATAAAATCTAAACAGAATTTTCGTCTAGTAATAAGGTAACACCTTAGGTGTCTCTATAAATTAAAGAGAATCTGTAATACCAACAATATCTGTTGTTATTTTGAGACTAAAGGTTCCCTTCTGTCCACCCACTTTGCTAGTAAAGTGTAAGTTTAAAAAAGATTCCTCTCACCTTGTTATCAGCATTGGAACTCCTCTGCTGCACCCATCAGCACTGCGCCTGACTCTGTCAGCATCCAAGCTGACATTACCTGCAAAATGATCCAAGGAGTTTGCACCTCTAGAAGCTGTCAGTATGACAGCACTAGAGATAGATTTAACCCTGCAATGTAAACTTTGCACTGTCTAACAAATCCAGTGTTTGACATTGCAGGATTAAAACCAAAGGACCACTTCATTGAGGACCTGGCCCTATGCACCACACTCCACTCTGCCATTCCTATACTTCCTATTCAACACAATCAGTGCCGGCTAGGAAGTTACCATAGCAACCACAGCACATGCCATGGGGGGAGAGCAGAGGGTCCATCTGTGGGAGATCTCCTCTGCTCTCGCTGGCTCTCAATTCCTTGGCACCGAATGTCCGATGAGCAGTTGGGAGTCAGATAGGTGAAAAAACTATTTTTAAATAGGTTTTTCTCCAAATCTATACATTTACAAACAAAGCTGCTAACACAATGTACAGATAGAATTTGAAGCCTTTTTAAAAGAGCTAAAGTTGATTTTATAAGGACAGGTTCCATTTAATATACAGGCCCCATGTCTCAAAAGTCAATACCACTAAACAATTAACTATGAAAGGACTTATGAATGATTGAAAATGCCTGTAGAGCACTCAAGAATTGCTGGGACATATATTTCAGATGAGGCTACTACCATAACTTGCCCTGCAGATATATATTGAAGCCTCATTAAATTGTAGTTACTGCTGTTTCTAACAGGTACATCACACACATTATTGCTTTGAATTGTATTATTAATATGTCCATTTTGTAAATCAAAATGCCCAGAATTGTAGCTTAGACTCATACAGAATACAACAGAGAAATTCATCCTATTAGTTGTTAAATGAGAAATATATAAATAATTTGGAAATGATAATGAACATGGAAATTGCAATCTCTGTTCCTGAATTATTCACCCGACGTATAGTAAAATATTATGAATATTTTTGATTCATGAAATTCATGAAATAAGATCTCAAGGGCAAAGAGAGTAATGCTTGAATACTGCCATTATGATGCTTGGGAATGATCAGATACATAAAGTACTTGATTTTGTTTCTGTAACTTGTATTTTTTTTCAACAGTTTATAAAAAGGCTTATTTAAATAGAAATTGGCACTTTCATAACTGAGCGACAAAATGCGTCCCGTTATCCAGACATCCAGAGAGGTTTTCTCCCTTCTCCATTAACTCCGCAGAGATAACGAATTGTCAGGCACACTAGGTTAGTACTTGTTTGCCCTCTGGCCTTCTGTACTACAACTCATTGAGTAGAATTGAGAAGCCACAATCGTGTATTTTCGTGGCTGCAGCACAGATGCTTCTCCATGAGAAGCCTCTGATTGGTCGATTCCTTAGCTGAAAAATAAAAAATGTACAAACTAAATGGAATGTTCCTATAACTATAAGTTAATTTAGCTGCAGGTAGCAATAAACATATATCCTGAAATGTAAATGGAAAAAAAAAAGCTACAACACAATAACAAATGTAGACCCATGTTAGACTAAGATTTGACAGAAGGTTATCCTCAATTTTAAACAATGATCGATATTAAATTGAATACATGATTTGACAATAAAGAAATGAACAATATATCTGCCAAATACTAATCTTTACTATTAAAACAGAATTAGCCTCTATGTTTATTGTACAGATGCATTCACACATTTGTTGCTATAAATATCACTAATTTAAAATAAATATTGGTGCAATTTCTCTCATCTCATGAGTACCTCTTGTATTTGCAGACGTCCATCAGAGGTAACATCATATGCAGACATAAATCGATCCTTTACCCTTTGAACTTTCTCTGTTGTGATTGCATTCTGCAAGAAAAAAATGTAAAATGAGAACAGTAATATCTTTGTTTAGTTTCCACATTACATCATATCAGGTTATTTGCTGTTATCACTAAAATATATGGATAGTATTCTCAGTTGATAATATATAGTTTTCTTCCAGTCAGCTACTTGAGGCGCTTCTGCAGAAACACCCGAATGAAACTTGATCATGTGACCAAACATTGCTCACAGGAAAGCACTGAGATCACGCACTGTGCATACGCACTAGTTTCCTCTAGTTTCCTCTATGAGGAGCATTGGAATGGACCATCGGCTAGAGAACGACATCTGCAAGAGGAAATAGGAGGAGGTGGAAAAGCAGCAGAGGAGAGTCTTGGCAGAAAAGGTTTATAAGCACATTTTAAACTTAAAAAATTTGTATTGCAGCTGGGGTGAGGGGGGGGGGGGGTCTAATATAACAACAGCGGTTTAAATTTGTAACACATTTATGTTCCAATGCTACAGTCTTCCTATAATTGCAATTATATATACAACACTTGCAAATTGTAACCTCTACTTGTATTACGGTACATTTTTGCTGGCTAAAAACTCTGCAACCTTTACGAATACCAGATGCTTGATATGAAACCAGTGAAGCTTTTAAAAATCAATATCTAAAAAAATAATAATCCAGGAGTATATTGGTAATAAGTGATAATTTCTAAAACTTACTGGAACACAATCAAAAGCTGTGAATTGGAAGGCTTTGGTGTTTTTTTATACCAGGTTGATGTGAAATGATCTAAGTGAATTTTAAGATTTGGTGTCACTGAACTAAAGTTACTGTGTTGAAGTCTTTTATAGCTTAGTATTAAACAATCTGGCTAAATGACCCTGCCAAAGTAATGGATACAAAAACCGGCTCTGACCACGGCTCCCTCAAACCACGATATGGACTAATTCAAGAGCATTGGTATGCATCAAAGAGGGAAAGTACTTCAAAGCTACCAACCCTTCTGAGGGCCCGCAATTCTTCCTATGCCAGACCCGGCGACACCACCCCAGAGAGTCTGGGATGTCGACAATATACCTCCTTTTATTCCCGGAGGGGAACGGGACACTGTCACTTGAATATGACCATGACTGTATAATGTTTCTAGTCTAATGATACCACAACTGTTCAAAATAGTTCGCCTTATGCCATTAAGTATGCTATTGCGTTTTGGATTGCCCCATAGGCAATCTTGTTTTATGTTTTCTTGTTATACGCGTTGACCACTTCCATACTGATATACTAGCATGCTCCTGATGCTACTATATGAATGACCTCAGAAGGCCAACCACTTGTTCAGCTACCACACACTCTTACCACAACGGGACTGTCTGATACCAACACGTTCTTATCCCCCCCTCTATCCCCACCTGCGAACCTGGGGAACAAAGACACATAAAACACACCTGGCCCTGAACCCTTCAAGCTAGACTAGCATGTAGACTACTAAAACCCCAGAAGTAACACAACTCTGGTGCCATACTAATGTCCCCCAGCCCAATATCCCATTCCCACCATGTCTTGCTAACTATTTCAACCAGAGAATAACACATCTACTGCCTTAAGACGTGACAGCTTATCCTGTAAGGGCTGGACATCCCGGTTTCTTAAACATATTGGGCACTATGCCTCACATACCCTACATACCTGCGTTTACAGCATGCAGATGTAACCTTGCTACATCATAGTTCACTTACAAACTACTAGACCACTACCTTCACTAATTATAAAATGTGCTATTTTATCTGCCATGTCATGGATTGTTACTGACTTATTGTTATTGTACCGGCTGTTGTGGCACTGCAAAAAAATCTGTTACTCTACGCACAAGTAAAATAAAGAATTGAAAATAAAAACATTGTCTTACAAATGCTTGGCATCATTGACCTTGTCAGACTGGCAGGAAGAAGCTCGACTGGGAACAGTGGAATTGGAAAATGCAGGTAACATAACACTGGATTTATCATCCTTGAAAGGGTTCATCATTAGGACATGTATTGTTCTTTACATTGTAGTCCCATGTTTTTGATTTAACTACTAGTTACACTATGTATGCACTAAGTACATAATCCTATTTCTTTTACACTTTGTTTTTTCTATTGTATCCTTGTTTATTTCCCCTTTTGTGTTATATATTATGCAAAAATGAATTAAAAGAATTTAAGCTTCCGCAGCCTCAGGCCAGCAATCTACTGCAGATCATCATCTGTTGTATACTGTAAACAAAGTTATTTTTGTCCACTGCCTTAACCAGGGTTATTCACTAAAGTGTAAAAATTTTTGAATTCACAGTAAATCCAAAATTAATTTCTAAATTCTTAATTGGTATATTTTTACTTTAGCATTTTTAGCCTAAAAGTTGAAAATCACTCTGAATCTGTAATTCGTTAGTGAATAACTAAAATATGTTACATTCTTAAATTTATAGTAGAGAGCATAGATCAGGGGTAGGCAACCTTCGGCACCCCAGATGTTGTGGACTACATCCCCCATAATGCTGGCAAAGCATCATGGGAGGTGTAGTCCAAAACATCTGCAGTGCCAAATGTTTGAACAACAACAGGCTCCATATACATTGGGTGGTTGGGGCACTATTAACTGCTATTGACAAATGTATACACTAAACTTATTAAACACATGTCTATATCTGTATATTATTCCTTTAATATAACTTGAAAAATTATCTAAGCTCTTTTATGCAGCGTCAGGTGTGCAGGTACAAAAGAAAAAAAAAACATCTACGTAACATAATGTGAGCATAAACATTGCAAGTGTATAAATTCTATATCATGAAAGTGACATTTTATAACACAGATATACACTGTGACCAAGAGATACCTGCAAGCAGTAAGCAGTATGAGAATGTAGATTTTGTAGTTGTTACTAAGACATGATATAATGAGAAAAATGACTGGGACATAGCAATAACAGTGTACTCTTTACATAGAAAAGACAGGGAAGACAAGAAAGGGGGAGAGGTGGCCCTGTATGTGAATAGCATAAAATCTAGCCTAATACAAGTTAGGCAAACATAGAGTAAGTTTGGTTAACATTAGAATTTGCTCATCACATGGTAACTCATGCAGGTATGATTTACAGGCCCTCTGTACAAATAGAAGAGTTGGATAAGCTACTAGTTGAGGAACTAGCTAAAATTACATGAAAAGGGGAAATTATCATCACCGGTGACTTTATTCTTCCTGATGTGAACTGGAAAACCAAAATAGCTGCTTGTGCCAGGAGCACACATATTCTAGACTTCCTACTGGAATTGTCTCTAAAACAAGACGTTGAGGAGCCAACTTGATTTGGTATCAGATATCATTGTAGATAAAAAGGATCTAGTGATCACCAATCAGTGTAGTTTAATATAAGAAAAGTGACTGAGTCATACCACACAAAAACAAAAGCTTTAAAAACTGATTTTTCTAAAATTAGAATATGTGTAAAGGAGTCATTATCAGACTGGAGCAATTTAAATGGAGTCAAGAAGAAACAGGATTATTTAGAAGTTGCACTGGTGAAGGCAACAGAAAATTAGGCTTGTCAGTAAGAGCAGAAAAAATAAGAAATCACTGTGGTACTTCGAAGAAGTGGCCAAAATAGTAAAAAAAAAAAAAAAGTTGGCATTTAGTAATTATAAAAAACCCAGAGTGAGGAAGACAGACATATCTATAAGAGTAAGCAAAAAGAGGCAAAGCCAGTTATAAGAACTTCCAAATCACACACAGAAGAGAGAATAGCACAGTCAGCAAAAAAAAGAGGGGTACAATTTTTTTAGATACATAAATGAGAAAAGGAAAGTAAAACAATAATTAGTTAGATTAAAAAGAAAGGAAGGAATGTATGTAGAAAAGGTCTAGCTGACTGCCTCAATGAATATTTTTGTTCAGTATTTACAGCTGAAAATAAAGAAAATGGGCCTCGGTTAGGAAAAATGACAAATAAGTCATTTGTTACATGTGAATTTACAGAGGAAGAGGTTCTATTTCAACTGTCAAAAGTAAAGACAAATAAGTCAATGGGACCTGATGGAATACACTCAAAGTTCTCAAAATAGCGTAGTGGTGTACTAGCAAATCCATTAACAGATTTATTTAACCAATCATTGTTAACAGGAGTAGCTCCAGAAGATTGGAAATTAGCAAATGTTGTACCCATTCACAAGAAAGGTAGAAGGGAGGAGTCAGGCAACTATATGCCAGTAAGCCTTACTTCAGTAGTAGGGAAAGTGATGGAAACCATGTTAAAGGATAGGATTCACGCGGATTTCAAGATCAGAGAAAACATGGGTTTACTTCAGGGAGAGCATGCAAACTAATATTATTAAGTGTTTGATTGGGTAACTAAAATAATAGATCAGGGTGGTGCAATAGACATTGCTTACCTAGTAGACATGTGTAATTAATTTCATTCCGAATGTACATTTGTACGAATTTCATGCCCTTCGGACATTCAGATGCTTACGAATGTCCGAAATGCCTAGGTTCCGAAGTTCCGAAATGACGACGTTCGGTCGTTCGGAAGTGCCGAAGCTCCGAAGCTCCGAAGTGCCGAAGTGATTCGGATTTCTGAAAATTGCCAAATCAAAAGAGAGGGAGGGAAAATTACGTGAATGATGCCAGGAATCTTGACCAATAAGCTAATTCCTTTTGTGCAATGTAATGCTTGCTTGCCCAATCCGGTCTCACTATACCCCGTCCAATGAAATGATCACATTTTTGTGATTGATGTTAGAAGACAGTCAATTAATGGTGATTTTGTCACTGACACTTTGTCAATGAAGGCACACGTAGTCATTGAGGTGGGATAGTATATAAATCAGGTTGTCAGGGTGTTGGCTTGCATTCATGTGGCCAGAATAGTTGTGACAGCACAACAGACTGAGAGAGATAAATGACATAACATTTATTGTACTTTACTTGTTGCAAACTTGGGGAGCCACATTGCTTTTAAGTGTGTGTTCCAGGGAGAGAGAGAGAGAGTGAGTTTTGCTTTTTTTTTCTTCTGCATTTTGTTTCTTTTTTTGAAGGAGGGGAGGGGTGAGAGTGTGTGGCTGTGCAAGCCAGGACGTCTGATTGCCAGGGTGTCTCTCTGCATCACTGTGACTTTACTGCAGTGATTAATTTTGTATTTCCTAGTTGTTGCCAGGTAGCCTGATTGCCAGGGTGTCTCTCTGCTGCCCTGTGACTTTGCTACAGTGATTAATTTTGTGTTTTTAGTATTCTGTGATTTCTTTAAATAAAAATTTAATAAAACAAAAGAAACCATAATGGATCGTCCATGTCCTCCTCACATTCTCCCCTCTCTCACACACTCTCACTTGCTAGTTCACACAAAAATTGTTTCTGTCTGCTCTCACTCTCTGCTCACGCTCTGCTCACTCTCTACTCGTAAACTCTCCATAAAGATGGTGTCACAGGGGTAGGATTATATAGTTTGCAGATGTATTGCATGCTGGTAGTGCTCCCTGATTGGCTGCACTATCTGTGCAGTGAAAACATAATTTTGTAAATTGTATATATACTAAACTAACACTACTAATTATTAACTAAACCCAGACCACATCTTTAAGATTAAGTGGTCTAGGTGCTGCTGTGGTCCACTATGCAATGTAAAACATTGCTGTTTAAGAAAAAAAAACACAAATATTTATTTTTCAAAACGTATGACATTCCAAACTGACGAATGCCTGAAACAAATGACATGCTGAACTGCCGAATGCACGAAATGAATGCCAGAATGCCGGCTTCCCAAATGCCGAATGTCCGAACCGAATGCTATTCGCCAGTTCCGAAGTGCCGAACCAAACCGAATGCCATTGGTCCAAATGGCTGAAGCAGACACATTTTTTTACTTACCTGAATTTCCGAACCAAACCGAATTTTGTTGCCCATGCAGATCCCTATTACCTACATTTCAGTAAGGCTTTTGTCACTGTTTCATCAATAAACTGCAATCTTTAAGTTTGAATTCCAATATTTTTTAATGGGTTAGGCAGTGGCTGAGTGACAGGCAACAGAGGGCTGTAGTCAATGGAGTATATATTCGAAGCAAGGTCTAGCTACCAATTGAGAACCTCGGGGTTCTGTACTTTGACCCATTCTCTTTAATATTTTTATTAGTGATATTGCAAAAGGTGCAGGTGATGGTAAGGTATGTCTTTTTGCTGATGATACGATAATTTGCAACAGGGTTGATGTTCCAGGAGGGATAAGCCAAATGGCAAATGATTTAGATAAACTGGAAAAATGATCAGAGCTGTGGCAACTGACATTTAATGTGGTTAAGTGCAAGATAATGCATCTTGGGTGTAAAAACACAAGGGCAGACTATAGAATATTTGATACAGTACTAACCTTAACATCTGAGGAAATGGATTTAGGAGTAATTATGTCAGATGACTTAAAGGTAGGCAGACAATGTAATAAAGCAGCAGGAAATGCTAGCAGAATGCTTGGTTGTATAGGGAGAGTTATTACAGCAACTACATTTCCCATGATTAATCATGAGGTTACAGGTTTATAGATCATATCTATTATCTTCAAGTATTCCCATGCTTGCCACTCCTCCCCCATGCTTGCCACTCTGAGCTGTAAATTCCTTGAAATAACGGTTTATCTCTACCCCTCCATAGGCCCAGATCCCCCTATACTATCTGCAAACAAGCCTCTACAATTCTCCTTGGCTCAACCCACCCACCCAGGCTCCCTGTAAATGTATAGCATGCTCAGCATGCTGTTTAAAATTCTCACTCAATTACCTCATCATTCCCTCTATATTTTACTAATACCTGCAACTCTCGGTTTACTTTTTTAACCCTCACTTCCAAATTCCTACTGCTACCTCATGTCTCAAATCTCCACTATATCCTTTAGATTGTAAGATCACAGACTATCTAGCTAAGCACTTTGTATAAAAGAGCTTAAATGGCTAGATCTCAGCTTACAGGCAGGGCCCTTTAAACCTTTTGTATTTGTTTGTGTATATTTTACATCCTCCACTAATTGTACAGCGCTGCAGAATCTGTTGGCGCTTTATAAATACTAGTAATAAATATATAAATAATGGAAATGCCGGCAATGTATCAAAGGAGATGTAGTCCTCAGCATCTGAAGTTCTGAAGATTGCCTACCCCTGCTGAAGCCTTTTTACACTCAGTTCCAGCCCTATGAAGACTTATGAAAATCCAGAACTGATATAGAAGAAACATTGTGTCATTGACACTGACACTGTGTTTACTTCTACTGGTTCTAAGAGTCATAGCTTTCCTCAGCCAGTCATCCTGGCCAGTAAGAGTCAACCATGGTCTTTTAGTGGAGTTAGTGGAGTTAGCAGTCTTAAATAACTCCTAAATTAAATGTCAAAGAGCTATGGAGGGTGACTAGAGTGGTCTTCATGTGGGAAAGGCTTTCCAAATGAGCCCCACTAATGTAACATCAATGTTAAAACTTCCTTGTTTTCACTCATGTGAAGGAACATTCTCAGCTACAATATTATTGTGCAAATAATATGGTACACAGCTAAAAGCACAGTCCCTATGGTACTTTGAGGTGAAACTGAGAGGACTGTAGAAAAATATATAACATACTGCAACAGTACAATGTACAATGTCAGCATCAACTGGCAGTGCAGCAAACATAACCAATGTACTTTTTTAGAATTGTGTGCATTCTTATTGCATTCATATTCATATAAGACTTCCTGGATATCGGTCTTCTATTCAGGTAATTAAATACTAGACTTGTGCACAATGCACATTTTCACTTCTTTGAAATTGATACAGTTCAGATTTTCAAAATATGTTGGTTCTAAAGAATTTAGGTTGAAGTTTGATTCAAAATTCAAATCGACTCCAAATTGTTAGAAATTCTGACTGATTCAAATCTCCAAGTATATTGAATTTATTTTCACATGTTTAGTTGCTTTATAAGGTGTACTGTCATATCACAACTTGTTATTTTGTTTGTACCAAACTAATAAGAGATACCACAGCCACACATGAGGTTATTTGCTATAGACTAATGATGTAATGTTACAGTATTTATGGTTGATGATTTCAGCTAAATGTTAAAACTTAGTCTAAAAATACAACAGTCACTAGAATAGATATGTATGCAAATTGTAACTGCACAATGAACAAAGTGACATCATACTTATATAGACTCTATTTAAATGGAAATAGGATTGAACAAAAGTGTCATGACAGATTCGGTTTAAGCAGAAAGATCTTTAAAGACAGAAAATACAGCCTCCGGTAGTAGACTTTAGCAATATTTTTGAGGCCTTATAATAGTCAGAGATATACACTAGACCACTTACTGGCATATAAGTCTCATGAAATCGCTATCTAATTTGGTATGAGGAGTATAATCAATAATGCTGGTGATCATTTATTGTGATATGTTAGATTGCAACAATTACCATTTGATACCTATGTCATTTAGTGAAATAAATTGAGTAAGGGTAGGCATGGGAGAAGCTGCAAACTACAGATGAGTTCTCTCACACCAACAAACTCAAGTTCATTACATACAAACTCACACGCAAACACGCACAAGCTCACTACAGACAAGCTCACTGACACACACATTCTCTGATACACACAAGCATACTACAGACAAACTAATTTATAAACACATACAAGCTCATTACTGACACAAACACACAAGCGCATTGACACACACACAAGCTCACTATTCCAAATACACAAAACCTCACTACAGACAAGCTCACAGACACCACCACACAAGCTCACTACAGACAAGTTCACTGATACAAACACACAAGTTCACTACAGACAAACTCACTGACACAAACACGCTCACTCATACAAGCACACACAAGCTCACTCTTACAAACACACACAAGCTTACAACAGACATATATACAATAATAACAGACAGGTGGTGGCCTGGAGGGTGGATGTTACAGCATTGTATCCCCCATGGATTGTCGGGAGTGATGGTACTGCAGGTAAGTAACAAAATAACAGCTTCTAAAATACATAAAATACATAAATAATATATCTTTCACTATGATAAATCATATTTAATGCCTTGATAGTTGTACATTAAAGTGAACTTGGGAGGACAAACTACAAGCTCACTGCAAACAAGCTCATTGACACACACAAGCTCACTACAGACAGTCTTACTGAAACACACACAAGCTCACACAGACAAGCTCACTGACACACATACACACACAAGCTCACTATGGACAAGCTCACTGACACACACACACAAGCTCACTACAAACAAGTTTACTGACACACACACACACAGAAGATCACTACAGACCAGCTCACTGACACAAACACAAGCTCACTGATACCGACACACACATGATCACTGACACCCACAAGCTCCCTACAGCAAACCTCACTGACACCCACACAAGCTCACCGACACACACACACACACAATCACTGAGCAAACCTACAAGTACCTATCACTGGCAGTGGAGAATCTCAGGCAGCATGAGGTTATCTCTTTCTGTGTGAAAGGTTGAGGCTTGCTGAGACTGGGGGCGTAGTTCCAGTGCAGGGCTTGGCTCCTGTGGGTGAGTGAAAATTACAGTGCTCTCACTCCTTCTTGCTGCTAGCAGGCTGCAGACTTTGCAGATGTATCGACTGCTGGCAGCCTCAGTGCAGGCATCTAGTTAGGTGCACCAGCCCCCCAACAAACTCTAAAAAAGAGGTTTCATTTATTGTGCTGCACTGCCTGGCCCCATGTGCTGCGGCCCACCTGGAAATTTCCCGGTACCCCGGTGGGCCAGTCCGGCCCTGCAACCATCATTGTGTCCTATACTGGTTCTCCAAACTTTGTCTTTCATCTACCATACAGTTGTGACTCAATGGCATCCATGGAGTTTCCATCAAATTATCATTAACAATCCTGCTTTGTCACCTTCTAATTTGGTGGGCTGAAGATAATGATAGCTATGTCACTGTCATCACCAGCATTAACCAGTGCTTGAGAGTTAATTCATAATGGCAGAGGATTTTAGAGTTTATAGTAATGGGTGATCTGGACACTTGCCACTATCTACATCCATGAAAATCAGTGCTATTGGTGAGAAGAGATCCAAGATAATAATGTATCGGTGGCTGTGGCATCACATCATAATGCCTCTGGTCTTCCATCTCAGCTGATGTGCTGGGTTTCAAATTAATACAAGAAAATAATAATAAAACACTAAAAATGGGGGGAAAAGACACTTCAATTTAGCAGCTTTAATAAACTCATAATTGTAGGCTGACCTATCTGTGCATGACTAACATCTCACTGACAGAGTATGTGAGAATTCATACTGAATTAAAAAATTAAAGGCCAGATTAGCCATAATAAAAGCTTGTCTGAGATAGAGAATTTTTGCAGTTCAGCTATTATTTAAATTTCGTTTTGAATTCACTTTGAATTCTCACTGTAGTGAATAACTCTGCAAGCCTAGAGGATAATCAGCTACACTTCAAAGCCGATGCCCAAATATGGCAGAAATGTTAAAGCAGGGTTGCAGTATATCTTGTGCACAGCTGCGGATTGGCCATTAGGCAACCAAGGCGGACACCTAGGGCCCAGGCTCAGATAGTGTGTTGTGCAGCTGCACAGGATCCATATGGCACCAGGCTAGTACTGCTGCTCCCACCGAAAAAAAAAGTACAAGCAAATTTTTATTTAATTCATTCCAGAATCGTCAATATATTAAACAATAATGATTACTTTGTGGTCTGTGGTGTACCATGTTAATTGCATGTTAATCCATCATGGTTCCAAAGCACTGTGAGGGAGTCTGAGTGCAGAGACAGATTACCAGCCTGAACTGTGATGTCCTTACAGCGTGCTGCACCAGAGCAGCAAATAATATGGACTACTGCACCACACACCTGCACTGGGACCTCATTGGACTGGTACCATTGCCCCCCTTTCTTCTCAGGAGGTAAGCAGGAGGGGGGCAAATGTTATATAAATAATAGTAATTTAAGTGTGGGGAGACTGTGTTTGACCTTCCCCACATACTGTCACCCCATACACACACACTCATCCCCAACAGATTGTAACCCCTTCCACTTTCACCCCCACACCTTGTCACACTCATCTCCCAACCTTATCACACTAAACCCCCAACCATGTCACACTCATCACCCATCTCCCTGCCAAACTTACCCCATAACACTCACCCCTTTACCCTCACATACTTACCACCCCTCACCCTCTCACACATACCACCTCTCACCCTGACACATACCCTGTCACTCTCACCCTGCCAAGTTCAACCATTGCCATGCCACACTTAACCTGTCACAATTTCCCTCCTAACTCTGTCACACTCACCACCCCTCACTGCTACACTCAACTACCTCATCATACGCACCACCCATCACCCTGCCACATTCACCCCTTACTCATTCTATCACAGACATTCCCTAAAGATCACGATATTTGTTATTTGCTTGTTTTGAATAATTATTGAATAGAAATTTTAATTAAATTCATTAATTCCTTATCTCACTTACAGTGGCAAGATATAAGTATGTGAACCCTTTGAAATTAGTGGTTTTCTGTATGAATTGGTCACCATGGGGCCATTGGGTTGCCCATACACTTAGGGCTACTGCATGGGTATTTTTGAACAGAGCCCCAGTTGAGTGCAATAGCCCTTTAACAGCATCACCAGGCCACTCTAGTATAGACAGTGCTGGGAAGAAGTCAGAAGACCCTAACTCCCATCAGCCTCCGCAAGCAGCAGGACCCCAGCAAAGCCACCTTGAGGCAAACAAGAGGTATTTTAACAGGATGCTGGATAAAAAAGTACAAAATTATGACATATTCGCGTCACTGCGTGTATCTATGTGTGTGTCACTGTGTGCATGTGTGTATCTGTTTGTTTATCTATGTGTATGTCAGTGTTTGTGCATGTGTCAGTGTGTGCCAGTGCATGTGTATGTGTGTATTTGAGTGTGTCTATATGAGTCAGCGTGTATCTCAGTGTGTGTATGTGTCATTGTGTGTATCTGTGTGTATGTCAATGTTTATGTGTATGTGTAACTATGCTTGTATGTGTGAGTTTATGTGTATACATCCCAGCAATGTGTTAGTATGTGCGTCTATGTGTCAGTGTGTGTATCTGTCAGTATGTGTATCTATGTATGTGCCAATGTGTGTGTATGTTTTTATCTGAGTGTGTCTATATGAATCAGTGTGAATATGAATCTGTGTATGCATCAGTATGTGTATTTGTGTGAGTGTCAATGTTTATCTTTAAATATGTTTGTATGTGACAGAGTATGTGCATACATTCAATCAATAAAACCACCAGCACTACATGAAAACACACTCTTGCAAGTCCTGCAGGAACCTGTCTTGACGTTTCAGCTTGTGTGTCTTGTTCAGTGGTGGTCGTCTTTCAGCCTTTCTTACCTTGGCCATGTCTCTGAGTATTGCACACCTTGTGCTTTTGGGCACTCCAGTGATGTTGCAGCTCTGAAATATGGCCAAACTGGTGGCAAGTGGCATCGTGGCAGCTGCACGCTTGACTTTTCTCAGTTCATGGGCAGTTATTTTGCGCCTTGGTTTTTCCACACGCTTCTTGCGACCCTGTTGACTATTTTGAATGAAACGCTTGATTGTTCGATGATCACGCTTCAGAAGCTTTGCAATTTTAAGAGTGCTGCATCCCTCTGCAAGATATCTCACTATTTTTGACTTTTCTGAGCCTGTCAAGTCCTTCTTTTGACCCATTTTGCCAAAGGAAAGGAAGTTGCCTAATAATTATGCACACCTGATATAGGGTGTTGATGTCATTAGACCACACCCCTTCTCATTACAGAGATGCACATCACCTAACATGCTTAATTGGTAGTAGGCTTTCGAGCCTATACAGCTTGGAGTAAGACAACATGCATAAAGAGGATGATGTGGTCAAAATACTCATTTGCCTAATAATTCTGCACTCCCTGTATACCTCCACAAACACATCCATAGTGCACTTTGCCCCCCCCCCCGCACATGCAGTACATCCCTCACACGCACAGTGTACCCACCCCCCCACACACAGTGTACATTCCACACACACACATTGCACCCACACAGTGCTTCTCCACACACACAGTCTGCCCACCCACACACATAGCATCAACCTATAAGCATATGCTTCAGTGTATATATACAGTGTTTGTTCACTTATACACTGCACAAAAAAAGCTTTTGGAGTTCCTGGATCTATTTTGCAAGTATGGTTAGGGGCATGCCAGCCCCTTGTTCTGGAGCACCTATCTGGAGCTGTTCTCCACCACAGGAACAGAGTGGGAAATAGGAGTGCAGTCCCCTTTTTTGATTCGTGGAATCTGTGTGTAAACTGGTGTGGGACATTATATGTATATGTCAGGAAGGGTGCCTGCATGTCAGAGAAATATATTATATTAAAAAAAAAACTATTTAACTTAAAGTCAGACAGGTTCACTATAACACAAGTACCCTTTCTAATATGATGTTGCATAGGAGTAGGTCCATAGGGGGGGAAAGGGGACACTATGAGTTACTACTTCGAGTGAATCCAACTCTAGTGATGCCACTGATCCAATATCAGCACTGTGTGTCTGCTGAAAATGTATCCCCAAATCCCAGCACAGTGTGTTTCTACTGAAAATGTCTTCCAATACAAATATCCTGTGTGTGTTCTCCAAAACTAACACTGCGTGTCTGATGAAAATGTGCCCCCCAGTCCAACTGCTGTGTGTATGAGGGTATAGATCCCACCCTGCAGTCCTTAAGGGCTTAACTTGGTTGCCCCATCAGTTAGAATTCAATGTATGCAACTGTTTCATGCTTTGATTTCAACATATGGTTGCTACTTTAGCAGTCTAATATATATTATGTCCTCTTTTTTTCCTTCTATCGGTTACTTCTTCTCACTTGATCTCCGAACCAAATGTCAGGAAAACACACGTATCATATTTTTATATATATATATATATATATATATATATTGATATTATGAATATATTTTGTAGTGCAATTTATGGGTCATTTTCCGCACCCTTTTGGTTTTTGAGTTGTGTTTCCCGAAATGCCACATTGACAAATCCCGACTCAACTAACACAAATATTTTGTTTAGACCAGATTGATTTGGCCACACCAAGATTTTTTACCATGCACAAGTCTATGAATCACTGTTTGTTAACTGATTTGGCTACCACTATCAACTGTGTATGGTACACTTATCTTATTTTAATCAGTAGATTTTAGCACAGTTGGACAATTTACCTGGATCCCACTTCATGCCGTTGGCCTGCTTTGTTCTATAGAGCTTTCTGACTTCTCCTACTGCAGAAAACTGGATATGGCTGATGCGCTTGCTGGCACTCAGCAAGACCCAGGCAAGCTTTTAAATGGTTATAGTGTAAAGGTTATAGTGTTGGTGTATTTATTTAAAGACCCTACATCAAAATTAAATGTCCAATTCATTTGACAAATGCAGGGTTGTATAGAGCTACAAATGCTATATATGTAATGAATTCCACGATAGTATAGTGTCTTTAGTGACCTTACATAGTAAAGTCAGAAAGGGAATTTGTGACATATACGGACCATGCATTTCTCAGCTATGGTGCTGCCGTAGTAACCAAAATGTATACATAATACAGATAAAGGAACAGCGCACACATAAAAATACAGTTATACATTTTATAAAGCTACTTAACAATTACTAATCTACGCAAACAAATATGGGGATTTAGTTCCACCATATGGCCATATTGTGTTAAGCCCACCACTACTTCACAGTACCCCAATATCGGTGGGTCCTACACTAATTACAACGTGGGAGACAAATTAAAGTACCAGTGCTAAATGAGCTAAAGTGTATTTATTTGTATTTAGTGACCTTACTGTGATACCTAAGGAATTATGAATGTCGTTTATACCCCTTTTTTAATTCTTTATTTTTGCAGTGCATAAAGATGAGTACAGACAAACCCACAATGCCCGAATAGCAATAGCAGGCAGTCAAAAAAATTTATGTTAGGATAGATGTGTGGCATTTAAATATAACAGCACTAATTTTATGATCTAATAGATTCAGGCTAGACATGTATGTCAAAACATTGACTGAAACTAAGCGGGTAGAAACATGAGGCAAGTTAGACCTAACGATAAATACCAGGAAAGAAATAATATGATAAAACCTGCTTATATCAGTAGCCTAGTACATTATGCTAAACTTCACTCTTTGAACTATAGGGTATCATGTTAGTTAAACGTGTCTTCAAAGTTAAAAAATGTTTGGAAAAACATGCTGAATACATGTCGGTAATGCTAATTAAACAATTAGGAGGAGCTGACACGTAGAGTCATGTAGATGCAATGAAACATGCTTATAGAGGAAAAGAAAATTGAAGTGAGTTGCTGGTTAACGACTAAGCTTGCTGTAGACAACTAAAGTTACCAATGTGACTGCACTACTCATGGGTAAAGAGCAGGTGTTTCTCATACATTGTTTAGTGAGCCAAATTGCCTTAATGACCCAATTGCAATTTTGCTCACTAAACAATATATGAGAAAAGGCAATGAAGCAACATAAACATAGCAAAACAAAGCAATACGACAAATATTTCAATGGTCTCAGGAGCCAGTCTCTGTGCGGAACCTCTGGTTTCTCAGATCGGAGCCTCAAACAACTTCAGCGCTTGCTGCTGATGCTCTCCAGGATCTCAAAGAAAGCACAGCTAAAATCAAGAAAATGCCACATGGCCAGGTATTTAATGTGATCTTGCCATTAAAAGTATGTGCAGCAAGGTTTTTTCCCCCAACTTCATGGACGTAGCAAGTCGTGGGATGGGGGACTGATCACCCTATATATTTCATTGGGAGGGACAAAAGAGGTAAATTTTCCCCAGCTATACAGCTACTATTTAAGAGTTCCAGTCGCACTTGTGTTTACGAACATTACATGCTGCCCCTTAATATGGGATGTCTCACATTATCATTTAAGAAAAGTAATATATAGTGCCAATCAAGTGTCTACGAAAGCCATGTTGAGGGCCCCAGCATTTTTAGTTTCTGGTTTGTAGCAAGGCCAAGTAGATGTTGTCCTGACCTATTTTAAATTGCTGTATTTTTTTATTCTCATACATACATTAACATAGACTGTAATGCTATCATGCAGAGAGCATGAGTGTTGAGTTACCTGCAAAGGACCTATACCGCGCATTAATCAATGATGAATTTGAGCTTAGATTCTTGTAACTTAATGGCATATCAATCATTGTCTTTTGAAAAATCACTTCATGTGAATTATTCTGAAAGTCTTCGCTTGTATGTGTTTAATATTATTGTATTTATTTATTGTTTTGTTATTTGTCACGAAATATCACATCATTTTTTGTTTTTTCATTTTGTGCTTTGGGTTCAGAGAAACGCAGTGTTCAAATGTAACTAGGAACACAAGCGTTGTACAGCTCTTTGCTAAATACACTATAAAGTTACACCCAGGGATTATTGATGGGGCATTTAGTTCACAAAACAAAACCTATAGCATTAATGATAGCATATACTGGGTTATTTACTAAAGTGAGTATTCAAAGTGAAATCAATGTGGACTGCAGATGTAAGGCCAGAGTAGCTGAATAATTACAGTTTGACTATTTTGACCAAATATTTGGAATTGACTCTTTAGTGAATAACCCTGTTATTGTCCATGAAAACATAATTTCAATATAGTGCACTTTATGAGAAATTCATTTCTAATGAAAATAGCTCTGATCCAACATGGTTTATACAAGGATTTGCACTTGCATTGTTTAAAATGAAAATAGCCAGTAACTACAGGCTGAACAATCCTTATTGCTCTTAGCAGAGATATTTACCCTCTGTATACAAAGCATTGTGATTGGCAGAGACAGTTGATTCCCTATCCAGCCACTACCATTGTTCGTAGCTCATAGTGGCAGATGGATGTAGTAATGAATATGAACTACAGAAAGAAACAAAGCCAATAAATGACACAATATAGTGCCATGAAATGTAAGTTTGGTGGTATCTCTCCAGACATAGGGATCAGAGTGGTCTAAAAAGATATCTGCAAAACGTGGCTTCTCTTAAAGCACCACTCTAGGCACCCAGACCACTTCAGCTTAATGAAGTGTTCTGGGTGCCAGGTCCCTCTAGGATTAACCCTTTTTTTTTTTTTATAAACATAGCAGTTTCAAAGAAACTGCTATGTTTATAAATGGGTTAATCCAGCCCTCAAATCCTCTAGTGGCTGTCTCATTGACAACCGCTAGAAGCGCTTGCGTGCTTCTCACTGTGAAAATCACAGTGAGAACATGCAAGCGTCCATAGGAAAGCATTGATAATGCTTTCCTATGAGACTGGCTGAATGCGCGCGCAGCTCTTGCCGTGCGTGCGCATTCAGCCGAAGAGGAGGATCGGAGACGGAGAGGAGGAGGAGAGCTCCCCTGCCCGGCGCTGGAAAAAAGGTAAGTTTAACCCCTTTCCTCTCCCCAGAGCCGGGCTGGAGGGGGTCCTTGAGGGTGGGGGCACCCTCAGGGCACTATAGTGCCAGGAAAACGAGTATGTTTGCCTGGCACTATAGTGGTCCTTTAAGATACTAAAACACATTTAAATGCTCATGATGTCTACCTATGGCTGGGTATGAGATTTATGCTCTAACTGTTGGTAGGTATTTATGCACTCTCAGACAGAGGCGTTTAAAAGCATCTCCACACACAAAACACAAGTTTTCACAGTACAGAATACAATGCCTTTTATTTTATTTTTTCCTTTTTACACAAATTAAACATATGTGGGAAAGGTTATACAAAGAGCCATGTAGCTTTTGAGTCCTTCATTCGTTTTCCTTAATAGGCTTCATTTCACACAAATAACACTGAACACAAACATAATACTTTTTCTCGTCATGTCTGCAATGCCCTTGATGCATAAGTACATGGCTGCTGTTTCAGTATGCACGATATATTGACCTTCAGCCATTGTCAGGTACTGGCATTTACGTACTTTCTTTCATAAATGATGGTTCATGACTACAATAGAGTCTTAACAAGCTTGTTGATGTTATTAACCCTGTTTTGGAAGAAAGGCATTAAAAGTGTTAATTATGTTGGTTATAAGCACAGAAAAAGTGCTACAGGAACAACATTAGGAACAATAGAACAATGTTGAGTTACAGGCAGAGATGCAGCTCAACAAGTGATCAGAATCTCAAGCTTTTATATGCTGGTCCCAAGCCAAAGTGCATTGGTGACGTTGGAACCCTCTGACTCATCTATATAACACAAGTAGAACATGTTGGGCATGTTAGGATCATTTCAATGTGTACAAAGGTAGGAAGATGTCAAGATGGAAGACCATGAAGTAAAAGGCTTATTAACAAAGCGTCCATGTTTTCACAGATGCTTGCAGTGTTATCAACAGGAGGAACATACTAGAGACCGTATTAGTGTTTATACTCTTAGTACCTTGCACAAGTATTTACCCTTTCCCCTCTTTCTTAATCTTTTCCACATTCTGTATTGTTACAACTTAGAATTCAAGTTGGGTATATAAGGATTTCTATTTGTCTGACTGAAATGTGTTATCTTGTGCAATTATACTAAATATTTGTCTCTATCCATCTTTCCTTTAAACCTGATGATTAAAGGCATTCACGAAAAATGAAGTCGCGATGATAACACATACAATTAAGGCTTAGAAGTTCATTTTTTTCCCATCAAACCAGAGAACGTTTTGCCATGACCTGTGTCATCCTTGTATCTTTGTATCTGTGTCATCCTTGTATCTTATTTGCAAAAAAAGTGTCCAGGCACTCAAATTTAATCCAGTTGGCAGATTTATTGGAGCAAAATTAAAACAATGTAACAAGTGTATTGGTATCCTTCATAAAGCGTAATCAATTCAACAATTAACACAGTGTATATCAAGACAAAGATAATCAATCACATATCACATTAATCACATGTTAATAACGCATACCAATAAAGCATAAACACTGTTAAAAAAAAAAAAACATCAAGTGCACAAGTGTCACATACATTATCTTCCAGACAATTATAGCAATTAGAAATATGGTGTAAAAAATTCAATAAATATCTAAAATAAAAGTAGTGATTTATCACTACTCTATTATCAATCCTGCTTGTTGCAGGAAAAAGACATACCAAATAACTAGAAGCCTCAGAAAATAAAACTTATCCAGCTGACTAACATAAAAGATCCCATAATGGAAAATACCCAACACCATAAGGATCCGGGGGGCAGAGCACTCCCTACCCTGCAGTATAGGCTAAGGGAGAAAACCACAAAACAAACTTGGATTCCTAGGCTGACTACGGAAGTACCCAAGTGTCAAAAACCAGCATAAGGCAAAAATTGTCCTTGTATCTAATGACAAATTTGTTTGTTCAGCAAAACGTGTCCATCTTTGTGGTTATATTAGGTTATATTTGGCCCACTGGCAGTTTCTCAGCTGCAGATCTCCCAGCTCCTTCACAGTTACCACTGACCTCTGGCCTGATAACTGAGTTATACTGTATGACCTTTGTCAGGAATATTAGGAGATGTTCAGATAATTCTTTATAACACTGAGTGGTGTTTCTCTAGAACTTTATTCTGGACATGCTTTAATATTTATTTAGTACTTTACAATAATGTAAAAATGTATTCCAGCTTTTTTACGGGATTCCATTAACCCAAGGTGAAGAGATGATGGCAGCTGCCATCTACCATAACTTTTTTAACGTATTGAGTTATAGTGCTACGTGCAACTACTGGCAGTCTAGCACTGTATAGCAGTCTCTACATACAACAACTTGTGAAGAAGTAAAAACAGTCATCCAATTGCAGCTGACATTCGGTAATATAATACTGGAAGAAGAGAGCATTTTCTTAACTCTAAAAAAAAATCTATTTTTATCTATGTTATCTGTATTTTTAATGTTACTAAAACTTTTGAGAACTAAAACTGAGAACATTTATTCTTTTTCCAACTCATCTACTTCTTCCAAACACAAAACAACAGTTATTTGCCTAGAATATAGAAGGGTCAGAGAGCAGAGAAAAGCACACCAAAGGGAGATACTAATAACACGGTGTAGATTAATTATAAAACCTTACTTATGGTATTATGTTCCGTTTTGAAGACCCTATATTTAGCATGACATACATCAAAACTCTAGAAAAATGGAATATGATGTCTGCATAGTAATTAGTTTAAGAGAAAGAGAAAGTCCTGAATGCGTCTACCTTGGAAAAAACATTGGCCGATTGGCTTGCATCTGCTATAAAAATATTGGTTTCTGATTAACATTTCAAAAAATATTTTTTGCACATTTGAATCAATGTCTGAAAATTGTGCTTAAGTATTATACCTTCTATGGAGGTTGTGATTTTCACTCCCAAATATGTAATATATGTATTTTTTCAATCGAAATTGTGGGACTGCTGTAGTTCGTGTATGAGCTGAGCTTGGAAGCCTACGGGTAAAGCTTGGGTTTTTGCATTGTTCAATTAATTATAAGAGATAGTTTTGTATTCTTTCAAAACACAGAAACATAGAATGCGACTGCAGATAAGAACCATTCGGCCCATCTAGTCTGCCCAATTCTTAAAATACTTTCATTAGTCCGTGGCCTTATCTTATAGTTAGGATAGCCTTATGCCTATCCCACGCATGCTTAAACTCCTTCACTGTATTAACCACTTCAGCTGGAAGGCTATTCCATGCACCCACTACCCTCTTAGTAAAGTAATACTTCCTGATATTATTTTTGAACCTTTGCCCCTCTAATTTAAGACTATGTCCTCTTGTTGTGGTAGTTTTTCTTCTTTTAAATATAGTCTCCTCCTTTACTATGTTGATTCCCTTTATGTATTTAAATGTTTCTATCATATCCCCCCGTCTCGTCTTTCCTCCAAGCTACACATGTTAAGTTCCTTTAACCTTTCCTTGTAAGTTTTATCCTGCAATCCATGAACCAGTTTAGTAGCCCTTCTCTGAACTCTCTCTAAAGTATCAATATCCTTCTGGAGATACTGTTAAGTTAGGGCTCACCAGTGTTCTGTACAATGGCATGAGAATTCCCTCTTTCTACTACTAATACCTCTCCCTAGACAACCAAGCATTCTGCTAGCATTTCCTGCTGCTCTATTACATTGTCTGCCTACCTTTAAGCCATCAGAAATAATCTCCCCTAAATTCCTTTCCTCAGATGTTGAGGTAAGGACTCTATCAAATATTCTGTACTCTGCCCTTGGGTTTTTACATCTAAGATGCATTATCTTGCACTTATCCACATTAAATGTCAGTTGCCACAACTCTGACCATTTTTCTAGTTTACCTAAATCATTTGCCATTTGGCTTATCCCTCCTGGAACATCAACCCTGTTACATATCTTAGTATCATCAGCAAAAAGACATACCTTACCATCAAGACCTTCTGCAATATCTCTAATAAAAATATTAAAGAGAATGGGTCCAAGTACAGATCCCTGGTGACAAGCCCATGCTTCGAATATACTCCATTGACTACAACCCTCTGTTGCCTGTCACTCAGCCACTGCCTTACCCATTCAAAAATATTGGAATCCAAACTTAAAGATTGCAGTTTATTGAAAAGTCTCCTATGTGCAACAGTGTCAAAAGCCTTACTGAAATCTAGGTAAGCAATGTCTACTGCACCACTCTGATCTATTAGTTTAGTTACCCAATCAAAAAAATCAATAAGATCAGTTTGGCATGATCTCCCTGAAGTAAACCCATGTTGTCTCTGATCTTGAAATCCATGTGATTTTAGATGTTCAACAATCCTATCCTTTAACATGGTTTCCATTACTTTCCCCACTACTGAAGTAAGTCCTAGCAAAGACGGTAATGAAGAGGACGGGTCACTCAAAGACAATAGTATATCGTCTGCAAACATGGACATACAGAACTCTCGACATCCCATCTCAACACGCTTGATCCCACTATGATTTCTCATTTTACAAGCCAGAGGTTCCAATATATGATAAAAAGGAGGGGAGATAGGGAGCATCCTTGCCTAGTACCGTTGGTAATGTGGAACTGGGTAGAGAGGAATCCTGTATGCCCGCATTCCCGACTTGTACCATTGGTCTATAATAAAGAGCCAAGATACCAGTAATAAAGGCTTGTGGGAAATCATATTTGAGTAATACTTGTACCATATATTGCCAATTGAATCTACCAAAGGCTTTCTCTGTGTCTAGTGCCAAGAGAAGGCCTTCCTCCTTTTTGGATCTCATATGAGAAAGAATATTTAATATTTTCCTGGTGTTGTCTGATCCCTGTCTACCTCAGATAAACTCTGATTGGTCATTGTGTATAAGTCTTGGCAGAATTATGGATAGTCTGTTAGCAAAGAGTTTGGCATAAGGTTTCACATCAGTATTGAGGGGAGAAATGGGTCAAAAACATTTGCATTGAGTGGGCGTCTTTCCCGACTTAGGCAGAGTGGAGATATGTGCTAAAAGCATATTGCCGGGCATAATTCCTCTAGTATAACATGAACTGAACAAGGTCATCAATTGTGGGGAAAGGATGTCAGGGTAGGTTTGGTAATATAAATTCACAAATCCGTCTGGGCCTGGAGCCTTATGTGCCGACAGATTTGTAATGGCTTTTTTTATTTCGAGACAATCAAATGGTTTGGAGAGACGGTTGAGCTCCTCCAGTAGTAATGTGAGGAGGTTTACTATAGGCAAAACCTCCTCACATTAGATTTGGGGCCATCATTTAGATTATATAAAGTACTATAGTAAGAAGCAAACTCATTTATTATATCTTGTGGATATAAGATTTTGCCTTTAGATATGCTATCTTGGAATTTATTGTACGCAATTTGAGTTGTGAGGCCATTAACACCCCTGCTTTAATTCCTTGGGCAAAGAACTTGCGTTTGTAATGTCTGAGTATATGTGTTGTTTTCTCTAGTTCCAATTTCCTGAGTCGGGACTGTAATTTGAGAAGTCTCATTTGTGTTGTCGGCGATGGAGTATGTTTCTTTTTTTGTGTCAGTTCAGTCAATTTTTGAATCAGTGTAGTATAGGTCTGCATTCTTTGTTTCTTAGCGAAACTAGCCGCATTAATAAAAAGACTTCAAATTACTGCTTTGTGTGCCTGCCAAGTAGTTTCAATACTGGTAAAAATTTGGTTGGGCAAAATAAACATTATAAAAATGATAATGCTCCCAAAAATACTATATACATTTAGGATGCTTCCAGTCCACGTTCCGTCATCACTTTGTAAACAAATACAGGCCATTTGGGATGCACGCAAACCCCGGCTTCCCCTGGCCCTTCTCCAGAAACATACAAGCAAAGGTGGTGTAGGCAGTGGTGTATCCTGGTTTTGTGCTGCCCTAGGCATGACAAAATTCAGGCGCCCCGCGCCACCCCACCCTTCCCCCCTGCCCCGCCTTCTAAATACACAGACACGCATACACTAGCTTACAGACATACACACTCACTGAAAGACACATACAGTCACTAGCAGACACAGACATTCACTAACAGACACGCATACACTCTCACTAACAGACACATAGTAACACATTCCCTAACAGACACACTCCCTGACATACACACACTCACTAACAGACACACACACAGACTAACAGACACACACACTAACAGACAAACACACACTCACTAACAGACACACACACACTAACAGACACACACACTCACTAACAGGCACACTCGCTCACTAACAGACACACACACGCTTACTAACAGACACACACACACACTCACTAACATATACACAGATTTACTCACTAACAGACACACACACACACACACACTAACAGACACACTCTCCTTCACTAAGAGACACACATGCACACTAACAGACACACACACACTAACAGACACACTCACTCACTAACAGACACACACACACACTAACACACACAGACTAACAGACACACACACTCACTCACATTAACACACTCACTTTTTTTTTTTTTAATTCAACTCCCCCAACCACCTTACATTTGGGAATGCTGGGGGGGAGGGGGATCTCCATTTCCCTGGGGTCCAGTGGGGCTGCTGAGCGGGCGGGCCGCGCTGGCGAGGGATCACTGATTAGTGAGCTCTCTGCTCAGCTCCCTCGCGCGTCGCAGAGTGATGACATCATATTCCAGCTCCCGGCATCACTCTGCGGCGCGCGAGGGAGCTGAGCAGAGAGCTCAGGGGAAAGTGCTCCCTCGCCAGCGCCGCCCGCGCACCCGCCCCAACCAGATTTTTACTTACCACGTGCCTGCCTGGACTGTTAGCCGCTAGGCTAACAAGACATTTGCCCTGGGCATTTAGGGGCAGCCTTTTTTGCCGCCCCCTGAAAAATGCTGCCCAAGGCAAATGCCTTGTCTGCATTGCGGCTAATACGTCCCTGGGTGTAGGTCTGCCTCATCTCTTAAACTACTATAAAGCTTCTTTATTGGAAGCAGTAGTGAAACTTCACACTCCTAAATGCACCCTCCAATGGATAGATATGAAAAATGATTGAGAAATCTGATTTTACTTAACTGGAAACAAACAGCTTGCCCCTCTAAGACACAATTAATAGACAAAATAAATCTATATTATACCTATGAACGCATGTCTATAGGTACATCCTTGCAATGCGAGTCCTTTAACAACACTTGGCAATCATGGATTGTACATACCCAATGCACTCATTAAAAAACCAAAAGGTTCTGATAGTCAACAATAGAACAAAAATAATAAATCCACAAGAGACCATTAGACCATGAGCGAGACAGATTCCCTTTGACAAAACAAAAACTGTTAGTACTACTATCGTCAGTTCATTCTTTTCCTCTATATCCTACCCCTTCCTAAATAACACATAAATGTCAATGCCATGAATAAGATCTCCTGTGTTAGCAAAAGCTATGTGTGACAGAGACTTATATTACATCCCTACAATATATGTTTAACCCCTTAAGGACCGAGGATGGTTCAGGACCGTCATCGGCATTTTTGCGTTGCCGACCGATGACGGTCCTGAACCGTCCTAACGGTCAGAGCTACTTACCTGATCGCCGTCGTTCCCCCGGCGGCGATCAGCGTGGCTCCGGTTGTGGGGAGACTGCCTGCAGCCCAGACAGTCTCCCCGCGGCAGATTAGGACCCCCTGTGGCCATGTGATCGCTTAACACAGCGATCACATGGTCACAATAGGTGTCCTAGTGTCTGCCTGCAGGGGGACTGTCTGTGCTGACAGGCAGTCTCCCTGCTAGTGTAAAATCAGTAAAAAAAATAAAGTTAGTGTTAATAAAAAAAATAATAATAATTATATATGTGTATATATGATATATAGACATATATTATATCTATATAATATATGTCTATATATCATATATATAATGCCATACTAAGTGTATTTTTATATTAATATGTACTTATATTAATATAAAATACACTTATAATTAAATTTCACACGTATATATATAATATATATAATAACTATATATATTGTATATATATATTAATATAAAATATAAATAATAAGTAATTTAAATTAAATAAAAAATTTTTAAATAATAATAAAAAATTAAAAAAAAATTATATAGCTATATGAAATTTTATTCTAACTGTATTTTAAAATTAATATATATATATTTATATCAAAATACACTTAGAATGAATTTGTATATATATCTATGTATATAAAAATAAATAAAATAATAAGAAATATACATACGTCCATATACAAAATTACATAAATAATTATATAAATATACACGTAGACTTCAAATATATAAATATGCATATATATTTAAATTCTACGTGCGTATTTATGTAATATTTTTATATAATTCAGTAATTTTATTGATTGCAATTTGAGGGACCTGCCTGCCAACCCAGGCCGAAATTCCAGAGAATTTAATTTGCTAGCACTGTATTTTACCCTGTAACGTTCTAAGACACCCTAAAACCTGTACATGGGGGGGTACTGTTTTACTCGGGAGACTTCGCTGAACACAAATATTAGTGATTCAAAACAGTAAAACATATCACAGTGATGATATTGTCAGTGAAAGTTACTTTTTGTGCATTTTTCACACACAAACAGCACTTTTACTGATGATATAATTGTTGTGATACGTTTTCCAGTTTTTTAAACACTAATATTTGTGTTCAGCGATGTCTCCCGAGTAAAACAGTACCCCCCATGTACAGGTTTTATAGCATTTTTGAAAGTTACAAGGTCAAATATATGGGTCAAATGTTTTTACATTGAAAATGGCCAGGTTGGTTACGTTGCCTTTGAGAGCGTATGGTAGCCCAGGAATGAGAATTACCCCCATGATGGCATACCATTTGCAAAAGAAGACAACCCAAGGTATTGCAAATGGGGTATGTCCAGTCTTTTTTAGTAACCACTTGGTCACAAACACTGGCCAAAATTAGCGTTCAATTTAGTTTTTTTACTTTTTCACACACAAACAAATATGAATGCTTACTTTGGCCAGTGTTTTCGACTAAGTGGCTACTAAAAAAGACTGGACATACCCCATATTGAATACCCTGGGTTATCTACTTTAAAAAAAATATGTACATGTGGGGTGTTATTCAGAGATTTATGACAGATAATAGTGTTACAATGTCACTATTGATAAATTTTAAAAATGTATGTTTTGAAACCGCAATATCCTACTTGTACCTATAGCCCTATAACATGCAAAAAAAAGCAAAAAAGCACATAAACACTAGGTATTTTTAATCTCAGGACAAAATTTTGAATCTATTTAGCAGTTTTTTTCATTCGCTTTTGTAGATGAGTAAAAGATTTTTCAAGTAAAAGTAAAAAAACATGTATTTTTTTCAATTTTTCATCAGATTTTTGTATTTTTTTTAAATTAAAATACATGAGATTATATAAATAATGGTATGTAAAGAAAGCCCCTTTTGTCCTGAAAAAAACAATATATAATTTGTATGGGAGCAGTAAATGATAAAGCGGAAAATTACAGCCAAACACAAACACCACAAAAGTGTAAAAATATGCCTGGTCGCAAATGTACAACATCGCAAAAACAGTCCAGTCCTTAAGGGGTTAATGTTACAATGATAGACCTATGTACATAAAAGTTACTCTATACCATATGCTTTGTTTTGTAATTATATGGAATTGTATCTTACCCCTCCTTCCCTTCCCTTTTTCTTTCTGTATCCTTCTCCCATTTTATGAAAAATTTAAATGCAAAAAAATATATATATTGGTTTCGATATTATTTATAAATCCTCTAACTCTAATGCGTCCCCTTTGTGGTTGAGTATTAACTTAGTTTGATTGAATTGCAGCTAATAAGTAACTTACTTTCTGTTTATAATTTCACTTTATTATACAACTGCCATATGTCCTGTATGTATCTTACTATAAAGTTGTATGTACATCATAGATTATTAATAATTCAAGTCAATATATAATTTCTTAAATTTTTATATTTCAAACAAAAACATCCATTTTGGAAATAAAGAAAGAAAAATAGCTTGAAGCTGTAGCAACATAATATAAAATGTAAGAAAAGCTTATAATACAAAGAACACCTGTGAGCTTCATTAATGATTAACAGTATCAAGAAAATTACTCCCTCACCGTACATTGAAGGCATAAGAAGTAGCACATTTTAATTCACACGTATAATAAGGAGTTAAATAGACCATGACAGCCTGTGAGCTGTAGCTTGCAATAAAAAGACAGTAATTGATGTTCCTGCTCCTGCCCACACACAATGAAAAATAATATATCTACTGACCATGTACCATCTATAACATCATCTTTGATATGTCCATTACATGATCTTAATTCTAGTTCATATTTACAGAGATGCACATTGCTCTACAACTTAATATATCCATTTTTGTTAAATTAAGTATTTTGTTTATTTTTTTTCTTATTAAGTGCATAGCAGGACCACTTAATGTTATCTCACATATATATTATTATTATTATTCTTATTATAGCCAAATTTACCACCCTAACTCCTCCCACAGTTTTTACACTACACAGACAGTAATATACCGAAACGTGCGGATTGTTCCTGATTGGTGTGCTATTACTTTATGGAACGTTTCGCCGAATGGTTCACGGAATATCATCCTTCTTGTGGTGAAATTGGTCCCATAGGAATGAATGGCAAAATGTTCAAAACTAGAGTGAGAGCTGGCAAAAGCTGAAAAATCAGGACATGATTTCTAAACTGCCACCACTCCCTCATTTTCAAGTCCACCTACACAAATCGTATATCAAAACCTTCAGCTATCCCTGCTGCCACTAAAAATGTCCATGGCTAAGCCATAGTCCTGATAGTTTTCATGATATGACCATTTGTTTGCAACTCACGCCGTCCATTGACATTCATTGAAACTCCACTCCAGCCAGCTCAAACTTGAAGGGCAATTTCTAAACGGCGACTGTGCCTTCATTTTTAATACTTCAGAGACATATTATGCATCTAAATGTAGGTCTGGGGAATGGAACATATCGGCTATGAAGAAAGGTTAACAAATTTAAACCTATTTAGTTTAGAAAAACGTCGCCTGAGAGGGGATATGATAACATTATACAAATATATTCGGGGCCAATACAAACCATTGTGTGGAAATCTATTCACAAACCGGACTTTACATAGGACACGAGGCCATGCGTTTAGACTGGAAGAAAGAAGATTTCGTCTAAGGCAAAGGAAAGGTTTTTTTACTGTAAGAACAATCAGGATGTGGAATTCTCTGCCTGAGGAAGTGGTTTTATCAGAGTCCATACAGATGTTCAAACGGCTACTAGATGCATACTTGCAAGAACAGAATATTCAAGGATATAATCTTTCAATGTAGGGTAATAACTGCTTGATCCAAGGATAAATCTGACTGCCATTCTGGGGTCAAGAAGGAATTTTTTTCCTAGCTTGTTGCAAAATTGTGCTTCAAACTGGTTTTTTTTTGCCTTCTTTTGGATCTTTTGGATCAACAGCAAAAAACAAATGTGAGGTAGGCTGAACTTGATGGACGCAAGTCTCTTTTCAGGCATAGGGAGGTGAGGTTATAAAAGGGCTCCTGTGTGCAGCGGCCGGCATCGGAAAGGATGCCATAACTATGTGCAGCAGCAGAGGAGACTTTCAGAAACGGAACTCGCAATAAGGTAATGGGCCGCACAGGGTTTCGCCTCACGTGACTGCACTGAGTGGGAGCCGTGACACCATGATACAGCTAAATAAAACACACCAGCTGAATATTGTTTAGCCAGTAACCAGGGTGTTTTTTAACAGATCATTTCATTGGTAATGTTTGTGACATCACAACATTCTGTTGACATCACAATATCAACAGAATGTTGCTCTGTTACAGAGAATGCTATTGTTCAACCTAATTGGTCAACGATAACATGTTAAGAAAATTTATATACTTTAATAAAAGGCTTCCAAGGAAGAATACAATTTAGCAGGAACTCAAATTTGAGTCCCTGCCACACTGAAATGTTGGTGCACATAGATATTTCCAATACCCAAAAGAAAATCAAGTGAATGAAAGGTAGTGGGGTTGCCGTGGCCAACATTAAAATGCAGTGCCTAGCCTGCATACTATTTACATTTAAGTTAAGTTATATGACAACCAATCATCCAGCCACATTGTTTTTCACTGAATCCATTCTCAACAACCAAAATACTCAACACAATCAACACAGTAATCAAAATATGGGCTTATCCGGTAATAATTAGTGGCATGCTGACATTAGTCAACCAACATGTTCCATGGGTCACAACTGACACATTTTGTGTGTAATTGTAAGTTAGACTCCTTAAAGAACAGTTAACCCTATTTTTGTTTCTGAGTTTCATGTTGCTGTATGGCATTTATAATACCTGTCTGTATTCCATTATAAGTTTACATCATTGCCTGTCTATCATGCTTCCTAACTGCTACTTATCTCATATGTCGCCCATAGGAGCAACTGAGTTTGAAATTATTTCAGGAATTCAAAATGAGTTTCAAATTGTAGGCCAATTCTTCAGTTTGTTACTGAAATAAAAGTACTTTTGAGGAATGAGGAATGACAGACTTTTACAAACCTTGAAAAATTCTAAATATCAAAATATCAAATATAAATATAAAAAAAATCATTGCATAAAAACATTATAAAAATATTAAATTAAGTTCATTAAAAAATATGAAATCCTTTGTAAAGCTTATTCAAAAATGTTGCAGACATGGGCTACATAGCTTAATAGGCAGAAAGGAAAAATGGGGTAGATGGTCAGAAGATAGAGAAAAAAAGGGGCACTAACAATATGAAATAGTTGGCTTATTCTTTAAAATTATTCTTAAAGTTTTTCCACATCAGCTATTTAAACTGAATGTTGCCAATCATATATCAGTTTGCTACAATGAAATGGATAACCCCTGTAGCATAGTCTGTTCACTAATATTTACAAGTTGCAATCATCAAACCATTCCTGATTTTGTATACCAACCAGTGGCACTACTTCATAGTTTAGTTTAATGCATGCCTTTTCCTGTATTTCACTATTTTGATTATCTTGTTCTGCTAGACTGGGAGCCCAATCTGATGTATTCACTAAACACCAAAATTGAGCAATTAAATTGAAAATTGAATAATAACATTTTAACAAAAAACTGCTGACACTGAAGCTAATCAGCTTGGCTATATTTATATTCACATTATATAATCTATTCACATTATATAATTTATTTACATAATGCAATCTGATTTATCAAAATCATAATGTGGTGTCGTAGAGAGTAAACCACAATGTATACATTTACTGTACCTTGTGTATTTAACATGTGCACTCACATTTTGCACAATGTCATTATTCACATTAGTTGGATATATTACACTACTGCACCAATACATGTGGGAGGATAATTTGCAAAACTACTACCAACATATTGTTTTACATTTAGGCCACCAAAAAGCATAAATTCCAATAAAACAATTAGGTTGGAGAATTTGACAAGCCTTGCTATTTTTGGCCTCAGTTCTCCACATTTCATGTTACACAGGCATGAAAAAATTCATTTCAAATTTATCTTCCTTTGATGTATAGACTGATTTCTGCAATTATGTAGAAAGTTTTTACTTCAGTGAAGATATGAATAAATAGCCAACTGGAGACTAGCCAAAAGGAGCCACTTACATTTAATCCTTAATGAATACATATTTTTTCCCCCAAAATAATTGTACAACTCTAAATGCTGTACAAGTACTCACTATCTTAAGCATCCATGTAACTAATTAGTGTAAAGGAACACTCCAAGTACCATAACCACTACAGGCTCCTGTAGTGGTTATAGTGTCATGAGTGTCCTGCACTCGCCCAATGACGGAAGTCGAACTGCTTTCCTTTAAGAAGGACGTACTGTGAAATGTACAAAAGGAACATATTTTGTACCCATGCATCAATAAAGAGTCTCACTGCTGGAAGTGAAAGCCTGCTGGGTACTTCCATTAGTGTTCCTGAGCTAAGCCCTCTCGTGCAGAGCCAGGTAATGGGCTAAGGGCAACAGCCGAATGCTCTCAGCCAGTAAACTATTTCTTGCACTGCAAATTATTTGACTACTTACATGGCGCCAAGGCACTACTGACACCATAACCACTAGAGCACACTGTAGTGGTTATGGTGCTTAGAGAGTACCTTTCATATAATTTGTATGTTTTAATATACCTTCTCACTTTTTTTTTTTAAGAACTCCACTTTTACTTTCTGACAACCATCTTAATGCACCTTTGGTCAGATTGTCAGTTATTTGAGCCAATGCTCACTATTTTGGAACAGCCAATTGCTTTTCAAAATTGTGTGCTCTGTCTTCCTGGGCCAGGTGATTTAATATACCATGACAACATGCTATGAAACCAAATACATCCTGTATGTAGAGTTTGTGGATGGCTAATGTTAATTATGTGCATAGTATGGTTTCTGTTTGTCTGTAGCGTTACTTACCTTAACCGGGGGCCGGTCGCGGTCCTCTCTTCAAGCCGCGCGCGGTCCTGCGGCTGCACGAGCCGCGCGCGGCTCATCCAACTGCTTTGGATGGAAGGCGGGCAGTGACCGCGTGAGGCGGTCACGTGTCCCGCCTGAAACTAAGAGCGCGCCGCGAGTCTCGGGCGCGCTCTTAAAGAGACAGTGGGAGCCTAATTGCCAAAAGGCTCCCATTGGCTCCTGTCATACCACACTCCCTGTACAATTACCTATAGGGGGTGTGGAAGTGACAGGAGCCAATCACTTTCGTTTTAAAGCTATTTAAACTTACCTTTTTCCCTTAGCTCGTTGCCCTATCGTGGTTTCTGTTTCAGTTCCCTTTAGCGCTTGTGGTGTTCAGTTGTGTTTTCTCGTATTGACTTTGGCTTCGTATTCTGACTTCGTTTTCGCTTTATCCTTATCTGTACTGTTTGCCGGCTTGCTGTTTTCCGTGTACCAGACCCCGGCTTGTCCTAGTTTACGCTGTCTCTCTGTGCCCTTGACCTCGGTTTGTTCCTGGCTCTGTCTCCTCTCATATACGTCGAGTCCGGCCATTCTAAGGTCCGGTAGACGTATCTCTCCTCTGTATTTGCCTCTGTTTAGCTGGATCCTGCGTGTAGGGGTATATTCTCGTTACATTACGATAGGGCCATGGACCCCGCAGATTTAGCTCAACAGATGGCGTCCCATGAGGCAAGATTTGTAGAGCAGGATCACCGTATGGATCAGATAGCTCCAGACGCTCCTAGCTAGAACCGTTCCAGCAACCACACCTAACCCTCCTACGCCCCTTCTCCCTGAAGTATCTACTTTGCCTAATACTTCGGCCCATTTAACACCTCCTCCTAGGTATGGAGGGGACTCTAAGACTTGCAGAGGGTTTATTAATCAGATTGAATTTCACTTCGAAATGTATCCACGTTCATTTCCCACAGAGAGGTCTAAGGTTGGGTTCTTTATGCACCAACTTACCGATAAGGCACTTGAGTGGGCAAATCCTATTTGGGAAGCTAATGGACCTATGGTACATGATTTCAACAGTTTTCTTACGGCTTTTCGTAGAACTTTTGACACAATGAAAAGGTCAAAGAATGCCGCGAGAGCATTAATGAGAATTAAACAGGGTTCTAGGTCTGTGGCTGATTATGCTATTCAGTTTCGCACTCTTGCTTCGCAGGTAGATTGGACCAACAATGGGTTAACTACTGCCTTTATGGAAGGTTTGTCAGATACGATATTGGATGAGGTAGCAGCTAAGGAGCTTCCTATTGCCTTAGAGGACCTTATCGATTACCTCATTGATATTGATAATAGAATTCGTGACAGGCTCTATACCAAGAACAGGAATAGACGTTTTGTTACACCCATTAACCCCAGAGTTAATATACCAGAGAGTGTTAAAGTGTCTGAGGAGGAACCTATGCAATTAGGGGTTGCCAAACTCTCTGATACTGAGAAATTACATAGGAGAAGGGAGGGACTCTGCCTATACTGTGGTAGGAGAGACCATATGGTAAAGGAATGTCCTTTACTCCCGGAAAACTCTCGCACCTAAGACCTTATAGGGGACTGGCCTTGGGTGTGATATCTAAGTCTCCTAAATTGCCTCCTAACCGCTTGCTTCTCCCGGTTTCTTTATATATGGGAGAGATTTGTATAGTTGACAACATATATGCTCTGGTTGACTCTGGGGCAGCTGAAAATTTTATAGACTCTGGCTTTATAAAGAGAAACAACATTCCCATCAGAGAGAAGGAGATACCCTTGGCCGTTGAGGCCATAGATGGTAGACCATTAAGTTCTCCAGTTGTTACTCATGAGACTGTACCATTACACATGTACACAGGGGTTTTACACTATGAAACCATTCGATTCCAGGTCATCACCTCTCCCTCTTCACAGTTAGTATTAGGGTATCCATGGTTACGTGCTCACAATCCCATTTTTGACTGGGAGACAGGGCAAATAAAATCATGGAGTGAGGCCTGCCACGAGTCTTGTACGTTGGAAGTCACCCCTTTGAATTCTATTGAGGTACCTACCAGTCCTCCTTTGTCTACGGTTATACCCCCTCAGTACTTATCTCTAAAGACTGTTTTCGATAAAAGGGAGGCTGAGAAATTACCGCCTCACAGACCCTATGATTGCGCTATTGACTTGTTGCCTGGCACTATACCTCCAAAGGGCAGGGTGTACCCCTTATCGGTTCAAGAAAACCGTGTCATGGAGGAGTACATCAAGGAATCACTGGAAAAAGGGTTTATTAGGAGATCCTCTTCTCCAGCTGGAGCAGGGTTCTTCTTTGTATCGAAGAAAGAAGGTGATTTAAGACCGTGTATAGATTATAGAGGTCTAAACAAAATCACTATCAAAAATGCATACCCTATACCTTTGATTACAGAATTATTTGACAGGCTGAAACATGCCACTGTGTTCACTAAATTAGACCTTAGGAGTGCATACAATTTGATACGTATAAAGGAAAATCACGAATGGAAGACTGCATTCAACACTAGATCCGGTCATTACGAATATACTGTTATGCCATTTGGGCTTTGCAATGCCCCAGCAGTATTCCAAGAATTTATTAATGATGTCTTGAGAGATTTTATTCACACATTTGTTATCGTATACTTGGACGACATTTTAATATATTCTACAGATATACACACTCATCACAGACATGTTACGACAGTTTTGAAGACCCTTCTTGCTAATGGTCTTTATTGCAAGCTAGAAAAATGTCTGTTTGACCAAACCGAAGTCCAGTTCTTGGGGTATTTGATTTCCGCTAAAGGTTTTCGTATGGATCCCCAGAAGCTAGCTGCTGTAATAGAATGGCCTCTACCGCAAGGTCTGAAAGCTATTCAGCGTTTTCTTGGGTTCTCCAATTATTATAGACGTTTTATCAAAGGTTTCTCGTCCATTGTAGCACCTATTACCCGTATGACTAAAAAGGATGGCAATACTCGTGTTTGGTCTACCGAGGCACTTCAGGCTTTTGAATTTCTTAAAACTACGTTCGCCTCTGCACCTATTTTACAGCATCATGTCCCCTCACTGCCCTATATTCTTGAAGTTGATGCTTCGGATATTGGGGTAGGTGCTGTCTTATCCCAAAGAGAGTCGCCTGAGAAGCCATTGCATCCATGCGGCTTCTTTTCTAAACAAATGTCCAAAGCAGAGAAAAATTATGATGTGGGTAATCGCGAACTCCTTGCTATTATTTTAGCACTTAAAGAGTGGAGACATTTGTTAGAAGGAACTAAGGATCCTATCCTCATTTTTACGGATCACAAGAACCTATCCTACCTTAGCGAAGCCAAAAGATTGTCTTCCAGGCAGGCTAGGTGGTCACTATTTTTGTCCCGTTTCAATTTTATTATCACCTATAGGCCAGGTGATCGCAACACTAAAGCAGACGCTCTGTCCAGACAGTTCGAAACTACTGACAAACAGGAGATTGATGTTACTCCTGTCATTCCCCAGACAGGATAATAGCTACTACTATTTTGTCTATTTCCTCGTCCCTCTTGCAGGCCATACAAGCGAAACAAAGCATGGCACCTAGCGAGAGGCCTAATGATAAACTGTTCGTTGATGTTCCTGAGAGACGGGATATTATGTCATTATATCATGATACTAAGACCGCTGGACATCCTGGTATTTCCAAAACGGTGTCAGCTGTTTCTCGGTATTTTTGGTGGGATTCCTTACGAAAGGATGTCACTGACTATATAAGTGCTTGTACTACTTGTGCCTGTATGAAATCCTCCCGTAGAGTTCCTTGTGGGCTGTTGCATCCGTTACCCGTTCCCGAGAGACCTTGGTCTAACCTGTCCATGGATTTTATTGTTGAATTACCCCCTTCAAATGGTAACACAGTGATCCTGATGATAGTGGATCGGTTCTCCAAAATGGCTCACTTCGTGTCTCTTCGCAAGTTGCCCACATCCAAGGAACTGGCTCATATCTTCGCTAGAGAAGTATTTTGATTACATGGGATTCCCGTATCTATTGTATCCGATAGGGGTAGCCAATTTATTTCCAGGTTCTGGAGGGCCTTTTGTTCAGAAATGGGTATTTCTCTCTCATTTTCTTCCGCTTATCATCCCCAGTCTAATGGGGCTGCTGAACGTGCCAACCAGTCTCTGGAGCAATACCTCCGTTGTTTTGTGTCTCACCATCAGGACAATTGGTCTGACCTGCTTCCTTGGGCTGAATTTGCTCGGAATAACGCCACTCATGATTCTTCCGGCAAGACCCCTTTTTACGTTGTCTATGGCCAGCATCCCGTTGTTCTTCCGGCTGCATTCTCCTCACAGGGCATGCCAGTTCTGGATGAGCATTTGGCTGGTTTGCGTAATACTTGGGAGCAGGTTCAGCGTTCTTTGGTGGACTCTGCTACTCGCCAGAAGGCTCAGGCTGACAAGCATCGCAGAGCAGCTCCGTCCTATGTTGTGGGGGACAGGGTTTTGCTTTCCACGCGGAATATTCGTCTCCGGGTGCCTTCTATGAAATTGGCTCCCCGCTTCATTGGACCTTATCGTATTATACATAAGGTTAATCCTGTTTCTTATGCCTTAGGCCTGCCTAAGAATCTACGTATTCCTAATGTTTTTCACACCTCATTGTTGAAACCTTTCGTACGCAACCGCTATACCCGGCATACTCCTCCTCCCCCTCCTATCTCGGTGGAGGGTCATGAGGAGTTTGAAGTGTCTGCTGTTCTTGACTCTCGTTTCCTTAGGGGTCGACTTCAGTACTTGGTACATTGGAAGGGTTATGGGCCTGAGGAGCACAGTTGGATTTCGGCTGATGCTGTCCATGCTCCCCGTCTTGTGCGCTCTTTCCATTCTCGTTTTCCTGCCAGGCCTGGTCCTACCCGCCCGGGGGGCGTGTCCTCAGGGGGGGGTACTGTAGCGTTACTTACCTTAACCGGGGGCCGGTCGCGGTCCTCTCTTCAAGCCGCGCGCGGTCCTGCGGCTGCACGAGCCGCGCGCGGCTCATCCAACTGCTTTGGATGGAAGGCGGGCAGTGACCGCGTGAGGCGGTCACGTGTCCCGCCTGAAACTAAGAGCGCGCCGCGAGTCTCGGGCGCGCTCTTAAAGAGACAGTGGGAGCCTAATTGCCAAAAGGCTCCCATTGGCTCCTGTCATACCACACTCCCTGTACAATTACCTATAGGGGGTGTGGAAGTGACAGGAGCCAATCACTTTCGTTTTAAAGCTATTTAAACTTACCTTTTTCCCTTAGCTCGTTGCCCTATCGTGGTTTCTGTTTCAGTTCCCTTTAGCGCTTGTGGTGTTCAGTTGTGTTTTCTCGTATTGACTTTGGCTTCGTATTCTGACTTCGTTTTCGCTTTATCCTTATCTGTACTGTTTGCCGGCTTGCTGTTTTCCGTGTACCAGACCCCGGCTTGTCCTAGTTTACGCTGTCTCTCTGTGCCCTTGACCTCGGTTTGTTCCTGGCTCTGTCTCCTCTCATATACGTCGAGTCCGGCCATTCTAAGGTCCGGTAGACGTATCTCTCCTCTGTATTTGCCTCTGTTTAGCTGCATCCTGCGTGTAGGGGTATATTCTCGTTACATTGTCATAACTGCGCATAACATGCTGTCAACAGACGACCAATGGCAATAACCCCCCCTTTGTGACACCTTAAGTGATCTCTCAGCCCTAAATCCTTGACATCTGTTCCCCTGTAGCAAGGGGAATGATGTCCAGGCCCGGACTGGCCCACCGGGAAATTTCTTCGGCACCTGGGGGCTGCACTGCGCATATAGGTGCCCCCGGGTGGCCGGTCCGGTGGCACACTCAGAAGTCAGCTGAATGATGAGAAGAATAAAGTATGGAGAAAGCTTGGAAGAGATCATGATCCGAAGCATACCTCATCATCTATAAAACATGGTGGAGGCAGTTTGATGGCATAGGTATTCAAGGCTTCCAATGGCACTGAGTCATTATTGTTTATTGATCACTTGACAGAAGCAGCCGGATGAATTCTGAAGTATATAGGCAATGTATGGATGTTTTGTCTGCTCATATTCAGCCAAAATCAGCAAAGTTGATTGGACTTTACAGATGGACAATGACCCAAAACATACTGTGTAAGCAATCCAGATGTTTTCTAAGGCATAGAAATGGAATATTCTGCAATGGCCAAGTCAATCATCTGATCTCATCCTGAGTCAGCATGCATTTCACTTGCTGAAGACAATATTTAAGGCAGAAAGACCTACAAACAAACAACAACTGGAGACAGCTGCAGTAAAGGCCTAGCAAAGCATCTCAAAGGAGGAAACCCAGCGTTTGGCAATGTGCATTGCCTGCAAATTATTCTCCACAAAGAATTAAAAATTAACATTTTATTTATGATTAATTTGTCCAATTACATTTATAACCCTGAAATAAAGAGATTGTGAATGAAAATGGTTGTAATTCCTAAACCTTTTGTGCAATATTTTTGTTCAGCCTGTTGAATTAAAGCATCTCAGTTGTTTCATTTCAAATCCATTGTGGTTTTGTACAGAATTAAAATTATGAAAATTGTGTATCTTTCTAAATATTTCCAGGCCTATAAATATTTATTTATGTGTGTATTTTTATAATATCTTCTGTAGAACATCTTCTCCTAGCCCCTAGCACATTTAAAATCAACAGTAAATTGTTATATATATATATATATATATATATGTGTGTGTGTGAGATTATTTCATACTATTTTTAAATGTGGCATTCCTGTTTGCATTCACACATACATATACAAGTATATATTCTCATACTCACAACCACTTCAGATATTCTTGACTTCTCATTACTCCCTTTTTTCTCTACCCTCATTGCTTATATTTCTCAGCCCTTCCACAATCCACAACTCTACATGCAGACCCCCTATTTTCTACTAATTCAGTGCAGACCCCACTTCCCCAACACCTTTTGATGGCCACTGCTACAATTTGTAGTAAGCAGAATCACCTCCACCAACACCTCGTGCTAGACGACCCCACTTATAAGATACTATTCGGCAATAATACATTTCCCCTACTCCGTTATATTCTTAGTTCACAATACTATAGAAAATTGATCATATTTATTCCCCATTCCTAAATCCAATTAAAACTTGAAAATAAAAATAAAACCTCATTAAATTTAAATACGGTGCATTTTTTTCACTCTGTGCAAAGAGTGCTATTTTGCTAACAACTCGTCTCAAATAAGTTTTTCTTTTCTATAGAGGAATTGTTGTTACAAACTTCTGCTCTGTCTAAAACTATAGAGAATTGAAATAGATAATGTTCATATCTTACTCTAAAGCTGGTTTTCCCTGTGTAATTGCAAATAAGACATAGCAATATAGTTGCTATCCTAAGGGATATCTCAGGATGCTAATAAGGATTTCCTATATAGACATCACACTATGGTAAAATTTTGTCAGAAATCAGGATACAAATTTGTCATGGCTGTCGTCTAATTTTGTTCACTCCAGTGACGTAGTTTTGATCATGGTAGGAAAGAAAATGACAGATAAAAGAAAGAACTCTTGTCATTTAATATAAAACAAACTAATTTCTTCTGAAGGAAAGGAATTTGAATCTCCATCATCACACTAACGAGGAGGATATAGTACGGTGCATAGGTTTTGACACACAATACTTCTGGCACTCATCATTTCAAATAACATTAAAAATGTATTATCTGTACATGGATGATACCTATCTGAGATCACATCCTCATTTAACTCTATCTTCGTAGCAAAATTCTCATAGAAACCCTATGTCCACCATGACACCTGACAACACTTTCGCTTGGACATATAATTGTCACCTAGCCTGTCCTTTGTTCATGGAACTATGGAGGTGACTAAGGGCAAGAATGACATTCATCAGGTATATTTTTTTTCAGAACTACAGGGAGTGCAGAATTATTAGGCAAATGAGTATTTTGACCACATCATCCTCTTTATGCATGTTGTCTTACTCCAAGCTGTATAGGCTCGAAAGCCTACTACCAATTAAGCATATTAGGTGATGTGCATCTCTGTAATGAGAAGGGGTGTGGTCTAATGACATCAACACCCTATATCAGGTGTGCATAATTATAAGACAACTTCCTTTCCTTTGGCAAAATGGGTCAAAAGAAGGACTTGACAGGCTCAGAAAAGTCAAAAATAGTGAGATATCTTGCAGAGGGATGCAGCACTCTTAAAATTGCAAAGCTTCTGAAGCGTGATCATCGAACAATCAAGCGTTTCATTCAAAATAGTCAACAGGGTCGCAAGAAGCGTGTGGAAAAACCAAGGCGCAAAATAACTGCCCATGAACTGAGAAAAGTCAAGCGTGCAGCTGCCACAATGCCACTTGCCACCAGTTTGGCCATATTTCAGAGCTGCAACATCACTGGAGTGCCCAAAAGCACAAGGTGTGCAATACTCAGAGACATGGCCAAGGTAAGAAAGGCTGAAAGACGACCACCACTCAACAAGACACACAAGCTGAAACGTCAAGACTGGCCCAAGAAATATCTCAAGACTGATTTTTCTAAGGTTTTATGGACTGATGAAATGAGAGTGAGTCTTGATGGGCCAGATGGATGGGCCCGTGGCTGGATTGGTAAAGGGCAGAGAGCTCCAGTCCGACTCAGACGCCAGCAAGGTGGAGGTGGAGTACTGGTTTGGGCTGGTATCATCAAAGATGAGCTTGTGGGGCCTTTTCGGGTTGAGGATGGAGTCAAGCTCAACTCCCAGTCCTACTGCCAGTTCCTGGAAGACACCTTCTTCAAGCAGTGGTACAGGAAGAAGTCTGCATCCTTCAAGAAAAACATGATTTTCATGCAGGACAATGCTCCATCACACGCGTCCAAGTACTCCACAGCGTGGCTGGCAAGAAAGGGTATAAAAGAAGAAAATCTAATGACATGGCCTCCTTGTTCACCTGATCTGAACCCCATTGAGAACCTGTGGTCCATCATCAAATGTGAGATTTACAAGGAGGGAAAACAGTACACCTCTCTGAACAGTGTCTGGGAGGCTGTGGTTGCTGCTGCACGCAATGTTGATGGTGAACAGATCAAAACACTGACAGAATCCATGGATGGCAGGCTTTTGAGTGTCCTTGCAAAGAAAGGTGGCTATATTGGTCACTGATTTGTTTTTGTTTTGTTTTTGAATGTCAGAAATGTATATTTGTGAATGTTGAGATGTTATATTGGTTTCACTGGTAATAATAAATAATTGAAATGGGTATATATTTGTTTTTTGTTAAGTTGCCTAATAATTATGCACAGTAATAGTCACCTGCACACACAGATATCCCCCTAACATAGCTAAAACTAAAAACAAACTAAAAACTACTTCCAAAAATATTCAGCTTTGATATTAATGAGTTTTTTGGGTTCATTGAGAACATGGTTGTTGTTCAATAATAAAATTAATCCTCAAAAATACAACTTGCCTAATAATTCTGCACTCCCTGTATATCCCAGTTACAATGCAGAAGATTATTTTACTTGTGTATATATTGTGTTTGAAGTAGTCATTTTATATTTTAGAATATAAATTGTTTACATTTTCTTAATTCCAAAAGAAGAGAAAAGAGAAAGTGAGAGTGTGTGTGTTGTAGTGAATGAACCCTATCGTCAAAATCTTCAATTACTATAACTAGCTGGTTGTAAATATCATTAGGCAATCAATTTAAAATAAAAAAATTACAGTTGTGCTGACATGACCGATATGTGAATAAATTAAACATCTGGGCTCATTGAAAATTATATTTAAAAATTAATATTGTTCCGAACTGCAATTCATCCGAATTTTGGCTGACCGGGTGATCAGTTGGATTATCAAACTTTGAGATGAAAATAGCTGATTCGTGAATTAAATGAAACATGCAATAGCTAAGCTTTTGACTTGTGATTCTGAATTTCACTTTTAAGGCCAACAAAAAGAGATGATTAATTGGAAGAGAGATCATTGATGGCCAGGGTACAGTCACTAAACAGAAATGTTATACAAAAATCAAGTAAAAGTAAACAGTAGAGTGAAGTAAAGAGGAGAAAATATATATAATATATAAATACAGATTTATTTATTTTTTACAGGTCCTACTCTTTGTCCTTCTCGTGTTTACTTTTTTCTACTTGATCTGTAAACAATTTATATCATGCATATATTTCACAGTATACGGATTGATCCATTTTAACATCCTTTTTGTTCATCTAATTAGTTCCCCCAAATACATTTTCTGTTACCAAAATTCTGCCGAGCCAAATGGCTAAATTTCAGCTTCCCCCAAAAATGCTTTTTTCCAAGGAAAAATGGTTCAGCCAAACTGACCACTAGTCAATTGAACATATGTCTGAGAATTCGTTTTGTCTGCTGTCTTCATGAAGATGGGTCTTATTCATGTAATTGATCTAGTGTTAGATCACTCAAGATGGCTTAATATAAGAGCATTTCAGTTTCTGTGGGTTATCATATGCTTGAACAACTACAGCAATATTTAATTTCTACAAAGTAGGATCTAGATCAGGGTAACAGAAACAGTACCCTGTGTGACTTTAGACTAGACATCTCCTAGACGCAGTAGATTCACTGCATCAACACATTATTAGTCAACTTTTCAATTACTACTCACACAAATAAACCCCTCCCCAGATTACAATTAAACTGTTTCATCCACTGAAAGATGTGAAAAATGTGACTCAACATGGCCTGAGAGAAAAATTTAACTTTAAAACTTTAAAACTACAATAAGTGAATAAAGATCTTTACTCTTTAATCCACTGCTAACAAGAGTGTCACTGTGGATATTAATGCACCATTTTATACTCAGATCTCCGCTCAATATTGATTTCATAACACAATCAATAATTTAAGAAAAAGAGGACACCGTCTTGGAAAAAGAAAGATGGCTACTTGCAATATGGACAGCAAATGTAAACTTAAACAATAGTGAATACTAGCTTGTTATCACTCAAAAGAAGTCAAACTTTCTGTTAAGTGAAATTCGGCAAGGATCAGACCAGCTGAGTTATTTTCCACTGTAGAATGATTGCACATACTTGCATGCCAGCAATCCAGAGCAAAAAAAAAATTCTGAACAGGTGCTGCTCATCAGTACTAATTATGCCTATAAGGCATCTTGTGGGAACTGTAATTATCCAGATTATGAAACGGACCTTCTCATAACAATGGAAAACAATCTGTAAATATCTAGATAAGGCATAGGCAACCTTCGGCTCTCCAGATGTTTTGGACTACACCTCCCATGATGCTTTGCATTATGGGTGGAAGAGCATTATAGTGGATGTAGTCCATAACATCTGGAGCGCCGAAGGTTGCCTATCCCTGATCTAGATTATGAACTGTACCTTCTTACAAAGAAGATGTTTTACAAATAAACAACTGTACCCGACAACCTGCACTCTGGATCCTGACACACGTTCTAGCAGTGTGTACGGTTTTGAAATTTTATATTTTTACTAAAATATTACAACATTCCTTTAATTGTTCTATGACCCAATGTTTAATTACAGAGCAGTCTCTTTCCTCTCTTTTTTAAGAATGTTCATTGAGAAACCTGCCACATCCATCCGCATCGTACAAAGGTTATGAGGTCGTAAACTTTTCTTGTTCTTAGCCTCAATGTCAACCAGGAATTAATGCTCACTGACTTGAATTGGCTACAGTGAGGAACAGCTGCCCTACAACAGGTCTGCCTTAGGTCAATCACTGTACATCAGGCATATTATCATATTTACTGTACTGATGAGTCTCAGCCCAGACATGACTAAGCTAACATTGCTAGTTTATAGAATACAATTGTGTCTATAATTTAAACTAAATATACAAAGTCAACGGAAAACAATTATACACCTGATGGTATACAGTAATATTGTGAGCTATATGAATTATAGCATTAATGCAGATATGTATGAAGAATAAACAAATAATAGAACAATTAAGGTATAAATTCATCCCAAGTTCATCCCATCATAAACATACAGTGAAGCGGTATATGACTTTATAAAATTATATTCTATAATCAGAGGCATTAATTGACAGAAAGATTGAAGGTCAGTTCCCTCACCATAAACAGACCTCCTGGAAGAGTGGAAAATAGGTGTTAGCATGCACAGTAATAGGAACAATATGATCTAGTGTGCAGAGCTTTCCTTAATATGTGTGAGGATAATATTTAACCACATCCCTTTTGTCTCTCTCCTTTGTACCTACTGAAGTGGAACACTTGGCATATTTCTTGTAAGTAGCTGACACATGACCTTACTCCTAACTGACATTAAAACACATTACTATTGTTATCATTTCCATACTATTACATATTCACCTATAAAGTGCATGCCATCAGAACCATAAAACATGAATACATAAAATAATCCAAAGAGAGAGAAAAAAAAAAACACAACAAAGACAAGGACAACCAACAAACTGATTACACAGTGCTGAAATAAAATCAAACACAGTCAATGTGAGCATGGAAAGCAAGTTTAAAGAGAATCCAAATTAAAGTAAAGTATGTAAATTAGAACACATTATCATGCTCACCAAACATTAGCAGGTCAATGACACCAATCATATCACTGGAGCCACCCTAAGGGGGTGAACCCAAAGTATAGGCAGGTCAGCCTGGCATGAATATAGGCCAATCTATCTGCTACACACCCAGACTAGCCCATTAAGGGCAGACAATGTTTTAGCACTCTCTGCCTGGCCCTACAGCCCTGAGTGAAGAGCAAGCACGTCTAATGATGTACATGCAGTACGCTTTTTGGGGACAGTTCTGGTGTAGCCAAGTGCCGGAAACCAGGGAGCAAAGGTGGGATGCGGAATAGGGCCCTAAAATAGGGTCTCATACGCACATCATATATATATATATAGTTAATACAATGTTAAACAAAAATCTTCACACCAGTCAAGCCATAAGACTTGTTTTTCCCACAGAAATCCCAAATCTGCAGTGATGTTACAACTGCAAAAGATTCTGGGTGGGCATATGCAAATTAGTTTAACAAAGAATCACATTTTTGCCTCATTACATTTTAAACATGGATTCCTTTTAATCTGTGTTTGCAGTATGCAACTGCTTGGAACACAATTTAGGAAAAGATGCAAAACCAGTAGTGATGTCCCGAACGGTTCACCGCGGATGGCGAACATATGCGGTAAACTTTGACCCTGTACCTCACAGTCAGCAGACACATTCCAGTCAATCAGCAGCAGACCCTCCCTCCCAGACTCTCCCACCTCCTGGACAGCTCACTAAGAATGCAGCTTCACAATGAATGTAAAATGGATGCTTCCCAGGAGGTGGGAGGGTCTGGGAGGGAGGGTCTGCTGCTGATTGGCTGGAATGTGTCTGCTGACTGTGAGGTACAGGGTCAAAGTTTACAGCATATGTTCGCCGTCCGCGGCAAACCGTTCGGGACATCACTAAAAAACCAGTGAACCACTCATGGACAGCTGTTTCGTTGTTAATGCAACTCTTCAGTATGAGGTTGGTTACTGGTTTGCTTATTAAAGCTTGGTAGTGCTTGGGAAACAAAATCCAAATAGGTTATGGTGGGGAAAAATTGTGATTGAAAATCCCTTTCACCTGAAGTCTGTTAATAGTTAATACAGTGTTAAACAAAAATCTATATATAGACACATACACAGCCACATTATATATGCAATCACATATACAAATATCAGTTCCCAAACACATAGCAAATGTAGTCATATGCATACAAACTTAGCCAAAAATATACACACATTACATGTACAGTCACATATCAAGTTACATGCACAAAAGTTACAATTAACTTCCACAAACTGTCCACATACATTATCACTCTCTATACTCAGTGTATCAAAAACATGCACAGTGTGTGTTATATTAGTGCCTATAGTCTGGAACGTGATATAAACAAAATTATTTAAACACACAAAATCACTGTGGTAAACATGTGTGTCATATAATGCCACATATTTTAATTTGGGGGCTTTTTCACTAAACACTGGATTAAAGTTATTTAAAAACCACAAATTTAGACTATTCAGCTTACAGTTTGCAACTTGTGTTTTAGTTCATTAAAGTGTGGTATTCATCAAATAAGCACCGCTACCCCACAAGGAGGGTTATTCATTAAGCTGTGATTTTTAGGGAATACAAAAAGGGAATTGCAGGTTTTAGAGCACAGCCAAACTGAATAAAATCTCCAACTATTTTTGCGGCTCAGCTATTGCTGCCTTAAATGTGCAGTACCCTGATGTATTCCCAACATTTCAATGTCCTGGTGATAACTCACATTTATGTAGAATGTTTATGACTCAGTGCCTAAAGTGCATATTAATGAAGCAAAAATAATAAAACAAACATTTCTCAGATTATTATATGTACTCACATGACTGAATGCAACTTCTTGTTAAAAAAATATTATCACTTAAATAGACTAATGAAAAGCTAACACTTTAATAAGAAATTATTTTTAAAGCGGCTTTGTCTTTTTAAAAAAAAATCTTTTCTAGTTCTATAATAGCTAAATAAATTCAAACATAGGATTTAAAATGTTCAGTTTGACTGTATGGTTTATATCTGGAACACATAGTCAGAGATTTGCAAAGATTGTCAATGCAAACTAAATAAGAACTACATATTCTGGGAAATGATATATGAATTTTTTTATATATTTTGTTGCATCTATCCATCTATCTATCTATCTATCCATCTATCCATCTATCCATCTATCTATCCACCTATCTGTCCATCTATCTATCTATCCATCTATCAATGTATCTATCTATCTATCTATCTATCTATCTATCTATCTCTCTATCCATCTATCTATCAATGTATGTATGTATGTATCTATCTATCTATCTATCTATCTATCTGTCTGTCTGTCTGTCTATCTATCCACCTATCTATCCATCTATCTATCTATCTATCTATCCCTAAATATAAATCCCTATGTTGTTTTAGTTTATTTTAGGTGCCTTTCTAAGTACTCTGGACTTTAATCAGAAACAATATACAAAAGTTATATAAAGCCTTGGCTTCTAATAAATTCTTTTTTTCCATTGTACCATTTGCATTTTAAAGTAGCATACATCAATTTTGTCAAAACATTTGTACTCTGTTTTACTTGGCAAAATGATTTAAATGTTTTACAGATGTGTTTATACATTATATAAAATTGACAAGAGAATTGTTTACATCCAAAATAGCAGAATTGGAAAATGTATTTAACTTGGCTAAATGTTCTCCTCAGCTACTTTGGGCAAAAATATAGGTAACATAATTCACATATTGTATTTTAAAATAAAATGTATACTTATTTACAATGCATTTTGAGTTGCAGGTAAATTAATATAAACAAAATAAAATATATCAATTTCAGCAGAATTGAGATTTTGTTCCAAATTAAAGGGACAGTATTAGCAAAATCAGTTCATCTTAACCCCTTAAGGACCAAACTTCTGGAATAAAAGGGAATCATGACATGTCACACATGTCATGGGTCCTTAAGGGGTTAAAGGGACACTCCAGGCACCCAGACCACTTCTGCCCATTGAAGTGGTCTGGGTGCCAACTCCCACTACTCTTAACCCTGCAGCTGTAAATATTGCAGTTTTCATAAACTACAATAATTACATTGCAGGGTTAACTCCTCTGTCTACTAGACAGCCACTAGAGGGCACTTCCTGGTTTTTAGCACAGGTTTTCTGTGCTAGAGCGTCGCTGGACATCCTCATGCTGTGTGAGGACCTCCAGCGTCGCTCAATTCTCCATAGGAAAGCATTGAAAGCATTTTCAATGCTTTCCTATGGAGAGGTCTAAGGCACACGCGCGGTATTGCCACGCATGCTCATTAGGTCTCACCTGCTAGCATGCGCGATCAGTCTCCCCCGCTGGATGACGTCGGGTGAGGAGCGTGGGCAGACCCGAAAACCACCGCCAAGGGACATCGGCGGGGGTCTCAGGTAAGTTACTGAAGGGGTTTTCACCTCTTCAGCAACATGGGATGATTGGTGGGAGGGAGAGGGTACCTGCAGTGCCAGGAAAACGGTTTGTTTTCCTGGCACTGGAGTGCCCCTTTAATTAAGTTATTTAAAGGCATATATGCTGCCCTTATTTTGCCATTTCTGAGAAAGAGCACTGTTTATACTTTGCAGTGCCATGCATGGTTTTTTGGATGTCTTAAGATGAACTAGGGGCTCTGGCCTAAAACTGATTGACTAATTAAATCTTTATATCTGTAACCAACTTGCAAAGTGAGCTGATGTGATATGCTGGGTATGTGTGTCCAGTGCTTCTCTATGTCACACAATGGATTCAATACTCCTCTTAGACCAACACTGGGTTAGAAGCATTTGCTTGAATACATGTAGCCATGTTTGATGACTTCACAGAAGAAAAGCTAGGCTGCAGTGAGGAGTCTGTCTTTGCAACTTAAAAGGATTTTTTTTTTTAAAGGGGGGTATGCAATCTAAATAGTTAAAAGAGTGTCAGAGATTAAAAAGTATTTTATTAGACTTTGCTTTAACTTTGGTGATCTGTTTTTAACTGTCGACTTACCACAACTTGCGATTCAGTGAATATTGCCCAGTAGATCAACAGTTACTACTTCAGTATTTCACTGATGTGAGAATTCAAAGGGAATTCAAAACTAAAATGTCAAATTTAAGGTCACAAAAGCCATATTGGGAAAAAACATCTTTCAGTTAGCTATACTTCCAGTTCAACTACTCTAGCATAAAATTTGAACTTCCCTTTGAAAACTCACTTTAGTGAATAATCCTTTCTTGGATTAATCTGTTTACTAAATAGCATTTTCTACATTGTCTATGGGAAATTTGATATTTAGTAATGAGAGGAAATGCTTTCTTTGCTAGGAGAATTCAGCTCAAGGTTTATAAGTGAGAATGAAAAATTGTGAGTCATGTGTTATATCCACTGACAGCAGCAATGTGGCGTGTACTTGAATAAAATGTGCAACATTATATATAGCCACACAATAGAAATCTTAAAAAAAAAAAAGTATATTGTCAATGAACTTATGATGTAATGCATGTGTAAAGATCTGGGATAAAAAAAAAAAAAAGGAAAAAAAAGACAAAAATAAAACTACTGTCTGTATATCTCAAATTTATTTGCTATATTAAATATTGCTCCTTATCAGCATTAATTAACCAGTCACCAATACCTCTTCAGTTGCTTTGTTTTCTAAAATACTGATTCATTTTTTTATTTTTTTTTAAATGTGCATTATAATTTCTCATATCCTTGTTCAAAGACATTTATGTGACACTCAGCCTGGCAATTATGTTTGTACTTAACTTAATGCTTTTAAAGTGTCTTAATATTCAATATTACATATGATTTATATCCATGTATGTTGCAGACTATTTACAAGTATTCTTGTATTTATATATACACTACGTATATCTCTGCTTATCTGCCTGTCTGTCTATCAGCCTGCCTGTTTACACCAGGGGTGCCCATAAGGCATATCCCCAGATGTTTTAAAACTACAGCTGTCACGATGCTTTGCTATTCTAAAGGCATGCAAATCATCCTGGGAGTTGTAGTTCTGCAACATCTGGGGATATATGAGAACCCCTGCTCAACACTAACACAACAGAAAACCTACAGAAGATTTTGGTTTAATTGATTCAAAAAAGTAAAAGGTCACCATTGTCACTAAAAGACATAATGGCTTTTATAAAAAAAATAAAAATAAAAAAAAAATTCATTAATCAATCAACCATAATAACAATTTAAAAAATGTACTACTTACTGCTCCCAATTTTTTAAGTAGGTGGCAAAAGAAATCATCAAGCTCTTTCCCCTCAATGTAACCATTGTCTAGAGAGAGAAAAAAAAAGCATGCATTGTATTATAGACTTCAGGTCCCCAGTAGAACATAATATATCTTAGCACGCACGAAATGTAACATTATTATTATTATTATTATTATTATTATTATTGGCATTTATATAACGCCAACACATTCCGTAGCGCTTCACAATATTACAAGAGGGGGAGATTTAACAATAAATTAGAAAATTACGAAAATTTACAGGAACAATAAGTTGAAGAGTAATGTGAATATCCAGCTGAATAATCCATTAAATGCTCTATAATATCAAGCATTTAAAGTTGACATGCTTCTTTAGGTAATGACATGTCTTCCTTTTGCAGTTACATAGACTGTTCCTGTTTTATGTTTTGCACTGGTTGCATAGATAGCTTTGATGTTAAGACGAATTTATGTGGTTGTAGACACAAGTTTGTGACATATGTATAAGATTTTTTAATGAGCCAAAAAAAACTACATCATGCCAAGAGAAATAGAGACAAACTGTATCCCCTGTGTTTTTGTTCTTTTTTATTCTATTTTATAGTTTACAGAAGGATCAGGAGGTCCTTAGATGAAAATAATTATTTAAGTATGAGAAGAGCTGTTAAAGTTTGTCACTGTTCACAAAACTGTCTTACTTTTTACATCAACTAAACACATTGAACGACTGCCTGCTTCCATTTACAATAGGCAGCTAGCTGGTTTGTTTCAGCACTTACCATCAGAGTCGAAACGTAGCCAAATTTCAAGGAATTCTGCAGCATCCAGTTTGAGAAAACCGCTGTCCATGGTGCTGATCAGTGTGCTCGGTGCTGGAGGGAATGTTTCTGTGCTGGAGAGAATCTATTGCTACACTGTATCAGTAAACTGCAGCTCATAGGGCTATTTATGGCTGCTCACTATTCCCGCCCATATAACACTTACTGCTTTACCAGGAGGAGGTAGGGTATTGCTAAGGGAGCTGATGTAGTGTGTGCTGTAAGCAAGGTGTGATAATCATATTGGGGGTAAAGTCCATTTTAAATAGTGCTTTTTTATGCCTACACAATACTGTGAGCACAATTCATCTACTTAGTAGTTTTAAGCATCATCTGTGAAAAGAAATGAGCTATATACAAATTATTTATACATATGGATACTATGATCCCAGAGAGGATGTCAGTAGAACTAAGTTTGGTGTGAGGGCTCAGGTGTTAATTGCAACAACCGTCCAGAATGTTTATGCCCAAAGCTGTATTTTAATTCTAAACAGCAGCATGACCCTTGGTGGTTTTCTATGGTGTATGTAATAAATAAAAATAAAACTGGGCTGGAATCTTGAAAAGCAGCAACATTTTTTAATCAACAGCCAAATAGACTAAAATGGCATAATGTGACCTTAAATGGGTTGTCTTTTTTTGGGAAGGGGGGCGGGTGTACTATATAAAATGTAGTGTTAAAAAATATGGTATTGTCAGTCAATCTATATAGTGTATGTGGGGGACAGGGTTAGATCTAGGTATTTATTTGATGGGAAGTGCAAAACCAGCAAGAAATCTCACCATCATGCATGCCAGTAACACATAAGGTGAATTCAAAATGAATTTAAAATTTAAGGTCAAAATCATAGTCTGGTTTGCTTTCAGGTCAGCTACTCTGGCCTTAAATCTTAAATTCCTTTGCATTCTGTGTGTAGTAGTAGTGGTGGTGTGGGGGGTGGGAGGGCTGTTAATGTATTAAAAGTAGAGTTTTAAATTGCAAATTTTCTACCAAACAGAATGGACAATATATTTGCCATTCCTATTGTAAACGGACCTTTTGATTAATGCGTCGTAAATGAGAAGAAAGATCAGCTTGCAATTCTTTCCAACCTTTAAATATACTCATAAGTTTTATTTTGTTTAATAATTTGTTAGGATTTGAATGCATGATTGCTAATGTAAACTTCCATAGTTTGTTGTAGGTAGTAAGGCAGAAACAAGCATATTCAGGGCTGGACTTGGACAAACATTTGACCCAGGCATTTAAAGGCATAGCAGCCCTATGGGATGGGTGGGGCCATAGAAGGGGGCCTGTTATGTCATCACCAATGCAACATGCACGCCTACTCAAAGAGGGTATGGCAGTTGTATGTCCCTCAGGATAGCCCTTGCGCTGAGCCCTGCTAACAAGCTCTTGCACGAGGAAAAGTCCATGTGTTTGTTTAGCACAGCACAAGCTAGTGTTTTGAAATGCTTGTCCTGTTTGTTTGTGATTTGTCTTTGGTGTTCCCATAAGTGGAATGCCAGAAAACAAAAGTAAGACAGGGTCAAACGATGTTGCTGTGAGAAGGGAGGTTGCCTGGGATGTTGTATACATGTGTAGACTGCTTGTGAGGTTGTGAGGGGATATCTGTGGTGTCATGTGTGCATGGGGAAGCTACTTGTGGGGATGCAAATATGAGGGAATCTTGCCTTTGAATCGGATGTTGCTTGCAGACTTTGTGTGTAGAGGGGATGCTGGTTTTGATACTGCATGTTTGTGGATAGGCATTTTTTGTACTGTGTGCATGCGTGTCTAGTAGCTGTAGTATTTGTTGTGGAAGATATGAGTGTGGTAGGTTAGAAGCTGTAGAGTTTGTTGGGGGTGGGCTGCAATATGTGAAACAGTGACTGCAGGGTGTAAGAGTGGGATATTAAGTGTGTGAAAGGGACATGAGGCTGAAAGGTGTATAAATGGAACATGGTGCTGCAGGGAGTGTGACTGGGACATTGGGCAGCAGGGTGTGTGAGGGGTACATGGGGCAGCAAAGGGCCTTAGGGGGACATGGGGCTATAGTAGGTGTGAAGGGAGACGTGGGACAGCAAGGAGACCTGAGATTGCAGGGAGTGTGAGGGTAAAATAGGGCAGCATGGGGTTTGAGGGGGACACAGGGCAACAGGGTTTGTGAGGGAAACATGGGACAGCAGGGAGATATGGGGCAGCTGAGGTTGTGAGGGGGGCATAGCGCAGCAGGGAGTATGAACCCAACATGTGGCAGCAGGGGGACATGAGGCAGCAGAGGTTGTGAGCGGGGCATAAAGCAGCAGGGAGAGTGAGGGTGTGTTAAATGGACATGGGGAAGCAGAGGAACATAGGGCAGCACGGTGTGTGAGGGGAAAAAAAGGCAGCAAAGAGTGTGAGGGAGCATAAGGGGCAAGTATAAATTATAGATTAAAAAAAAGCTCTGCGTTTATTCCCACTGCCTTATCTTGGGCCTTGACAGGGGGAATGAGTTTTCCTGGTGGTCCGGTAGTTGAACTTGCAGAGAGCACATGCTGTGGAAGGAATCAGAGCATTACTGGGGTAACAGCAACACTCTGATACATTGGCTGAAGGGCCCCTCTTCATAACTTTGTGATGTTTGACCTCCCCACCGGCAACAGAGCACCTTCTCTGGGTCTCCGCTCAGGCAGCATTGGCTCTGCAGGGGTCAATTGGAGAGATAATGTTATCTCCACTGTCGGCTTCGGCCCATGGCCATGGCGGCCCACCAGTCATTTGCCTGGTTTGCCCAATAGCCAATACAGGCTTGAGCATATTATCTTTATGGCTAAGTGGCTTTATGCGTAGTTCCAATTGCTTAGCTGTGGAAATATTGCATCAGGATTGGCTGTTTGTTTTTTTAAATATATATAATGTATATATGTAGCATTGCTTGGCTAGCTGAAAAAACCCATATTTTTGTAGAATATAACCGTAAAATGATGTGGGAACTGTCAGGTCTCTGGAATTTTCACCAAAACATTGAAAAATCAACTATAACTTGTGGGGGGTTTTTGGCATCAGATGATGTTTTATTTTAAATTGTATTAAAGATTTAACAAATGCCATCCATTTTAAATAAGGCAAAACCAGGGGACACAATATTAGGAAGGTCTACAAGGACACTTGTTTCATTTCTCCTTTCTTCTGTTTGCTTAATTTTGATGACAGATAGGTGCCAATGACAGAATTAATTACAATGGTTGACAAGGAGTTAAAATGGAGGCACCCAGACACAGGATGCAGAAGTGTGGATTTCTACATTTAATTTAATTTCCCTGGGAGATAACAGATCTTCTTTGAAGCCACATATTTGCATCTACCATTTAACTAAGATTACATTAACAGCAAACTTTAGTACTGCACGTTTTGAACCATAAGCAAAATATTTGTGAGTGCGGCAAAATGAATTATTTAAATTTGTTAAAAAACAAACTCAGGTTTGCAGTGCCATCTGTTTTATCCTCTAACCTACAAGAATAAATTATTAAAGTCGAGCACATTGGATAGGTAGTTTTGCTCTTATGAAATCAAGCTTTAATACTTTATACATCTCAGCTTTAAACCATGAACATCTGTTTTGAAAATTAGTTTGACCTTGTAGCATTGCAGGCCGGGTAAATTTCACATGCAGATTTGAAACAGTGAGAATCTGAAAGTGACTAATATTTCTTTATCATGTAAAGAGAAGAATCACTTTAAAAAAAACATATTTTATATCTTGAATCATTTAACTTCCTCCACTCCCTTATTAAAACAATGATAAAGCATTTTAAAATAGGATGAGGAAGCACATATCATGCAAAGAAACATGTTCCACAACCCAAAATGGCAAAGTTGTTAACCAGTGATACCCCAGCAGGAACTGGCACACAGGCAGTCAAAAACATGGAGTTTATTTTCACATCTTTATCAAGTATTTATCAAGCCTTTGAAGGCTTATTCCAACTTTATTATCTGAGGTGCCAGCCACTTCCTGTTTGAAGAGAAATAAGCTCCTGTTATAGGTTTCCATTTGCTAACCTAAGTTAAAGGGACAATCCAGACTCCTAAAACACTTTAGCTTGCTTAAAAGTGTTATGTGTGAAGAGTGTGTTTTTTTTTTCATTTTGCCAAAAGTGCAGATTTCAATAGAAACTTACATTTTTATAAATTCACCTGGTTACACCCCCTTGACTTTCAAGCAGACAACAGATATTATCACTTCCTGGTTTTGTTAGCTCACTGGAGCCAAACTCAAGAGGCAACAATTGCCGAGAGCACCTGCTTTGCAAAGACTTCTCACTGAGCTGCATTGGGAAGTCTGTGATTGGGCAGCCACCGAAAGGGATTAGTAGGAAAGAGCTTGCAAAGGCAACAGAAAAGAGAACTGCAGGTTTTGCAAGCTGTTTTTAGATTAATCCCCAGTAAAAACATTGATGATTAAATGCATACAAGTTTTAATTTGGGGAATATCTTATAAACAATATTTTTTATTTATTTTATATTTGGGTAATAGAAAATCCCTTTAATCCCTACTGTGCCAGACCATCTCATTGACTGAGAGCTTTAGCCGATCACTCTCAACCAATAAGATAACACCTGCACCACCTTTTGCACCATGAGATATTGGTTTGAAAAGTTACATAGGGGGTGGTGCCAGGGTGGTGCACACCTGGCACCATGAACACGGCAGCATGCTGTAGTTGTTATAGTACTTGAAGTGTTCCTTTCAGCAATCCTATCTTGAATACTGATCTTTTAGTCAGCCAATGTTCCATTTAACCAGACACGCCATGTACTCTTTATATTTTCTGGTAAGAGAGGCCAGCTGTAGTACAGGTGTTGATCATGTAGGACCTCACTGACCTCGTAAAATATGTAGTTCATACCATTTCATCTCTCTGTAAGATGGAGCATTCCCCAGGTTTTATTATAGCTGAGCTATATCACAGATATATATACACCAGTTTATCAGGTTCAGCTGTTCTTAAGCAAGTGGAATATTGGAACAGGTTGGAGCAACCTAGTGCATACAGCCAAGGTCAAGAGGTTTAGTAATTATTTTATTAATGAGGGAGAAGCTTGATCTAAACAGCGTTGACAAAGTACATATTTTCAATTTTACCGAGAATGTTGTAATAAGATCCAAGGACGAGGAGTGGTTTTGTGCAAAA